AGGAGATCCGGGGAGAGGGGTGAGAGAACGAGCAAGAGAGATAGAAAATATGGAGCGGAAAAGAAAGATGGAGAAACAGAAACCTTGAGCGAGAATGGGAGAGAGAGAGATAGAAAAAAAGACAGAGAAAAATCATGGAGATAGACAGTAGACTGTGGAGAGAAGATGAGAGAGGGTGAGAGATCCATGGAGAGGGGTGAGAGAACGAAGAAGAGAAATATAGAGAGCGAGTAGGAGGATGGGATGGAGAAAAAGAGAAATAAGGGAGAGAGAATCGTGAAGAGATGGAGAGTAAGAGAGAGAAAGAATCATGGTGAAGATGAAGAGTGAGAGAGAAAACAATGGAGTAGGGAAGGAATGAGAGAGAGGATGGGAGGGAGAGAGACCACCATAAAAAGATGGAGTAAGAGTGAGAGGGAGTAAGGGAGGGAGAAAAAGAGAGAATGAGGGAGATTCTTATTTCCTTCATTGACGCAAGACACGTAATGTTTAAAATCTAATTATCCATCCGTGTGAAACACGCAGCCCGAACCTTTTTGACCTACACAAAAGGCGAAATTGAGCGGACCACGTATGCGACACTACCAGATGTTCAAAAGTTCACGGACAACCTGCGATTTTAGGGGTGACGAATTAAAAAAGAATCCATTGTGAACTTTCTGTAATGGTTAAATTTATTTTTAGGGTTAAATTTGTTTTATATGCATATCATGTTTTCAGAATGACAGAAAATTTGACCGGTGGTGTACTGAAAAATTGATATAAAGATCAGATTTTATTGAAACTATTAGCACGGTTTCGATTTTTTTTTCTCACGGTGCTTCATTGTTAGCACACAACAGAAAAAATGATAAAATCACCATTACGATATAGCTTAAGTTAATATTTCTATTATACTTTTATGTATATTGTTTACCCTACGTGCTTACCATAAGACTCTCGTGACTTTACATGTGGTGCAACGATACAAAGTAAAACAATAGCAGGTTTTCACACGGATCACAAAGAGGACCAAACTTGATTTTTTCGACAGATTAAAAAGAACCGTGCCTGTGATGTACTTTAAAAAACCATTAATCATTATTTTAATACGATTGCAACATAGTTTAGTAAATTACAGCACGATTGTAACTGAATTTGCTTTAGCCTGTACGTGATCGTTTTAGAAATTAGAATTCAGACAATGCGGAAGGTTGTTAAGCAGCATTTTTAAAAAGGTATAATGAATATTTATCGACCTGGTAATCAATTCAAGAAGAAGAAATCAGTCCAATCTCTCATCCAGGTATAGTTTTCTCATTAAAATTGGGAATTTTAATAAAAAAATTTCACGGCCTTCCCCCCCCCTTTTTTTAATATCAGAAGATCAAACGCTGGAAGAGATTGCACAAATTAATTGCGAATGATCCTGCTATCCTTCGGATCTGGAAAATGAGTAAGGATTCCGCCGGAGCCCCTCCCCCGTTTTATGCCAATTGCGTTATGGCTGAGATTTATTAACGAAATCATAGCCGACGGGATGCAAATAACGAACACGCCGTCTCCTTGGGATTCTGTACTCTTCCCTCCGAAAACATAAAATTACGACGGAAATGATTTAAAAACCGTAAAAATTATTTAGGAATTGAACGGTATATGAACCGCGATAAACGGCATTCACGGCAACGCTGCAAAATTATTCCTTTTGTGCCATTGTATATGTATCAATGATGACTTAAATTATTATTTATTAAAATAAATAAATTTATACACTTAAATTAACTACACGTACTTTCGTGTTTTCGCTCTCTCTCTCTCTCTTTGTTCTCCCTCCCATACACTCCCTCTTTACATAATTCTCTCTCTCACTCTCTCTCTCTCGCTCTCTCTCTCTCTTTCGCTCTCCCTCTCTCTATCTCTCTCTTTCGCTCGCTCTCACTCTCTCCCTCTCTCTCTCTCTCTCTCTCTCTCTCTCTATCTATCTATCTATCTCTCTCTCTTTCGCTCTCTCTCTCTCTCTATCTCTCTCTCTCGCTCTCTCTCTCTCTCTATCTCTCTCTCTATCTCTCTCTCTTTCGCTCGCTCTCTCTCTCTCTTTCGCTCTCTCTCTCTCTCTATCCCTCTCTCTCTCACTCTCTCTCTCTCTCCCTCCTTGTTTTTCTCCCTACCACACATTCCCTTTTTCCATGATTCACTCTCTCTCTCTTTATCTCTATCTATCTATCTATCGCTCTCCCTTTCTCTTTCTCCCTCCTATCCTCCCTCTCATACGCTCCCACTTTCCATGATTCTCTCTCACACTGACTCTCTCTCTTTCTCTCTCTCTGTCCCTCTCTTTTTCTCTCTCTCTCTTTCTTTCTCTTTATCTTATTCCCTCCCATCCTCTCTCCATACACTCCCTTTTTCCACGATTATGAATCTCTCTCCCTCCCATCGTTTCTCTCATGCACTCCCTCTTTCCATGATTCTCTCTCTCTCTCTCTCTCTCTCTCTCTCTCAGGTACCACCTTCATTTTGCTGAATCCGAAGGAATGGAATATTTTCGGTCTATGAAGTAGTATAGATCATCAGGTTAGTTTTATTGTAATATAAGAATAGAAGCAAAGAGAAATACCAAAAATTGATGATGATTTTTATTATGATCGTGTTGTTCATATTTCAGAAATCGTACGAATTACAGAGCAGTGTTACAAATGGATTTGACAGCGCTTTCTCGAGAAATTTCTTCTAAGATTGCTTTTTCCAAATAAATTATAAATAACATGAATTAAAGGTGCCGGTCATGTGGAGGTTGGGAAAAACGATCAGGCCGGATAAAATCCCGAGTGGAGTTCGAGATAAAATGAATTATGCAGCCGGCCGGTCAAGGTGCACAAGAGGTAAATTGTTTATTGGCAACAAATGTCAAGGTTTTCCAATAGGCCGGATGGGAGAGAAGTGTTGTTGCCATGACAGCCGCAACATCTCATAGCAATCAATATACGAGATCCTGACTCACTGTAGGACCATTCATTAGCCTACGAGGGGGAGCCGGTCGCGTCTATGCACCCCCATGGCACCTACCCCTCGGCAAAGACGACGTCGCCAGTTGATACGCCAATTGGGTAAAAGAGGCTTTTCAAAACACCTGACTTAATTCTTTCACGACTAGAGTATGTGTGACTTGTCCAAAACATATGGATTTTCTCAGATAAAGCATCCTGAGGAAGTTAGGAGCTTGAACGAGTTAAGCCAAGGTCAAGTTATCTTAGATTCTGAGGTTGATTGTAATTTGTAACGGAAAATCATTTCGTCGTATGAACATGTATCCTGTAAACTGGCTGTTTGTCCGTTTTGGGTACCATTTCATCTAACTGTTCTTTTTTTTTTATAGAGGTGTCTCAAAATACCTCACCTTGCAAATTGACAAGTTTCTTCTTATTTTGTATGCACATTCATCTTACATTTAAGAGTCATTCACTTGGAAATGAAATCGTCGAGATGGATTGTTTTTGATGCAAACTAAACCTATGGGAAAAAAGAAGGTACAAGTTAAAGAACTTCCCGAGGAAAAGTAAAAGCTCTTCTTTTTTTATCGAAAAAGAGAAAGCTAATTAAAATTACCCAAAAAATTCTGACAATAATTGCTTATTAAATTATAAACCAGTTAATGAAAGAAAGGTGTGAAGAAAACTGTTTTTAGTTGAACAGTTGAATTGAATTGGCAAAATAATAATCAGAATAAGAAACAATAATGGGATCCCTTAAGGTAAAAATTAAACATAGATGTACAAAGCAGATATTTTTTTAAGCTTTATTCAAATACAATCAAGAAATCCTTGTCTGTTGCCGGAGAAAGGACTTTTTGAAATGACAGGACTTTTTCTCGTCTTCCCCCTGGTGTGACACTAAGAAGATGAAATACCTCTGGACTTGCTCTGCGCTGAACTATGTTTCGAGGGGAAGGGTGCAAACAAATATTAAGTAGTATGAAAGGAAGTATTAAGAATCGATCTTCAGGATTAAGTAATTTATAGAAATATAATGGATTTACAATAAAACTTTTAACAAAATAGAAAAAAATGGAGAATTGACCACCAAAAATCAAATCTAAAAAACAATCTGTCTTCATCTTAGCATTATTGCTCTAAAAAATATGACTGATGGGAAAATAAGTTTATACGATACAGTAAGTTAGAGATCAAGGATGCGGTCATCAAAACAAGTAAATTTTATATATGCCAAACTTCATGAAACCAGACATGAAATAAATTTTGATGATGTGGTTGGGGTCGGAAGGGAGAAAATCTTGGCCAGAAAATTATTAAAAGATGTGTTACTTATTAAATCTGATGTTAAGTCACTAAATTTGAAAAGTGATGATAATCTCAGCGCCTTCTACAGTTGCCTAATTTACTCCTTTCTGTCTGTGTTGTGTCATTCTGTGTATATAACCTTTTATTTTTTTTTTCCAATGCATTCTTCGACGCAACAAGTAAAACATATAATATTTGCATATAAACAATAATAACAGTAGGATGAAAGCATGAACCAGAGATGGTAGTCGTTAGTACATCAATACGATGAACGAGATGGACTCCGTCCTAGGAGAGCGATGTCAAGTGTTAAGCCAGAAACACACTTACCCGATTCTACGCCATGCGACGCTACCCGATGCTACCCGACGCAAATCCAAACTCCGATTTTCCATAAGGTTGCATTACCCCCGTGCACATCTACCCGATGCNTCTCTCTCTCTCTCTCTCTCTCTCTCTCTCTCTCTCTCTGACAGTATTTTCTCTTACTTTTAAAAATGGTGGTAGAAACAATTAAGAATGATTTTATTTAATCTAAAAATTAGTTGAACGATAAAAATTGTGGGTAAAGTTAATTTTAGTTAAACAGTTTAACTGTTGGCATCGCGATACGCTTTTCGATCGTTCTAATTAACTAGATCCTTTTCAAAAATTGTTTTAAAAACTGAATAATTTTTTATTAATAATTTCTTTTTGCAAAAGTTAAAAAATTGAGAAAATACATACATTCAACGCAAACAAATCCAGCTAACCTCGTCCTAGAAAACTACGTGGATTTTCTTGTTCAAAACACTAAAAAATTTACTGAGTGGTTAGATTCCGCTAGGGTTTTGTGTTCGAATCCCGACGGAGCTGATGGCGTTTTAATTGATTACAGTATGAAAAATGTGTTGCAACGTTGTTTGTCCCCTCGTCCGCAACACCGGATTATGCACTTTTCTTTGGCATAGTGGACAATTTGGACCACATGTATCTCGTAAATAAACGGGCCCAAGAAAATTCACAATTTATAACGTTTATGTTGGATTTTTTTAAAATCAAAATGCACGGTTTAAAAGGTTTATGAGAAAGCATTGTAACTGTAAGAATTCTTCTGTGTTTATAATCATGGAACGAAATGAAAACGCGGATTTAACGCTTATTAAATTATGAATCGAAGCTAATGGAATATAGATTTATCCAAATCGCTTATAAAATGGTTCATTTTGTAATTGTTCTTCCGTTTATTGCAATACACTCTAGGCGTTCGACCTTCGCAAAAATAATAGCAGTTTTATTCAAACCTTGACATAACGCATGATATCTTTTTTTGGAAAAGAACGAAACGGTAATAGCTAAAGTGAGTGTAGAAGAGTGAAAGAGAATTCCGTCTAGTTGTAAAAAAAAAGAATGGATTTACCGGATGAAAGGTCTCATGTATGCAATTCAAGGAGATCGGCGACAGTACAAATTGTTGGGTTTGTAACGTATGAAATGTCACAAGTTGAACCCAACGAAAAGTCAAAAAACAGTAAAGTACGTCAAAATATTCTTCCTAGGACCTAAATAATATGTTCCTTAATGTCATTTCTGTTTTATGATATCTAGCTAGTTGTAATGTAGATTGCATTCCTCTACGTTCTTATTATTTCCTTATTCAGTTATTACAATTGAATGTTTGCTTCTTAGTCTAGCCAATGTTTCCTTGACCTTCTGTCGATAGGATTTCGATTACTAACGACCAAGATTCCAAGCGATCTTGAAAAAAATTTGTATTTAATACAGTTAAACAGCTCAACCCGGAAATTCCCATGGAATAATTGCTTCTTGATTTCTATCATTAAGGAATTATAAAATTCCAAATGTCAGTTTGTTGAAAAAATTCACCAAACTTGTATTGGGGTATTAGGTCAGAAATTATTTCGGTTTTCGATCATTTTCGTCTGCCAATTTTCATTATAATTCTTTGAGCCTACAGTTTGCTGGACGCTATAATTTTTTGCGATTAGGATGATAAACTCGAACTTCGATCATTTTGGTTTACTAATACTCGCTATTATTTCTTGCAGTTTGGGTCATGAGCTTATAGTTGGATTATTTTTGGTCGACCAATACTCGCTATAATTTCTTGTAGTTTGGTCTGAGGGTATTTCCTGCTGGTTTGCAGGTTTCTTGAAGTTGGGGTGTTAAACCTGTAATTTGATCGTTTTCAATCATTTTGGCCTGCTAATCTTGGATGGTTAGATTATTGTCCTGCGATTGGAGTGATGAGCCTGTAGATGGATCATTTTTGGTCGACCAATACTCGCTATAATTTCTTACAGTTTGGATGATGAGCCAGTAGTAGTTTGATGAAGCTTATATTGGGGTATTGGATCAAAAATTGTTTTGCTTTGCAGTCATTTTGGCCTCCAGATATTTGCTGGTTTGCTGGTATGTGAAAGTTGGGGTGATAAACATGTAATTTCATCGTTTTCAATCATTTTGGTCTGCTAATCTTTGATGATTCGATTGTCCTGTGATTTGATGAGCCTGTAGTTGGATCATTTTTGGTCGACCAATACTCGCTATTTTTAACAATTGGTATCATGGGCCTGAAGTTTGTTCATTTTTGGTCGACCAATACTCGCTATTTTTTACAGTTGGGGTCATGAGCCTGAAGTTTGTTCATTTTTGGTCGACCAATACTCGCTATAATTTTTTCCACCAAATGCTTTGATCAAGCTTGTATTGTGGTATTATATAAAAAATTATTTTGGTTTCCTGTCATTTTGGTCTGCGGATGTTTACTGGTTTGCTGGTTTCTTGCAATTGGGGTGATAAACCTGTAATTTGATCATTTCAATCATTTTGGTCGTTGTAACCAGTCGTTGTTGGTTCGCCATAATTTCTTGCGATTGGGGTGTGAGCCTTTAGTTTTTTCAAGCAGTATTAGGTTAAAAAAAACTTTTCAAGAGCCATCTTAATTTATCATGTCAATAATTTGCCAAGGGATTTGTTTTTCTATCGTACACTGACTTATGATGAATCAACGCGCAGCATGTCAATGGCTGCTGTACCAGAAACCGAGTGAACCAGAGAAACCGCCACTAATTCACGATCACTGAATCAAAACGGGCTTATCGCCAGGAAAAAAAACACATAATAGAATTATACTTTTGTAAATTAGGTTTTAGCTTAGATTTCATATAAAATAAAACCGAACACGAATTCTTGCGAATATCTTTCACGTCTCACGACACCGCCGCATATCGTGATGAAAGTGTTTTAAGATGCTCTCGTTCGACAATTGATACCCTTTCAATTTCATACATAGTATCAGAACCATCATAAACGTTTGATGTTTTTGCCGAAGAAAAGCTTGTAAAACAAATACGACTAATTAGTAGCTTCATAAATGACCTGCATGACTTTGAAGTGGAAGGTTGTTGTTTAACCTGCACATATATTTAAGACAGTCGATCCCTTAAACCGCTTTTTTAACAACTCAATTTACATAAATTCAATCGTAAATATTTGAAAATTATAAAAACAGAACTAGCCAAACTTCTCGACGATGGAGGACCCAGAACTACCTGTATACCCCATTTAAGACAACCTAATACAACCGATACAGATATACATGCAATATGAAATAACTTGTATGATTCTGACTTGTTTATGTGTTTAAAACACTTAATCAAAACAAAAATTTTAATACACCTTCCTTTAGTTGTAGTTGTTCTGTCTTTCTTTGCTCCATTATTTAAAAAGTTTCAAATTTCCTACTAGCTGTCTGTTATATCAGCAGAGTTTCTCATTTTAAAAAATCTTTTTGATTAAGTGTTTTTTGGCAGGCCAAAATGATAGAAAACGATCAAATTGCATGACTCTCAACTACGAGAAATTATAACAAACTAGTGACGATGGGCAGGCCAAAATGATCGGAAACAATCAAACTACAGGTTCATAACCCCAAACCACAAGGAATTATAACAAACCAATAAGGGGTTGGCAGACCAAAATGATTGAAAACAATAAAACTTCATTACCCTCAACCACAAGAAATTATAACAAACCAGTAAGGATTGACAGATCAAAATGATCAAAATTCACGACCCTCAACCACAAGAAATTATAACAAGCCAATGAAGATTGGCAGACCAAAATGATTGGAAATGATCATACTACCAGTTCATAACCCTCAACTACAAAGAATTATAACAAACCAGTGAGGATGAATGATTAAAATTCATGATCCTCAACTACAAGAAATTATAACAAACCAATGAGGATTGGCAGACCAAAATGATCGGAAATTATCGAACTATAGGTTCATAACCCCAAAACCACAACAACCCTACAAATTATAAAAAACCAATGAAGGGTTGGCAGACCAAAATGATTGGAAATTATCAAACTATAGGTTCATAACCCCAAACCATGACAAACCAACAAATTATAACCAATGAAGGATTGGCAGACCAAAATGATTGAAAACGATAAAATTTCATGACCCTCAACCACAAGAAATTATAACAAACCAATGAGGATTGGCAGACCAAAATGATTGGAAATGATCAAACTATCAGGTCATAACCCTCAACCTCAAGGAATTATAACAAACCAGTGAGGATTGGTAGTCCAAAATGATCAAACCTATTTTGCAAGTGAAGATTTAACTTTTATGTTTTATAATTTATACAATTTTTTCCTTTTAGAGTAGTACGATTTCCCTGTTTTGCAGTTAAACTTTTGTCTGTTGGGTCTATTCCAAGATATTGTATTGAGTTCTAATATTAAACTCTAGTCATTTATAGTGAAATTTGTTCCATTTATAAAATAATTTTTAGTTTGTTATGTTTTAGTGCATAGTATCCAATATATATAATATGTAAATTATTTATATAATATGTATATTGCATTGTATATGTTTAGTATACATACCAGTGTAAAGTCGTTTTTTATATATATACTAAACCGGTCGTGGGCATCTGCCTGGTGATAAATAAAGAAAAAGAAGAAGAAAAAGAAGAAGAAAAAGAAATAAAGAACTTCAATAGCAAGGGGCATCGGTGGCCTCAATGGTTTAGGCATTGACACGACACTCATCACTGTAAGGTAAAGGTCCCAGGTTTTCAAAAATACCGGCACACCAAGAGTTCGTGTAACTATAATAAAAAACCCTGAGAAAAAAAAATAGAATCAAGCTGCCACCCTTACCTACAATATATTAAACTGATGGCAGGAATCGAGGAACTCATAGTTGATCAGTCATGGCAAGGAAGTCCAACATTTTTGACAAAGTTAAAATAACCGACACGGCTTCTCTGTCGCATAAAAGCTAAAACTTTGAAAAACCACATTACTATGAAAATAAAACGAAAGAAGAAAAACCTGGAACAACCTCTGGCGTAAGATGGCTCAAAGATGAGAAACAGTACAGGAATGGGCATAAAGGGGCCTAACTAGAACCACATGGCGCACGGCTCGACTACAACCATATTTCGAGCCCAATTGCTTGCCCTAGAAAATAATAGCAATAATAATATTATCAAATAACTAGGCAGCATTAAATGTCACAAGTCTTGAGGGAATTTCAGGCAACGAGGCAGTAGAGTTCCTATCTAAAAAAGGAGCCTCAAACCAGCACACAGGACAAAATATATTTTGTGGCATTAATTACATAGAACCACATAGAAAAAGAATGGAATCTTGGGTTTACTAAAAAATACACCCCCAATAAAGGGAATGCCACCCAAGCAAAAAGACTACTTGCAAAAACTACCTACCCAATAACAGAAAAAGGAAACCATATTCAATTGAAAAGAATAAAGAAGTATAAATTAAATACCACAGTCAAAAAATAATAATAATGAGATTATTAACAGATGACCAATATAGACTATATGTCGCTCTGCAATAGGTATAGAAAAAAAAAATTGGCATCTAGAAAACCTGTTCCTAGGCTATAACGAACTCAATACCATATCTTGGAATAGACCCAACAGACAAAAGTTTACTGCAAAACAGGGAAATCGTACTACTCTAAAAGGAAAAAATTGTATAAATTATAAAACATAAAAGTTAAATCTTCACTTGCAAAATAGGTTTGATCATTTTGGACTATCAATCCTCACTGGTTTGTTATAATTCCTTGAGGTTGAGGGTTATGAACTGATAGTTTGATCATTTCCAGTCATTTTGGTCTGCCAATCCTCATTGGTTTGTTATAATTTCTTGTGGCTGAGGGTCATGAAATTTTATCGTTTTCAATCATTTTGGTTTGCCAATCCTTCATTGGTTTGTTATAATTGATTGTAGTTGAGGATCATGAATTTTGATGATTCATCCTCACCGGTTTGTTACAATTCCTTGTGGTTTGAGCTTATGAACCTATAGTTTGATCATTTCCGATCATTTTGGTTTCCCAATCCTCCTTATAATTTATTACAGTTGGAGTTGTGAAACAGCTGTTTGATTGCTTTTTTTCTCAAAAACTCAGGCACCCTGAGGGTGTTGATATGACCTTTGCTGTTTCAAGCCCTCATATTTAAAAAATAATAATTTGTGTTACGTATAGCTTAATAAAACTTTTTTTTACAGGTCGTTCAATTTTAAGAAAAAATGGCCAAATACTGAAAATGTAGGATGAAGAAATAATAGTCTTATAAATTTAAAAAAATAAGTCTTAATTAAATACATCTAACAATAAATTAAAACAAAAATCATAGTTAACAATTATAATGTACGTCACATTTCAAAAATGAAGAAATTACTAGGTTTTAACATTTCATTTCTCTATACACAAATAAAAACAAATCATTTTTATTAACAATACAATCAATTATGTACAAATTATAAACAAAATGTAACAATGAGGTCATTTCTTAAGGAAAGGATGGTTGAGAGAAACACTAGGTGGCGTGAGACTGTCAGTTTGCACCGACAATTCTTTACTAGCGGGTTTAGCATCGGTCAGTTTTTTGACCCCACGTTTGATCGGAGTTGAATGTTTTATCGTCGAATTTTTCGACCTGCTCCTAGAGGCAGTTCTTTCGTGTTCATTGCTCGTCGACGACGATTCCATGCTCAGCTTGTTCCTCTCCCTGGTTTTTCTAAGCGTCGACAACGCCCAACCGATCCCCAAGCTGCGAAACACTTCTTCAATCCCGTCCGACGAGCTCTCTAGGATGCTGCACACATCTTTGTCAGTTATGAACTCGCTTTCAGAAATTGAAGAGACCGAATTTTCCAAATTTGGCTCTTTTTCAGCTTCGTAAAAACTATGCAGCCTGTTAAGCTGGTTCGTCAAATCAGACAATTCGGATGATTCTTTGTTCTTTTCATTGATAGATTTTGTTTTTATAGACATTGGTGTTTCAACTTCTTGTATCGTCGATAATTCAAACGGTCTTGGCCTTGCCTCTTTTTTCCTAAAAGAATATTTTAAATTAATTAAAAAAAATAATTTAAAAAAAATAAAAACCCACCTCATGAAAGGGACTTCATTTGAGCTTGAAGATTCTTCCTCCTGGGTAAGAAACGGTTTGGGGTGTAAAGAAGAAGGTACACCTATCGAAATTCCATCCGAAGTCTCTTGGGATTTATTCTCTTCGATGTAATTTTCATTGCTTAGAACGGAATCCTCAGGCGCTGGATATTGTTTATCTGTTTTCTTTTTCTCTTTAACTGTTTCTTTTATAAGGGGATAATTTGAGAGTGATTCGTCTTTAAACTCATCTGACGAATGTGTGAAAATAACATTACAGTCATCAACGATGTCTGTCAACTTTTCTATCCTTCTTACAAAAGCGTTTATTATATCTGACTGCGGTACATCATCAGAAATGGAACTTGTGTATGTCGTTTCTGTACTGTCACTACTTTTGCTAATATCTTTTACACTTAATTTGTCGGATTTTTTTATTTTATTAACAGATGAGATGTCTGACAAGTTGCATATATCACTTTGGACTGTAATGTCGCTAACACTAGATACGCCTAGTTCACTCACCGAACTTTTTGTCTTGTTTAAAAGCTCAACGATGTAGTCATGCAGTTTGGAATTTTTATTTTTTACGACTAACTTTTTGAGAACGTTGCTAAGTAGAGAATGTTGTTCAGGACTTAGATTGGTTGGGGGACTGTAATAAGATGTTGAACTCGATTGTTCTTTTACTCTGTTTACCGGTGTTGATTCATAAACCGGTTTTTTTACAATTTTCTTGACTTTTGGCTTTTTCTCTTTTCCAGATATTCTAACAACGACTTCAACAGCATCAGAACCTGATGACTCCCTTGGTGTTGCAGAATTTTCTGTAGAAAAACTACCCCGGAAGATGTTTTCTACTTCACTTTCAGAAACCCTGTAATTATCCCCTGAAGATGAAGACCTTGTTGAATCAGGGTCTAGGGAAATTCTTTCAACCCTGGCTGAAGGCGATTTTTCTTTTTCTTGAGGCCAGCTTTGTCTTACTGATCTCTCAGGAGCGAATGATTCACCACACGGTAAAGACCTTCTCGGAGAAACTGTAGAATCATGAAACAGTTGTCTTCTTGGTGAAACATCATTTTCTGTTGTTTCATCCTCTACTCGCTTGTGTTTAGGCAGTACAGTTCCAAAATTCTGCTCTAACGAACACGGCGATCTTTGCTTTTGATTAATAATTTCAGCCAAGCATCTTTGATTTTGTGTCAAAACAACTTCTTTTACACTTGTAGACATTCTCTCGGAAAGATGCGGTGAATGCTCTGAAGATTTTTCATACTGCGATTCATTTTCTTGAGAAGTTTCATGAGGTGATTCTTCCCGAAATGATGCTTCGGGTTGTTGAGGTTCCACGTGGATTTTTTCAGTAATTAAAGACTGTCCTTTCCTCTCTTCAATCTTTGCCGGTCGGGGGTCATAATGAGGCAGGACTCGGCCTTGGTTTTCTTCGGCTTGTGGCACCTGCCGTTTTTTCTTAGGCAAAGGCGGTTTTTCAGCAACAGGCTGAATGTCGGGACTTTTCGGCGAAGGTTTGGCATGTAAATTAGCTTCCATCCAACCTGCGATTTCATTTTCCTCGTCGGACGACTCGCTCAAACGGCTCAGGTTCCTCAGGTTGTTCGGATGGAGCAGTTTTTCCCTGTGTTTCTGAAAACGATCGCAAAGTTCTTTGAGGCTGTCTACTGCTTTTCGTTCGTGGCTATTCTGTTTGTCAAAAAGCTTCGGACACTTTTCAGGGCTCTCTTGCAAATCTTTCAAAAGCTCTTGTAATCTATCTTGATTATGAAATGGTTTTTTCAAAAAGCTAGAACCCTGGGAAATTACAAAACAAAAAAAGTACAAAATAGTCACTATTCAAAAATAACAAAATTGTAATAGTAGAAATTATTTACCGGTGGAGCGGAAACATTTTGTATCTTTTCTTGTTTATTGATCTCAGAGATGGCACTGCACATTTGATCGAACTCTTTTTCTGTTTTTTCTCTCTGCATCGCCTCTTTTCCCCTTTTGTCCAATTTGTCCAATTTCATTTTATTGGTCATTTCAAGTTCAGCTCTCTCCGCTTTTTCCTTATCAATTTCCATTCTCATGTCCTGCACATAAAAACAAACTTATAAAAACAATGAAACTTAATAAAAGGCGATTTACTTACAAAGTCGTCTCCTATGCGATTAACGCTCGTCGTCGGTTTCAAATATTCGGTTGTTTTCCGTTCGTTGTGATTGTAAAGTTTCACCTTATGGAGAGATGGTCTAGTGCTCAACTGCGACCGCGGAGGCCAAGTTGCACTCGAATCGTCGCTATCATCAGAAAACTCTTCATCAGGAATCGTGAGGCTTCTGTTTCTTTCTCTGCATACCTGAAATCTACACAACTGGTTAACACTCTCTATATTATTTATTTATTATCTTTTAACATACTTCAAAGGCGACGTCATTTTATGATTTGGTGATTTTAACTCAGTGCAGGTCTGAACGTCCTTTAAAGGTTTACGCGGGGAATGAACAGGGCTTGTTACAGCGTTTTTTGTCTGTTTCTTCTTTGAAGATTTCGATATGGTCTTTTTCACGGATTTTTCACTGGGTTTGGAAGGTTTTGAAAACCGCTCCACAGCAGGCGGAAGTCGCGACACCATGGTTGATCTGAGTTTCTCGACTTTGCGCGCATACTCCAACTGCTCGGCGATTTTGTTCTCTTTATCCTTGATGGCGTGTTTTTCCTTTTTGGCCTTTTCCTCGGCAAGGGAGCCCCTCGCCCTAGCGACAGCTTGCATGACATTCTTCTGCTCTTTCAATATCAGCTTTGCGTCTGGCTGAAAAAAGACAAAAAATCTACTTGACTTTTGCCTGTTACTGGCTGAACATAGGAATAATTAGACAATGCGAGCAAGATATTTCCATTTAAACAAAACTAACAGGCCTACATAAATATAAAGTAAAAAAAAAAAAGAATTTCAGTCCTAAGCCAAGAATTTAAGAACCCTTGGGCCTATTCAGCAATATCCTTCTGTCCACAATACTGAGAGCTAGCTTGGCTCAATTTAATCAAAATAAACAATAATAAAGTCATCATGTCTGATATCCACGTGATCATCAAAACATTGAATCCGAACACCATCAGCTTAAATACAATTCTTGATCGTAAGTCCAAACTAAAGTCAGGAATGCAGAAACAGAGAACCTTCGGGTTACACTTGTATAATGGATGTGTAAATACACTCAAAATAAAATGTGTGTAAAGAAGTGTAAATATACTCAACATACTCAAATGAAGGAAGACACTCTTAATATTGGCAGGTTTTTTGCCACTAAAGTTGGACTCCTATGATCATAGTAAGATCATATTCTGCAAGGAAGCAATAAAAACATTGGTTCATTTATTCTAAGCACAATGGTGTAGGGGCGTCAGTGGCCGCAAGAGTTGACCCGGCGCTCATCAAGTAACCCGAATCCAGCGGCCCCAGTATACTTACCCGACGTACAAATGGGCTATTAAGTTTAATGGTTTAGTGTACAACATTTTTCTTGAAAGCTCATTCACAATTTTGAATTGTTTATTGTATTTATTTTCTTCAGCAAAATCAATAGACATTTTAAAAGTCTAGACGTTTATGAACACAGCATGTGCAGATTTTGCAAAGCAGCTGAAGAAGCTATCGGACTGTGAAGCAAGAGAAATAATTTTGGCAATAAAAACAAAACTGTGGTGAGTAATCATGACTTTAAAGTTTTTGACAAATTTGAATGTTTAAAACTTTACTTTTCTTGCGTCAGTGTAATCTGAAAAGTATGGGATGCAAAATAAACGCAGGTTTTCGTTTTCACTTCACTTTTAATACGAATTGTATAAACAAAATTAATCCATTATGCTAAGGGTATCATTTTAAAGCCTATTTATCTCGCTTTCTTTCTCTTACAACCCTTAAGTTTTATATATTATGTATTTAAACATTTAATTCAGTCTGTTCAGCGCCTACAAAAAAATTATGTCTAAAAGCGATTTTCAGTAAATTTATTTCTATGTATTTAAACTTTGGCGAAGTTCAACGCAAACTGCTCGAAATATTAATGACATTTGGGGGCATGTATTGGGGGTCACAATGTCTTTAGACAATGAGCGTGCGCACCTAGCACATAGGCCTTATCACACATTTAGATTCTCAAGTTAAGAGCAATTCACCTCCGCACATGGTAGATAGTATGAACACCGTGAGGTTCCATGTAGAAACCACCACATCCGCAGACTAGTCTGACATGTCGACTTCTCCCGCTTGCCCTGTCCGAAGGGGTGGGTCAGCATTGTGCTTAACCGTGTGCCATGTGTAAAGGGATTTCCAAAGGGGTTGAAATGCATCAGCCCTAGATAGATGATAACTCCCTGAGTGTAGGGGTCCCGCTAGCGTCGAAACTTCCAGATACACTCCGCCCGCGATTTCGTTTAAAGTGGAATTTCTAACCACCCCATAGAGGAGTCTGCTTTCAGTAAAGGAAGCCCATGCGAGCACCACAGAACAACAGCCTCTTCTCTAGGTAACTGCCAGGGGGCTCACCTATGGCCAACAACGAATCCATTCCCACATAGCATGCTACAGGGCTTGGAACTGAAGAACTGTGCTATCCTGTTGCACAGCTGGTTATGCACCCTCACCTGTCTATAAACAGGATCTGGTACCCTAGCCCACGTTCTTTTTGTAATGATTTTAGACTGGCCTGACTGTCGGAAAAAATTTTAATATCTTTTCCCTGAATCTTATTATCCATAAGTGTTCTACAGCAAACATTAATGGCCCAGACCTCTGCCTGAAAGACCGAGGTATTATTACCAAGAGGAGAGGAGATGCTGATCCCTAATTTAGGTATGTGTATTCCAGCACCACTTCCCTTATCCTTAATGAGTNGACCACTCCGGCCACGGTTTCGTTAAAAGTGGAATTTCTAACCACCTCCTAGAGGAGACTGCCATCTTCGGCAAAAGAAAACCATGGGGGCACCACCGAACAACGTCTTCTCTAGGTACCCGCCAGGGGTCCACCTACGGCCTACGTCGCATCCATTCCCCGATAGCACCCTACTGAAGAACTGTGCTACCGTCTATGCATACAGGATCTGGTACCCTAACCCACGTGTGCCGCTGATCAAGCACCCGCCATCCGCAGCCAGCTCACAAACAAACAACTCCCTTAATACATTTCTAGGGATTAGGTAAGCTTAGTCTTTGCATCCTTGCATGCTATAAACTTCCTTGGTCCTATCATCCAAATGCACGCAGAGGGTGCTTAAGGTGATCATGTGCGCCAGGAAACACGAACAGCTTGTGCTCCAGAGAATCTGTTAAGTTCTCAAGGCTACACCATTATTTTGTGCCTGGAAACCCCTCTCGCATCCAAGCGATGGGAAGGGTTGTTGGAGTCTCCTAGGAGCACCCACTGCACAGTCCCAGGAATTGGACTGAGAGAAATGGACTTGCCCAGGCTCACCTTTGCAGGATACACCCAAGCCAATGACATGAATCTACTGCTCATTGTTACTGTGGTCCCTAATCATTACGGTACATTTGGGGGCAAGGAACCCTAAATGAACCCACAGCTCAGCTTTGGTTTCAAAAATTCCATAATGGAGATTATGACCTCATGAGCAAAGAATGGATGGCCGTCCTGTCACTGACGACCGATTAAAGATTAAAGATGAAGCTGACCCCAAAAAAACTACTCGCGAAATGGCAGAAGAACTTGGTGTTGACCTATTCACAGTCATTCTCCATCTGGAAGCTATTGGGAAAGCAAAGAAGCTCACCAAGTGAGGTCTGCATGACCGCCAAAAGGATCACAGGTATGAAATCTGTTCAATGCTTTCCGTATGCAAGAAAAATTATCCATGTCTCAGTCGTATAGTAATGTGTGAAGAAAAATGGATATTTTACAATAGACAGTGGCTGGATAAGAGTGAAAAACCAGGGCACTTTCCAAAGCCAAGCTTACATCCAAAAAAATTATGGTCACTGTCTGGTAGTCATCTGCAGCACTAATTCAACAGCTTCCTCAATCCGGGGGAAACCATCACTGCTGAAAAATACTGTAATGAAATTAATGAAATTGATCAAAACAATGCGACATTTATGACCAGCATTAATTAAACAGGAGTCTATCCTCCTTTAGACAATGCACAACCACAAATTGCACAACAGACTCTGGCACGACTTCAAGAGTCAGGTTAAGGCTTTACTACATCCGCCATACTCACCAGATCTTTCTCCTACAAATTATCACTTTTTTAAACATTTCAACAACTTTTTGTGCAAGAAACATTTCAGAACTTGGAAAATGCATTTCAGGAGTCGTTTCCAGACACTCTAGTTCCTACTCTTCTGGGATCAATGCATTGGTTGTGCGTTGGCAGAAATGAATAGATAGTAATGGAAGTTATTGCGAATAAATATATTTTGTTGAAGTTAAATTGTAGCTTTTACTGAACATCAAAAACCTGCATTATTTTAGCATCAACCCAATAAGCTGGCAATTTTGAATGTTTAATGCTTTAGAACTTATAATAAACATCCGAAAAATCTGGACACCTGTGAATACATCGTGTGCAGATTCTGCAAAGCAGAAGAAAATTTTTGGCAGTAAAAACAAAACTATGACGGACAATCAGGATATTTTAGTTTGTTGGTAATTTTGAAAGCTTAATGATGTACTTTTCTTGCATCAGCAAACTCAGTAGACATCCAAAAAATACGGACACTTGTGAATACATCGTGCGTAGATTCTGCAAAGCAGGAGAAAATGTTATGGCAGTAAAAACAAAACTATGATGGCCAATCAGGATATTTTAGTTTGTTGACAATTTTGAAAGCTTAATGCTGTACTTTTCTTGCATTAGCAAACTAAGTAGACATCCAAAAAGTATGGACGCCTGTGAATACAGCATATGCAGATAGTGCAAAGCAGCAGAAGAAGCTATCAGACTGCAAAACCAGAGCAAATGTTCTGTCAGTAATAACAAAACTATGGCGGGCAATCAAGACTGCGGATGTACATTCATACCAGTTCATACCTGCAAAATTCTTACAGAAAATTAAATATACCTGCAAAGAAGCGGACTGATGAGCAGACCCGACAGACTGGAGGCATTTGTCGAATTCCTGCTTGAGGTGTTCAAGCTGCTTCTTCTTCCAGTCTTCCTTCTCCTGCTGCCTCTTCTCTTCTTCCTCTTTCTCTATGGCTTTTAACTCTACAGACACTTTCTTCCTCACCTTGCCGGCTATGTCTCTGGACTGCTGTCTTACCTGCTGCAGTCGCAGCTTCCTCCTTCGTTCGAACTCCTTCTTTTTGGCCTGTTCGACGTCCACAAGCAAGATCTTGCTCCGGTTGATGGTCACCGGGTCGGTCTTCACCGACACGCGTACCGACATTTTTCAATCATCTGCCAATCATCGTTGATGATTTATAAAATCACTCCAGACAAATAGAAACCGTTAGCTTTTAAAAATCAAAATTACTGGAAGGTTAGATTGTTTCTCTATCTGGAGACAATCGATTAAACAATAAAACTCGATTTTGATCTATAAAGATCTAAACATGTCTAAAGAATAATAAAGTATATGAAATTTTGTTTTAACTTATAAAAACTTGAAAATAATTACAATTTTATACTTAAAAAGATTCCTAAGCTTTATAAAAAAAAAAAAGCCATCGTTTTGATAAAATAATCGATTTAAGCTTTTCAACAAAAGATAAGAATTGATATCAAAGTTGCTATTTTAGAAGTTATGTTTTGATTTTTCAAAACGCCTCAATAATTTATTTACTATTGATATGGAGCCTTATTTAGTACAAAAGGTACATTTTCAATAAATTTAGTAAACTTAATGTATGAAAAGTAAAAAACATCAAAGAATTGATATATTTTATATTTCAGCTTTTATAAACTTGTCAATTGTGTTTGGCTTTGTTGCAGTACAATCATATATGTTAATTTTACTCTTTCACATTCTTAAATTTGAACGTAGGTTAATAATTGTGCAACCGTTGCAGGCACCAGCGACTATATTATACATTCCAGACTTCATAAATGAGATGGAAGAGAGTTATCTCGTCGACAAGGTGAACAATGCGCCGAAGCCGAAGTGGACGTATTTGAGCAACCGCCGGCTTCAGAACTGGGGAGGGCTCCCCCTTCCGAAGGGCATGATTACGGAGCCGTTGCCGGATTGGCTCAAGTTCTACGTAGACAGGGTGAACGAGTTGGGCGTATTTGGAAACAACATTAAAGCGAATCATGTCCTCGTCAACGAGTACCTACCAGGCCAGGGGATTATGGTTGGTCCCTGAAAGCAAGTTGTTCGTCAAAGAAAAAACTCAACTTTCTTTTTCCAGCCTCATGAAGATGGCCCTTTGTTTTACCCGACGATCGTTACAATTAACTGCGGTTCCCATACTGTTTTAAAATTTCAAAAGAAACGACATGATGAAGTATGTTGTCATTGTTAGATAAAAATTTCCCTTTGCTGATATTTTTTTTGTTCTTTTTCAGGACAAGAAAGAATCAGAAAAGCCTATTTCTATGTTTTTAGAACCGAGGAGTTTGATTATTGTTAAAGACAGCATGTACCAAAACTACCTACACTCGATTGAAGAAATATACGAGGATAAGATTGATGATTCGATTGTAAATGCTGATTTAATTAAGCCCAAAAAAGGTGAAAAGGTCACGAGAAAGACCAGGATATCTTTTACAATAAGGAACGTACCAAAAATTTGTAAATTCAAGCTCAATATTTTTAAATAAAAACTTGTTTACATTTTTGTAATCGAACTTTTAATTTTAACTACAAAAAAGTAATCTTTTTTGGATTATAAAAATTTTGTAAGCTTTTCAGTGTTTTTACATTAGCTTACAGTTTTTATAGTGATATAAACAATAAAAAGAGGATCAAAAAATAACTACACAAGCGACAGCCAAAAAGATACCTAAAAAGTAATAAAAAAAAAGTTGAAAAGCTTACAAATTTTCATAATCCAGTTGTGAAATAAACAACAAAAAGAGGATAAAAAATAACTACACAAGCAACAAGCCAAAAAGATACCTAAAAAGTAAAAAAAAAGTTGAAAAAGCTTACAAATTTTTATAATCAAGTTGTGAAATAAATAACAAAAAGAGAAGCTCAAGATAACTGCATAACTGACAAGTCAAAAAGCTACCTAAAAAGTTGAAAATGTTTTTATAGTCCAGATGTGAAATATTCAACAGAGAATCAAGAAATATTATTTTTTAATGTTGTAGATTTATTATATTCATCTTGTAGAACAGATCTTTCCACTGTTCCCCTGGATATCTCCCTCAAAGAAGTAGCGCGACTTACGCAGGAATAAGGAATTAATTAAATAATTGCTCCAGTTTAAGGGGTGGCACCCATGGCTTACAGTCTGCTTTATTCCTCTGCATAAATCATGCAGGGGAGGATTGTTGTGATGCTGGGTATTTGATGTTGCAGGTGATGGGTGGCTGTGTGCTCTCCTTTCAGTGAGGAATTCCAGAACACAGGTGATTGATCTCGTGTTCTGTTCGATTTCTCTACTGACTCAACTTTCAACAAAAACTCCTTATATTCTGGCTCAACCGGACATGACCTCAGCTTGGGAATCTTGGTTGGTGAGGCTGTGGACCCTTGAACCTCACTGGTTCCTCATTGATATTATTTATTATAAGACAATTAATTAAGGTTTTTAGTTGAGATGAAAAAAAGCTAATGGTTGAGAGGGATTCGAACCCACGACCTTCGGCTAGATATGCCGCTGCTCTACCACCTGAGCTATCGTGACCTCGATCCACTCGGACATCAACTCCCCATCTCAACCCCACCTTATGAGTTTTCCCTCCTTTTGCCATTTTTTTTAATCCCTCTCGTGCCATTAGGTTTTTTTCATCTCAACTAAAAACCTTAATTAATTGTCTTGTATTAATTGGTCAAGCGGACCACGAAAATAGTGAATTAATTATTTATTATATGAAAGGCTTCTGAGCGAAGTGACAATATAATATTTACTTTAATTTATTTATGAACTTTAAACAAGGGCTGATAATGAGATTTTCTTTTAAAAAGAGATTTATTTAAACTCAGTTACAAATATATTTAAATATTACAAAATAACTACATTACTATATCCATTACTTCGTCTGTTATTTCTCGTTTTGTATCTAATTCGTCGAGTGTCTCTAAAGAAACGTCGATGAGGTTGTTTTCGTCATTGTCATCTTCGTCGAGCAATACTTGGAGCTGGTGTAACGAAGCGAACAAGACATGAAACTGTTTACGCCTCATGTCTAATTTGCTTTCCAACTGGTTGTATTTTACCTTTAACAAAAGAAGAAAATTAAAAAAATGTAATAATGAATCAATTTAAGCTGTAAAGGGCGAACCTCGAGTGTTTCAAGTTCGGAGCGTAATTTTTCAAGTTTTTCATTTGTCTCTTTCCTGTCTTGCTGTTCGTTTATGACCTTGGCGAGAACTTCATACTCGAGCCGGTTTTTCCGTATCACCTTAGCCTCTTTGAAATCCTCTTTTGTCTTTACGATTTCCTCCTTGACTCTCTCAATCTCCTGTTCGATCTGCTTGCTTATGAACTCGTAGTTCTCGACCTCGGCTTCTGCCATTGTAGCCGTCAGCCGTGACTTGAGGAACGCGTACTCGCACTTGTTGACCTGAGAGAGGAGATGGTCTCTGGTCAATTTCCTGAAACGTTAAGACGTCAATACACCGACAACTAGAAATCTACTTGGACTTACACATCAGCCTCATCGTCAGCACACCATTGCTGAAACTGTTTCAACAGTAAATTAATCCTCCTATCGTCACCAGCTCCGTCTCCATCGACAAGGAGTCTTTTTTTAATAATTTCCTCTGAAAGTTTACAACATGTAAAATTTTAAAAACAACAAAAATCTACTACTCACCTTCATTCATATTTTGTTCAATATTGCATTACACTAATTACACAACAATTAGATTATTTATAATTAAAAAAAACACATTTTATATTTTTAAAACTTGCAATTTCCTTGTGCTCTCAAAGAAACACCGCTTGTTTATTTTGATAACAGTCAAGGAAGTTACAAGATCAAAATTATCTTTGGAGGTTTCACAAGGGTTATAAAACGATTTTTAAAACAAAAGAACATTAGCTATAATTCCAGTTCATTATTTTTATTAATAACAATTATATTCAAAAGTGGCAATATTATCTAAACGAAATGGATCAAGGCATTTCTTCTACGTAAGATGTCTCATGATTAAATTCTCTCTATATCATAAAAAAATGTATACTTAATAGATACAAAATACTTTCCATTCATAATAGTATTATTAATCCATCGGAGATTAATTTGATTAATTAGCACTTATTTTAAGAGAAAGAAAACTGGTATCTCATAATAAATGTATAATAGGGCAAAAAGACTAAATTAGTAAAAAGGATAGGGGTTTGCAGAAAATAATTGAATAGATCTTGGTGTACTCTGGTTATAATCTGCCCAGCACATAATTTTTTTGTCTTTATTCAGCTTATATTCGATACAATGTTCACCAGATAGGCTTTTTTGTCAATTTACAGTCAGCAATATATAGTTTTAGTAGCAGTCTGATCCATTTATGACATCTTGGTCCAGCTACTCTCCTTGTTTCTTTTGTGTCGACGGTGTCAGTATATTTAGACAAAATACAGCAAGAATCTGTGGATTAAGTTGAGTGAACAAACTAGAGAATTCAAAAAATTATATTCCAGTGAAATTTCAGCCTCGTGACACTCCACTGGGTTTCAATATTAACATATTGAAAATAAAAGAGTCTATATTTATGACAAAATTTAAAATTTACAGTTTTTTTTTTTTTGGGGGGGGGGTTTGGTTGAGTGTTTCTGTATATTTGGTTAATACAGTTAGAAACTGTTGTCAAGGCAAACGTACAGAATATAAAATCCTTTTTTTCCCTACCAGTGAATCCTTCACATTTTAAAGTCCTTTTCTTTTGGCCGAGTCTTATAAATTTAGACAAAATACAGCAAGAATTCAGGGGTAGTAAACAACCTACAGAATTCAAAAAATTATATTCCACAAAATTTCCGCCTAGTGACATTTCACCGTGTTTCAATATTGACATATTGAAAATAAAAGAATCAATATTTAGGATGAAATCAATACAATTTACGGTCCTCAATATATATATTTTTAGTAGAGGTCTGGTCCTTCTATTCTACTTGTTTCTTTTGGCCAAGCGTTACTGTACAGGTGGATAATACAGTTAGAAACTGTTGATCAAGGCAAATGTACAGTCTATAGAATCCTTTTTTTGTCCCTAGCTTTATTTTNCTATTCTTCTGTTTCTTTTGGTCCAGTGTTTCTGTATAGTTGGATAATACAGTTAGAAACTGTTGATCAAGGCTAATGTACAGAATACAGTCTAGAATCCTTTTTTTGTTTTGTCCCTAGTTCCTACCAGCGAATCCTTCACATTTTAATGCAAAGTCCTTTTCTTTTGGCCGAGGCTATAAATTAAGACAAAATACAGCAAGTGGATCAGGGCTTGTGAACAACCTATAGAATTCAAAAAATCATATCCCCATGAAATATCAGACAGTGAACTGTCTCTGGGTTTCAATGTTGACATATTGATAATAAAGAGCAAATATTTAGGATGAAATTATAAAATGTACAACCTGCTATATGTATTTTTAATACCAGCCTGATCCATTCGTGATTTGTTCTTGGTCCTTGTATTCTTCCCGTTTCTTTTGGACTAGTGTATCTATACATTTGGATGAAATCCAGCAAGAATTTGCAGATCAGGGCTAATATACACCCTTTATAATTCAAAAAATTACATACTAGTGGTATTTCATCTTTATGAACTGCCACTGGGTTTCAATATTGACATATTGGAAATAAGGAGCCAATATTTCGTATAAAATTTACAGCCTTCAACATATATTTTTTCATATATAATCATGATTTGTTCTTGGTCCTTCTATTCTCCCTGTTTCTTTTGGTCGAGTTGGTCGATATTAGCCAAAGAGGGGACAAAATACAGCCAGAACATTTGGATCAGGGATAAGCAATTTAAAAAAAAAAAGATAACCCAGTGAAATTTCAGCCTTGTAAACTGCCAGTTGGTTTCAGTATTGAGGTATTAAAACTAAAGAACCATTATTTAGGATGCAATTATAAAATTTAAAACCTACAATATGTATTTTTAATACCAGTATGATCCATTCATAATTTGATCTTGGTCCTTCTATTCTTCCCATTTCTTTTGGAAAAGTATATCTATATGATTGGACATAATCCAGCAAGAATCTGTGGATCAGGGCTGGTGAACAACCTATAGAATTCAAAAAATTATATTCCACGAAATTTCAGCCCTATTGAGATTCCACCGGGTTCAATATTGACATTTTGAAAATAAAAAAGTCAATATTTAGGAGGAAATTATAAAATTTACAGCCTTCAATATGTTAATATCAGTCTGAATCATTCATGATTGATTTCTTTTTGTAAAGTCGCCAACATATTTGGGCAAAATGCATCAAGTAAAATTTAACTACCTCTGGGTCGCGTTCAGTGCCGCCTAGCAAAAATTGATTTTTTCCTTTAAAATACTAACTATTAGGTCTACGTGACCGTTTGAATTTTTTGATTTTATAAATTGTTCAGCAGCAACTACGAAGAGATGAAAATAGTCGCTACTTCTGATAATATACCTCTCAATATCCCCAGCCAGGAGGCCGTCGTCAGTGAAATAGGTTCAAAACAATATCCTATATTATTTTCAACCTAATGTTGATAATTTTGTCTGTTTGCAGTTGAATACTACCAGGCAAAAATTTCAAAAGACATGAGAGATATGGTCGGTCATGTTATAAACACAATCGACGCTCAAAATCTGCAGTATGTTATACACCTAATGTTCTTTTATTTATGTTTTTAATTAATTAATTTTTTTCTAGTGAAACACACAGGTTGCAAACTGATTTACAAAAATATAAATGTATCATAAAGATACAGCAGGTCCTGATGAAGCTCAAGTGTGGTTGAGGCTTCAGTCGTATCGTCGACTGTAATAATAAAAATACGCCATTGGTCGTTGTTTGGTTCATTTGGGTTTTATTTGGCAAGGTCGTCTGTTGCATGTGCGTACCGGTTTAATAAATTTGTTGACATTTGTTTTTTTATTTTTAGTCGTCGTGCAAAGGGGGCTATTTGGGCAAAGAGTCTCGTAGAGCAATCCAGATTTCAGATACAGCTTGAGTTCCCGTATGCCACCGATAAAATGGCCATCTAAAAATATCTGAGGGACCTTGAAAAATAAAATTTATTCTTGTATAAACAACTTTTAAATTTTAATATCTTACTGAATCGAATCCAGTTTTCTTAATAAGAGTTAACATCAGTTCATCAGTCATTGGCAGTTGGTCCATTTCGATTGCTAAATAATCAGCACCCGCCATTTGGAATATCTGTAAAAATAAGGCGTTAATGTAAATTTCAAAAGAGATATTTTTATCTCACATTCTTTGCAATGTCGGAATCGGTGCAAAATGTTTTGGAGAATATCACAACACGGTGCTTGTGTACCAATTGTTCAAGTAATTTTTCGTAATCGATAGGCTTCCTGCAACAAAGACAACCTCCCTTCGGAAGAATTTAAAAAAATATATATATAATACATATATATAAGTGTTTCATTAGAAAACTTTATAAAACAGTACACACATGCTTGCCAATTATACATTACCATAATGAATCTTTTTCGCTACATTTTTGTAATTGTCAGTTGTACAATTGTTTCATGAAGAAACCTGCTTGGAAAATTTAAAATTGTACTCTCAGCTGGAAAATAAAAACCTGCATTGTTTTCTATTTTTTTTCTTTATATTTTTTAACTGGAAACTTCTGAAGAAACATCCCTCTAGGGTTATGAAAACCACAGATGGTCATTTTAATTTATTAAAATTGATTAATTTTTTGATTATTTTAAGTCGTAACCAACTGTTTTCAACTTCATTTTGTTAAGCCATAGTCACCTGTTTTGCAATGCAGTTTTCGTTAAGTCATAATCAGCCTAGATTTTTAAGTTGTGTGACTAAAACCTTTGTTTTAAGCTGTAAACAATGGTATTCCAACTTTTATTACATTGCAGTGGACAATTTCTAACTTGGTTTTAGCAGTCTTTAACATTGTTTTATTACGACATAACCAACTTTGTTTAATTAAATCATAATCAATTTTTTTTAAGTATATAAATTGGTAATTAACCGTTTTTAAGTCAATTTTGTTGCAAAATAGTCAATTGAACCCAACTGCATTAAGTTATGTTTGTATAGATTTTATGAGATCTATGTATTCGCAGGTGTTAGAATTTTTTTCTGATTTTTGAGATGTCGTTATTCAAGAAATTGTCAAAACTTTTTAAAAACTATAAAACCCTTAGTTTGCACACACTTTTGCAAAAAATGAAAATCAATTTTTCAACTGATAATTTCTACGACCCGACTGATATTCCTAGTGCAAACTCCAACATAATTTTTCTCAAAACCTATTGGACCAATTTTCATTGCTGATAATTCGTTTTAAAGAAATTGTCAAAGGCATTTTATAACAATAAAATTGTATGATTATTTGCATTTAAAAAAAATTATAATTTATTATATTTTTATATTATATTTATTTTTTTAGTATTTTTTATTATAATTATATATATTTTGTGTATTTTCTGATAGAAATATTTTTACGGTTCATCCGTCCTTAAAAGGCTATGTTTTCCTTTTTTCAAATGGTATGTTGGAAGTTAAAATTGTTTTAGCCGTTTTTCAATTATCGCCATTTCAATCAGATATTCTGATAACTACGGTACAAATCGGAAAAAAAAAAAATTAGGGATCAAAAAGTCAGTATATTTAAATTCAAACAAAATTTATATTTAAGGTCTCTAAAGGTGCTAAAACAAAATTTCATATTAGTTTCACGCAAAAAAAATATGACAGTTTACTTGAAAATTATTTTGTTTTTAGAAATTTTTTGGTTATTGTTAAACTTTGATAGCTTTTACTATATTTTTATTGCAGTGTACATAAAAAATGCTGTAAAACGATATATTCTCATAGTTGACTTGAGTAAAACAGCGAAATAAAAATATTAAAAAACGGAAAATTAAAAAAAAAAAAAAGTTGGCGAAACGAGGGTGTACAGCCAAGAAATGGCAGATACGCATCTGATATTTTGTGTCATAGAATGACCAAAATTTGGTCAAAATCCTTACCAACCAACCTGGTCGTCCCCTTGTAAGACCAAAACAAACAAAAAACTGAAGGAAGGGAAAAATGGAAAACGGAAATGGATTAAACTGGATCTTTTCAACATGGATGGATCTTTTGGATCCATCCAAAACTGGATCTTTTCGCTTCAGCACAAAACAAATGATTTAAAATAACTTCAAAAATACAAATCAAAATAAAAAATCTAACAACTGCTTTCAATGTAAAAAAAAGTAAGTTGTTCAAAATTCAAAAATGCAGGCCTGTCCTTTTCCAAACCTGGTCGAGTACGAGACAAGATAAAGTGGAAAATATTTAGCAGTCTTTTTTTATTTTAAAAATAATGTAGCATGGTCAAATATAAATACCCTTCTTCCAGCTTTAGTTATAAATCTATAGAAAAAGGTTGTGACTTCCTGATTGTTTTTTTTTCCTTTTTTGTTTTGTATTTTTTCCAAAGGAAGTTTATATTTCTATGGCAGTATTTTTCATTTTCGCATTTTCTAAATCTGTGCGAGTGGAGTCATTCCCTTCACTAGCACCATTAAAAGCGTGATAATCATAACTGATCCTGTTCTTTTTAATGTACACTGACTTGGAATCTCCTCTTCTAAAAATCTTTCGACGATTTCTTGGCATTCCCTTTGCATATCTCCATCCAAGTAGTGACATGGTTTTTGTTTCTCAGTAAAATATTACATGCCATCCCTAACTATAAATTGTTTTTGCGCTAAAAACAGAAATAAATAAATACAAATTATTGTAACAATTTATTTTTTTTATACATACATTCCGGACATTGTCCGTTCCAGGAGGGTAAGGAAAGGTTTAAAATGTATAAAAATCGTTTTTGCCAGAGCTGTACAAACGTCCGCTATAGAGGGTTGACCATTAAGAAAGGTCTTGCTCTCATTTTTAAAATCTACCTTTTACAAAGATTTAAAAGTACAATAATCATTTCTACAGACAAAGGTTGAACGAAAACGGCTTGGTTATTTTCAAACAGTGCTTTTTTATTTTTATTTCATTGTAAATAGCCTCACATTAGTTTGTCATAAATACTAACATAGTTTTTATATATTTTTTTATCGCTATTAACAATTAAATTTTACACTTATAAACAAAAAATGAGTATACTTAGGCACAGTTGTTAAATCGTTCGAAAAAGATAAACGTTCATCACAGATACATCAAACGTTTTTTTCTGTCACTTTTTCAACACATTTTTAAATTTCATTTTACAATTAACGCATACAACTTATCACAGTCATACACAAATTTTTTTTCCCTTACAATTTAGTAAAAATAACTTTTTAATTGCTCTTGTTAATTAGAAAAATATAGAAAAAAGTAAAATAAGTCGCATATAATAAAAACTACTGGCTATTTTAAACTATTAAAGAATATCGGGGGAATATTATCAACATAACAAATATTTACATAAAAATAAACGAAACATTATTATTTACAACTTTTTTGTTTGTTTAAATATATTTTGTACAAACATTTCAAGCATTGTGGGTTTTTTTGTTTGTTTCACACATTTAATGACCGAACTGTCAAATATATTACCATTTTGACATTTTTCAAATGATCAAATATTTTTCCAAAAATAAACATTTTAACAAAAATAATTTAATTTATTTACATAAAAATAATAAATGGGGAGTGGGAGCTTTTGTCAATAATTAAAAGGCAAAAAATTCATAATCATTCTAACTTGGATTTGTAATGTGTTTAATATTTACACAATATTGATTTTAAAAATGTCAAAAATGTAGATTGGGGGGGGGGAGAAAGAAAGAAAATATTTACAAGCGTAACATTTTTGTTTTTTTTAAGAATAGAAGAAAAATGCAAGGCACAATTTAAACATTTTCGACTTTCGTAATTCTGAAAAAATTAAAACAAAATGAAATTTTTTTGTCTAGATTTTTGTTGGTTTTTAAAAATAAAAAATAAATAAATAAATAAAAAATAACATCCAAACAAAAATTTGGTAACTTAAAAAAAGGAAAAAAAAAATTTAACCAAAACAAATTAATTTTTTTCAAAATATCAATCTTTGGTTTTAGTACGTTTTTAAATTAAAAAAAAAAAAAAGCCTCAGTAGCAAAATGGGGAATGACTTTTCTCTCTCAAAATTAATAAATTAATTGAGATACTTCCTGCACCTCTTAGACAAGCAATGGCAATTAATTTTCTCCTCTTCGAGGGGAAACTTGTAGTCGTACGTCAATTCCTCGCCTTGAAGAATTTTCCTCAGGGCGAATATAAGAATGTGCTTCTTACCCAAGATGTCGACGACCCTCGAGTAGCAATTGGGCTGAAAGAAAATTTAATACGTCAAATAAACTCGTTTTAAACGGGTTTGTAGCGTTGTATTCACCTCGCAAGAATGGTTGATGAACCTCGCGGCGTTGCCTTTCATGGTAGCATCGACGACGGACTTATCGTCTATCCTGAACATGTAACAGCCGATACCTTTTGCAGTGTAGTAGCGTTCCCTTTTGTCTGTTAATGCTGATCTAATGACCTAAAATTACATAACAAGAATTCCTTGTGAAAATTTAATTACTCCTGGTATGTTATTTTTTACATGTAGTATGAACAATTATCAGAATATTTTTCGAGGGAGGGATAAGCATCAGCAATTCCAGGGGCAACAGTGGAATTGAACCCTAGTTTAAAAGCTTAACAGCAGTAGGAAGACCTGACTAAGTGGAGTGCCAAGTCAAGATGATGGTGAGGGCCATCAAGTACAAAGGGAGCAGGGGATAAGAACTGAGGCTCTTCCAGAGGGAGGGTCTGGAGTGACCAGACTTATTAGGTGACTCCAGGCAAGGTGATAAGAAGGTAGGAAGGCCAAAGCGTACTGCAGCTCTTCCAGAGAGAGGGTTTGGAGTGACCAGAAAGGAAGAAGAATTGTAGGAAGCCTGATGAACTAAGACCATCCGAAAGGAGGGTTTGGAGTTACCAGGCTTATTGGGTAACTCCAGGCAAGGAGATAGGAAAGTAGGAAGGCCGAAGTGTACTGCAGCTCTTCCAGAACGATGGTTTGGAGCGAGCAGGCAAGGAAGAAAGATTGTAGGAAGGGATAAGTGTACTGTGACCCTTCTTCCTGGAGGAGGGTTAGATTGACCAAGCTTATTGGGTTTCTCTAAGCAAGGAGGAAGGAAAAGCCAAAGCGTACGCAGATCTTTCATAAGGAGGATTTAGAGAGACTAGATAAGGAGGAAGGCTGAAGTGTACTCCGTGTCTCCTAGAAGGAAGGTTGGAGCTACCATCACACCAGGTGCCTCCTGGAGGTTGGAACACTCATCTTTTACTTAATAAATTCTATATTGGCCTTCCACTTTATCTGCATGAATCTGGCAGAGGAAGTGAGATGTTCCTTAAAGGAGAAGCAGTCTGAGAGACTTCAGATCATCTACACTCAGTCGACCTACATCCACCAGTGTTAGACTTGGCATAGCAGTAAATTCCAAGTGGAAAGCACTATACCTAAAATATGCAAGTTTATTCAGCAGGACAGCCAGCAAGGCAAAGAATTTTTTGATGAGGTTATATATACCAGAAGCCGGTATTTTTGAGGAGAGGAAAAAACACATTTATAACTATGTCGAGTTTGAATGCGCCGGCGGACTTGAACCACGGACCTTCACCTTACAGTGATGAGCATCGCATCAACGCATAAACCATTGCAGCCACTAGGGCAAAAGTGGCAAAAAATCGATTTCCTAAAAACTGAAAATTTTATTACCCAATTCACTTTTCATACAGTATTTGAGCCAGAGAATAAGGCTGTAATAATGGTTTTATGGGTAAAAATTTATTAAAACCAGTAATCACTGCTGAAACCTGAAACTTATCAATTTTGCAAGATATTCAGCTATTTTCTGAACCTTAAGGTAGCAGTCCAAACGGAGCGATGCCGTTACAAAAACCACGTCAATGGCAAAACTGAACTGACGTGCCCGACTGCCGAATATTCGACCGGTCCAAACTCCATCGCGCCACTCCAAATATCTACGGCACAACGACGGCAGGGCGCATTAGTGAATGGGAAAACCTGTGTTTTTTTGGCGCAGTCTCTGTCTTTCTGTCACTGAGTAAACATCTCCATCGTACATCCTCAAAAAGTCGAAAACGTTTATTCTTTATTGGCAATGACATCCAATCATTGAGGTGATTGAATTGAATGAAATTTACCATATTTATGGAAAGTGGTGGACAATGATTACCACAATAGAAATAAAAGAAATTCAGTCCTCAACCAGTTGGTCGACCTTTTCAAAACAAAAGATACAAATGCAACGAGAGATGCAGTATTGATAACCCCTAAGCACTGAGCAGAAATCGTAGTAGAGAACTTCTTCGTAGTTCATCCCTGTAACGAGAAATCGTAATGTGGCTGCCAACCTTTCATGTAGAGTGATGATTTCTCTCATGACTGTCTTTTGTTTTCTAATCAAGGGGTAACAAGCTGGAGTAAATATAAATAAGACATTAATCTTCTTCTTTTTTCTTTTTTTTGTCAGTTACGATAGCTCAAGTAGTAGAGCAGCGGCATATTTAGCCTAAAGTCATGGATTCAAATCCCGCTCGTGGCACTAGCCTTTTCATTTCAACCAAAACCTTACAAAAAAAAAGATTAATTAATTGAAAGAAGTAATTTGGTCAATAGAACACTAAATATAATGAGTAAATAAGACGTTTCATCCATCCTTAAATAGTTCCTCCAATCAGCGGGTTCAAGGAAAAGATCTTTCATCAAATTGATGTGGGTATTACAGCTTCTGTTCAGGAGCCACTTCTTACACCATTTCCTCTTCAGTTTTTTGCTTTTAATATATAAACAAACAGCAGCATAGTACAAGAGCTCATCATCCATTTTGAGAAGTTAATTCACTAGTTGACATTCGGAGCGACTGGCTGTGGAGCGGTTGTAAATGCCCCCTCAAATTTCAGACACTCCAAATGGAGCTATACGGCTTGGCGCAGTTCCATTTGGAACAATTGTGAATGGTCACCTTTACCCTCGCACCCAGCAGTTCGCTGTAAAAACTCATTCTAATTTCCTTTTATGTACACACCCAGTTTGGGGATAAAGACTGTTGCAATGGAAACAAGTGGATTAGTCGAGGGAAAACCAGCAATATTAGATTTTTTAGACATTCAAAAAAAGCTTCGTTGTTCTTTGATTTGGCACCGTCTTTTTTCCGAAGTACAATCTATGTGGTTTTCAGCTGTCTATCTGTTTGCAGACTATTTTAAATTGTTTGTTATTATCGTTCTTTTGTAAAAAGTATATCTATAAGGGATCACAAACTTTAGTTTCATTGTGGACGAAACTGCAAAAAGTTGATGACTTGTTTAGTAGGTACGTAATTATAGTTATCACTTGTTAGTTTATAGTTATTTTGTCAGTTCTTAAGTTTTTATTTATTATACATTCTTGGAATAACAAATTATTGTAATCGATCAGTGTACCGATCGATCGTGTTCTAATTATTATCCATTCACACAGACAGAGAGATGCAATATCGTATCGTTCACTGCAGAAAGTCTTTCACTGGTATTTTGAAATTTTAAAACTTAACCATCCCTAATTTTAATAGTATGCAATTTCAATGAAAACCCAAAATTTTAATTTTTTTTTTTATAATTCTGTTCACTATTCTAGCAGGAATAGTAAAAACAATTAAAAATATGACCATTGGGAAGCTCTTGAGTTCAGCTTTTATTTTAAACACAATTTTACAATTTTTAGTTAGAATTTCATAGAGAAAAACTTGCGCAAGCTTCATTTTGGTTATCTCAAAACGGGATTTTTGATGATTTACTTGAAAAAAAAACAGCTTAATGCCTTTGTCAGGTTATATTTGTGAGCTGCGTTAAATTCCCTATAAAGTTTTTAGAATTTGTTCTTATCTTCTTAACACTTTGTGTTTCAATATTCTGTAAATATTAGTAATTCAGGTACAATTATTGTGCGTACATCAGCGTCAGTATGTCAGATTATTTTCTTGCAGTAGCAGTTCTGTCTATCGTACACAATTTTGGACAGTTTGCTGTAGTCCAATTGATTCGAGAAGTTTCATTGAATTCAGCTTATAGAAAAACATAAAACGATGCCCATGATGATTATTGGTGATATTTGTTCCATTTTGAGATTTTGGGCCACAATTTTTGATGGTTTGCTGTGGTCCAATCGATTCGGAAAAAGTTTCATTGGATTCGGCGCACCAAAAAATTTAAACGTACTAAATTTGTGGCATTTACCTCAAATAGCTTAGGCATTACTGAATTTTTTCACTTTTTTGTTTTTTGGTCCTACTGTGCGAATATTTTAGTTAACTCACTTCTCCAGCGTATTCGATGACCATTTCACCGCTCTCGATGTCACGAAGGCAGAACAATCCTCTTCCATGAATATCGGAGCGAAACACCCCAACCGCGATTTTCGAAGTCTCTTTTAAATGCCTGAACCGCATTGCCATCGGGAGGTTCATACTAGCCGCCCTCCGACTGAAATATTTTATTAATATTATTATTAAATTATATAATTATAATAAATTAACTCCATTACCTTATAACACTTAGGCTGTCATTTTCAGTGACTAAAAGTTTAGGCGGTCTTCTGTGCCTCGACGCAAGCCAGCTGAACATGTCGTATTTGTGATGTGAATGTTTGACCCTCTCCGTCCTCGCACATCCGGAGGCATTTTCTTTTGAGACTTTGGACATTTCCTGCTCCAAAGCGGACAGTTTCCGTTTGTGATAGATAGGTTTGTATTTAGAGCAGCCGCTTATTCCAGGCAGCTGTTCCAAAATGTATTTGACGCTGTTGTTCCCCAGGCCCATCATCTTTTTGAGCATGGAGTTTGGACTGGGAAACGGATTTTGGCTCAACAGCGGAAGTCCCTTTGCCTCTCTTGCTCTCTGCACAGTCTCGAACACTTTCTCCCATGCTGACTGTATATCGCTAGTACAATAAGAAAATCCATCTTCTGAAGTTATTTCATACGTTATTTTAGGCTCTTCTTGCACAATCTTTCTTTTCGACGGATTCTCAGGTTTTTTGTGTTTGACTCTTTCAACGTTTTTGTTAACTGCTGTTTTGACTACAGCAATTTGCTCTGGTACTTTATCCACTTCCATTGGTTCGCCAGGCGGTTTTGGTTTCGGTGGAGGCTGAGGGAGAGCAAGTGACGGCTTTTGTTCGACTTTACCTTGTTGTAATGGTTGTTCTATCTTCTTTGCTTCCTGGATCGGTTTCAGTAAAGGCATTTTATTAACTTTGTTACAGATATTCTGAGATATTCTTTTCACAACTACAGGAGCTACGGCTTGTTGGGGTTTTTCCTTGTGGATCGCAGAAGAATGTGGAAGATCAATTTTGATTTGGTTTAACTTCAGTATCTGATTTTCTGGGTTAGGCTTCGGTGGGACGTACGGTTGTAGCTGTTGGGATGAAACAGTTGCAGAATCGATAATAGGGTTCACAGTTATCTCTTTGAGCTGTGTCTGCGGCTTTGTAATAGGTTCGATGACTATAGTTTCTTGGGTGGAATTTATCATTTTTACACCATCGATTTCTTTTTGCTCATGAATAATCTGCCTCGTGACTGTCTGATACGATACATTTTTATTGACTTTATAAGATTCCTGGTAATTGACTTGGTAATTGTTCCAAGGGGTTTGCGGCGAGCTTTGCATGATGTTAGGCACGCAGTTGTTCACGACTTGAGGGTTTGTGTTTACAACAACGTAGCTCTGTGGGACGTCAATTACAGGTTTTGTAGCCTGAAAAACCTGCGTGGTTGTTGCTGAGTAACTACTAGCAAGCATGCCAGGCACTGAACCAGATATAAACTGACTCGAGCTCATTACTGTATTGCTTACGACTGTTTCCATACCGACGATCATAGGTTGATTCGAAATGTACACGTTATTCTGCTGTGGGTAGACATTATTTTGTTGTGGATAAACATCTAAAGGAGGATTTGGATTGTTAAGGACAATCTGATCGACTCCGTTAGTTATTATCGTTCCAACAACGGTCGGCACGGTTTGAACTACTTGCTGTTGAATCGGTTGTTGTATGTGGTAAGTCGGTGTCTGTGAATCGACCGTGATGTACTGAACGCCCGATTGCGACTGCTGTTGGTAAGGCATGTAAGTCGGCATTTCTGTTTGTACAGGTTGCAAAATTATAGCAGGTTGAGTATTCTGAATACCGATTTGTTTAGGCTGTTCAACTTGAACATAAGAAGGGTTTACTTCTACATTCTGAGGACATGAGGCTTGGCAAGGGACCTGAACGTCGTTTTGTTGAAAAGTCGCATCTTGTGTCTTCTCCTCTTCGCTAGAATCGCTTTCTGTACTCGACAAGTAATCCGAACAGGTAGGCAAGTGCCTTTCATAGCCTACGCTTGAACGGTAAGTCCTACGACAACGAGTACATTTAACGGGTTCTTCGTTTTCATTGCAATTTTGCATGTTTATATCAGTTGAGTCATTCGACTGATCACTTTCGCTGAAATCCATAGCACCGTCAACCTGCAACAGATTGTGCGTTTTCCAGTAGTCTTTTCCCCTTTCTAAATAGTTTTCTTGCTTGTCCACTTTGTTCGAGAAGTTAATGCCCTTAAAATAGGAACTCGGTTTTTTTATATCTAACGAGGAACTGTATTTAAAAGTAGATTTTGAGTCTTTTATGGGCTTTTTTGATAAAACTGACGTCTCGCCCAAGTCCAACTTGTCATCGTCGAAATTCATTTTGGTGAAAATGTCATGCATCGATATTCTATCGAGGAGGTCGTGTGGTAAATCTTCGAAAATCGCTTCTTTTAACTCAGGTGGTAGAAGATCGGCCGTTTGCTGATCTGTGTTATCATCGTCCTTGGAGCAAACGGTATCTATGAGGAAAGAGACGACAGTTTTTACAACTTTGTCGTCTTTTGCGTCGAAAGTATTCACCTCTTCGACAGGAGACGGCGGCGGTGTGAATTCCAAAGAATGATCCAGAGTATAATTCGTCTCGTTTTCAAAGCAATATTCATCACTAGACTTTGTCAATTTAGTCTTAATATGATACGGTACGATTTTCCACGGTTCTTTCACTGACCAGTACAGCCTAGTGCAATTATAGTCACAGGGTAAAATAAAATCTATTAAATCTGAATATTCCGGTAATAGTTCACCTACACAATTAATCGCCAGGGCTCCTATGTACAACTTGACTTCATTGTACAGAACGTCTTTTTTCTTTTTATGATCCAATTCTACATAAACGGACCTAGAAATAGAAAAATCTTCTTCCCTCCTTTGAGCCTTATTTACAACCAAACTACCATGGTTTTTACAATAAACTTCCATGTTTTCTAAGAAAATACAATTTGCTGTCAAGGCGCAAGAGAAGTGGTAAGCGTATGGACAACTTTTAGCACAGCAGCCAACACTAGCGCCTTTTTTATCACAGCCGAAACACCTGATTAGTCTCCCCCTTGAAATGGCACTGTGCACGTTCTGCAATGAACCGTCGATCTCTTCGAATACTTCGCTAGACCACAGCGCGCAGTTGACGTGAACCCATTCGTTCTGACCGCAGTACAGCAGCCTGCCTTCCCTCTTGGGATGACCTTCGCCGATCGATTTACACAACATGCAAAACCTCGTGTCCTGTATTTTTAATCCGATGTAATAATAATCCGGTTCGTGTGTAAGAAGTTTTTTAAGTGAATCATTAAGTTTGGCTTTTTTCGGAGAATCTGCGTCAACACTTTTCCGCCTTTCTTTTAAATCATTTAATGAAGAATCTAAATCTTGAATTGAAGTATCCAACCCGTCTTCTTTTATACTGGGGTCGTACCAAGGAAATACTTGTTTTAACGATTTCCAATAAAGCTTAGTCAATTCCATCTCGCCAATTTCTCCGATGACTTTTTCCATGTCGTTGTTAAAATCTACGACTGATGAATATTCATCACTGGACGCTTTATGTTTAATACCCATTAAACTTAAACTCTGATGTGATGAATTATACAAATTGCAGGTACATTTTTTTTCTTGCGATTCTTGAGGAACTGCCGGTAAGCTTTCAGCGTCGCTCTTTATAACTGTGATGTCACTTTTAAACGCAATACTAAGCAAATTGTTACTTGCTTTGATGGTCTCATCGTTTAACTGAGGTTGTTCTTTTTCGCTGACTAGATCCAAAAACCCGGTTTTGACAGTTTTCAAACTCTCTTCGTCGTCTTTAGTAAGCTTCGGCGTTAGAAGTCCGAGGTCTGAATTCTTATCGTCGATCGTAGGTGTCGGGCTGTCGTTTCCAGAGAGATAGGGCTTTTCTGAAATATCGTTCTGAGGAGTGAGATTTCTCAGGTGGATCGGCTTTCGGTGGATGTCCTGGCAGTCACAGACCCTCTTCTTAGGGCTTGCTTTTACAAGAGAGCACAGAAGACGGTTTTTGCTTAATGATTTTATTACATTCAAATAACCGGCTTTTAAATCGGCATTGACAGCCCTTAACCAAAACGGCGGAGGGTCTTTACAACAAAGCCTGTAAACAAAAAAACAACACGATAAAACAGAAAATCTAAACGCATGACTTGAAACGTTTATTCAAACAGCAAAATAAAACCCTACCTGCAGATAAATTCAATTGAAGATGGCAAGTAACTCAAAACCTGGTATTTTTCATTTGAAAGTCCTTCACATTTTGCATGTATCCAACTATTACATTTAGCACATTCCATCATCTATAAAATTCGATTGGTACAATAAAAAAAAAAATAAAAAAAAAAATAAAACTACAAATCTACAAAAAAATTAACTTACTTTGGTACTATAGTCGTTGTCATCATAACACCTTTGGCAAAGCGGGCAGAAACTGCCTTGTTTCCTCAGCTTGAAACACGCTTTGCAAAGAGGCATATTTCCGACAAATACATGCACAGTTGGATCATTGCAACTCTTGCAGTACAGGCAAGAAGGGCAGACCTAAAAGTGTAATAATAAAAAATAATAATAAAGTATAAATAAAAAATAATAAACAATATTTATACACTTACCCAACTTTCAGATATGTTTGCTCTTCCCTGTGGCATGCAGCTTGTGTGGTAGTTCTTGAAACATTTTGTGCAAGTAAGCTGCGCGCCCGATTTGAGGCATATCTCACACTGGCTGCACCTTGGGCAAAGCCAGTCGATCTTCCACCACTCGATTTCCTTTTTGGCAAAGCGTAAAGTGGCCACACAAAAAGTGTGGTAAGGCTCGCAGCAACTCGCGCAATGTATTAACTAAAATGGCGGGGGAAGAAAATGAATAAAAAATAAATTTTTATCAAAAATTTCGAACTGTACCTTTTCGAAACCAGCGCTCCCGCAGAGAAAACAGAGAGCTTGGGTTTTCAAAGGGGTGCAGGCGAGAAGAGGAAATCCCATCTGGGCGACCTCATCGGGATCGTAGCTCTCCCAAAAGTCGATGGAAACTTTTGCGAAACGCTTTTCTGACTCGTGCCTCTCGATTCCATCGAGAAGGTCGCAGTTGTCTCTCCCGAGGTCCTGCAGCATTCTCGCCTGAAAACGATGAAAGTTAATCAAATATAAACCTTGGCAAAAATTTTGAAAGTAAAAAAAATAGCAAAAAATTACAATTGGCCTGTCTGGTTCCTTTTCCTTAGGGTCCGCTTTGCTCTGAACTTGTTCAGATTTGTGCTGAAACACATCTTCCTTTTGTGGCTTTTCAGGAACAAGTGTTACTTCTTGTTCAACCCTGAAAAACATTAACATTTTAACAAATACCAATTAATTTCATATGCAGTTTAACATGTATTATCTGAAAAGTCCTTTATGCTTTTAATTATAGTATTATTGTTTAAATACAAAATTATTGACTGAGAAGGGTCAATCAAACATAAACTAGATTTTTTTTTTATTTATTGGTTCAATACAAAAAAAAAATTACTGAAGGGGCCTCATCAGCCAATTGTGCACAAACCCCATGACCAATTTATCATCAGAAAAATGCTGTTAGAGGTCCTATCCAGAGAAAATTTCTAAAAATCTTAAATTTCGACTAACCAAAGCTTATAGCTTTGAAACTACAATAAAAGTTAAAATATGTAAAAATCTTACCTTATTTCTGGAATTTTTCTTTCCATTTCAACCTTTCTCTCTTCTACTTCTTGACCAGCCGGACCTATAAAATTAATGTAAACAAACACAATTTTAATACACATATTATTCCGCAAACCAAGTATTTCTCCAATCTATCTAATAAAAACACAACTTAAAACTAAAAACAAACGACTCAATTTTGTATAGAAAAAAATTTATTGTACTTTTTTGTATTCGTGGGGCGAGTTTGGCCGAGGATTGACCGAGGACGAGTGATGCACTCCGGCAGACGTGCTTCACCCTCGGGCCAGCCGGCGTCATCTTTGGTTTGCCCTTCTGTTTAAAATCGGGCTCTCGGAAAATTTTCAAACCTGCGCAACACAAAATAAACCATTCGAGATATTTTATGCTTATTTTCCCATTATTGAAACATACCCGTCTTTCTTTTCTCATTTACATCTTTGACGGTTGAGTCCAAAAGAAGTTTTTCACTTAAACTATCTGGCCATTTTGTAACCTAAAGCATTTTTTTAAAATAAATTTTTATTTTTAATATAAACATCTTGACGTTGATTTATAAACTTACAAGGTTGTCAAAAAGGCTAGTTTTTTTAGATATTTCGAGTGGTAAATAAGAAGCCAGTCGTTTGGTCAGCTGAGGCGGAAGTTTGAAAGAGCGTAGGCAAAGATTTAACCAACACCCTTGACACCTTGTGTGTTCTTTTACCTGCGGCTCAGTTGAAAAGGGTTGAGTCACAAGAGCTGAGTATCTTATGGAACAATTTCCTTTAAAAAAAAAATAAAAAACATTATAAACCCTCGTTTTATAAGGTAAAATTTGTTTATTACCTGTCCCAGAGTCGCAGATAAATTTATCAATAAGTTTGTCCTTTTCTTTCCTGATTATTTTGATAATGAACCTACGACAGGGGTCGCATGAGAAGATACCGAACTTCCTAGCTTGTCTGTAGGATTTACAAGGCCTTGTAGTGCCGCAAACACCACAGACAACTTTTGTAGGATGCGCCTGGTCTCCGACTTGGACAATTGAAGAACCGCCAGACGATGAAAAGGGGCCTTCGATCGACACAGATTGTGATTTGATGTTAAGCATCGGCTTTCTGAGTATGCATTTAGCCGGTTCGTTTTTCTCCGATGCGTCTCCGTTGGCCAAGCGCTGTTTCTTGTTGCCGTCTTCGTCCGCGGTTTCGTTTTGAAAAAATCGCTTGTTCGGTTTTATAACGCGGGACGAATGGACGCTCCGAGTCGGAAGGACGAACTTGACTGGACTGCTAGAAGGCTTTTCGTCTTTTTTGACCTCTTTTTTGGGCTTTTCTTCCTTTTTCGACTTTGGCTTCTCCTTCTGAGGGTTTTCCTCTGGTTGTTTAACGACGGGAATGACTTCCTTGCGATCGACAACCCCTACATTGACATCCTCGTCGGTTTTTTTAATTTTTCTTTTTTTGTTCAGCTTAGATTTTTCTGACCCTCTCTTCTTTGACAGAGCGATTTCATGTGGGCTGAATCCATGGAAAGAAGAGCCCTGTAATAAATAAATATGAATATTTTAGAATAAATTTTAATGTATAAACTAACAAAAATATTCAGCATTTAATCTTCAAACGATGAAGTACAAAAATTAACCAGTCTAAGAACTGATAATGGCAAAATGTTGAAACAGTGACAGACAATCAGTGAGAGTAAGCATGATCAGGTACAAGAGGAACACAATTTTTTTTCTTTCTAACTCTCTTAACATATTTGCCTTAATTAATAAATTTATTGTGTATAGGTGGCGTGTCAAGTTTGATACCATGTCCATAATGAAGATGAGAAAACAGAAAAAGAGCAGAAGTCAGTTTATGTTGTTTAGTCAATTCAAAACTCTGAGAACATTAAACAATTTTAATCTTTTTTTAAATTTAGACTGTTTCACCCAAAGTTAGCATAATTATGTGTATTCAGTGGTATATTATCAACCATTTTAGACTTAAACGTTCACATGAAGAGTAAAAAAAAAAAATTATCTATCGTATATCACTTGAAATGTGAAATGCTGCAACTCTTCTGAAATACAGTAAAGGTACGTTTATATCTGTCAGTTATTGCATATTTATGTCAGACAGAAATTGTGCCTAACAGAGAAGAATTTATATCAGAAATTTATATTTCAGCCACTATTTGTATCAACATTTCTAAACCAATAGATGTAAACACTGGTTAGTTGCAAGTTCAAACTTGTTCGACACTTGTCGCAAAAGTTGGCCATTGCAATAAGTGTGGTCATTAGTGACTGTAAGTCTATGATAATTCGGAAATCGTGAGATGCGGTCTGGTGTGATGCATGTTTCAGAAAAACATTTTCTTTATCGTGCCAATGTTTCGATAAATCATCTTCAGGGCTCAAAGTGTTTGTTTTCTGCGTAATTGTGCCAATCTTGTGTGTCGTGGTCAGGGCACTCTTAACACAACGCACAGGGTATAAACAGGCAAACTTAGGTTTTAATGGTCTAATTGACCGTATTATTTCCATTAATTATTCTTTTTACGCAAAGTCCTGTATGAGATGAAAAAATGGCCAAAAGAGGGAAAATTCAAAATGTAATTTGAGATGGGGAGTTGGTGTCCGAGTGGATCGAAGTCACGATAGCTCAAGTGGTAGAGCAGCGGTGTATTTAAAGGTCGTGGGTTCGAATTCCACTCGTGACACCGACTTTTTCATTTCAACCAGATGTTACATAAAAAGAATAATTAATTGAAATATATAATATGGTCAATTGGACTACTAAAACACAAATGGATTAAATATGATTTGTAATAAATCAATGAATATAGATCTTGTGATAGTCATTTTTTCTAATAAAATTTATTGCTTTTATTACTAAATAAATTTAATTTCTTATACCAAGGTGTCAGCTTTGTCTCCATTTTAGACCCAATGAAGATGAAAGAGAAAAAGTGCAAGTCAGTTTACTAAATTTATGTTTTAATGGTCTAATTGACCATATTATTTCAATTAATTATTCTTTTTATGTAAGGTCTTGTGCGAGATGAAAAAATGGCCAAAAGAGGGAAAATTCAAAACGTTGAGATGGGAAGTTGGTGTCCGAGTGGATTGAAGTCACGATAGCTCAAGTGGTTAGAGCAGCGGCGCATTGAGGCGAAGGTCGTGGGTTTGAATCCCGATCGAGACACTAACTTTTTCATCTCAATCTTAGATAAAAAAGAATTAATTGAAATAATTAATACGGTCAATTATACCACTAAAACATAAATGGATTAAATATGATTTGTAATAAATCAATGAATACAGATCTTGTGATAGTCATTTTTTTTGTAGTAAATTAATAAAAATAAATTAATATGTCCCAAGATGCTGTGGGGGTTCGTTAATATTTTTTTGATACAGGAACGAACAGAAAACGATTTTAAAAGGATGATATACCAAAGAAACTTTTAGAATATTTGGTTTTCTTTTTTAATAATTGGATCAAATTTGTTCTAAGTAAATTAAAATGGTTAACGATGATCAGGTTAAAAAAAAAAAAAGAAGATAATTGGTCATTTTTTCTCCTAAGAATATTTGTTTTTGTTATTAAATAGATTTAACATTTAAAATGTATACAGAGGTGTCAGGTTATGTTGCCATTTTAGACTTTATCTAACAAAGATGAGAAAACGGAAAAAGTAATGAGCGCGAGTCAGGTTATGTTGACAATAGTCTTTCAAGAACAATATTAAACAATTTTCCTTTTTTTTATTGCAGTTTAATTCAGTTATTGTGTTTTTATGAAATTTAGGCATGACCTTTGCGACATAGAGTTATGACAGTACGCTGTCAAGTCGAGAATTGTCAAAATGTTGACAATAAGGAAAAAAGAGGGGAGGGATTTAAAGGTTGTTGATTTTAATGTCCTGTTTAAATTTGTTGTTTTTGGTTTGTTAAATTGACGAAGAAATAGTAAAAAAATGGCAAACAGGATGTAAAAAGAGTAATAAGACGGGAGTCAGGTTATGTTGTCATTAGACATCGGGTGTATTTATGAAGGGGAAAATGTGATAAATGGAGGTTTAAATGTGACGAACCTCGTCCTCGTCGTCGGAGAAGAGGATGCTGAAGACGGACAGCTTGCAGTACGCCTCATCCGCGGCTCTCCGTCCGTCGAAATCGTCGCAGTCCTGGGCCGAGTGCCGCCTCCGCTTCTGGCTCGACTTGCCCGGCCTGCCTGGGAACCTGTATTTGACCATGGCCCGGGTCGGGTGAGGGGCCGGGTCCCAGATCCGGTCGCCGTCTCGCTAAACGCCCGGGGTCGTCGGGGAAGCCGGGGCCGCAGACTTTTTACGGGACAAGGACAAGGAAAACTCCGTAGTTGTGGTCGAACGTCGCGATCCACGATGGCCAACCTCAGCGCGCCGAGTGAATCGGGCGGGAAAAACGGCAAAGCGGCCCGGATAGGCCGGGAACAGCTGTTCCCCCTCCATAAAGCCCCGCGCAACCCGTAACACTTTCCTCCGTTTTCAAAATTCAAACTGTATCGGACGAAAATAATACAAAAACCAATTTTACCCATTTCTTACTTCAATTCTTAAATGAAATCTTTAAAAAAAATGAAACTTTTTCCAAGTACGTCTAAATCATGACCGGATTAACAAGAAAACACTTGCTGACATTTCATCAAAGTTCAACACTATTTCACCCATTTAACTTCATCAATTAACTTAATTCCTGTCTTCGGTAAGTTTATTTCAATTGTGCAGTTACACTAAACCTTAAAAATGGACAAAACTTTCCATCTGAGATGGTACAACCATCTCATATGCCATCAATTTACCGTAAAATATTAATACATATATGTTTAGCGATTATAATTGACCTTATTAATTATTTCAATTAATTATTCTTTTTACCTAAGGCCTTGGCTGAGTTGAAAAAGTTAGAGTAACAAGTGGGTTTTGAGTCCTCTAGGATATTCCTCATCCTCGTGGGTTCGAATCCCACTCGTGACACTAGTTTTTCATCTCAATCAAGACCTTTTATAAAAAGAATAATTTACTTTTATATAATTGTTCATTTTTTTTCTAAATACATCATACCTAAACCAAGATTTAAAAATTTAGTACAGGGTTGAGGTGGTTTTTATGCATATCTCTATTTGAAGTAAAACCAATGAAGAAAAAAATAAATTGCATTCTGTGACTTTGGGCCCTTTTGAATAACAAAATCTAGAAAGTTGTTTATATTTTTTTTCTTTTATTTATTTTTTTAAATTAAACATTCAATTACCTTTATATCAAATTTTAATAGCTAATGCAATTTGAGCCATGTCCTTGTTCCTTATTCAGAGCTCACTATTTAGCTAAATGGAACTCACCGGTGAGGGCGGACTGGCTTGAAATGAAGTATCAATTAAATTTTATAGGATAAAAATAAATGGTGTTTAGTTTAAAAAAATAAATAAATAAACCAACTTTCTAGATTTAAAATATTTTTACTGCTAAATTAAATTAAAATTACTAAAAAAAATTAATTCCTCCCTTTGTGATATGTAAATCGTTTAAATATAGTGATAAAAGCAGTGGCGAAAGGAGACATCCATGCTTTAGCCCAACATTTATTTGGAAAAAAAACTATAGAGGGAGGAATTTTTGTAGGAGACTGTGTATCTCCATTATTAATTTTTTAAAAAAACACCTTTTTTATTTATTTATTTTTTATTTTTTGCTGATGTTTCAACCTTTATTCGGTTCATCTTCAGGGCATAAAGTGTGGTGCTATTCTTGTGGTGTCATATTGGATTTGGGTGAAAGTGTTCTGACTCCATTATTAATTGTGTAAAACCAGTGAAAATGAATAATAAGAAGAAAATAAATTGTTTCTGTGACTTTGGGCCCCGTTGAATAAACAAAAAAGTACATTATTTGGCACAATTTGGTCAAAATGAAGTATCTATAACAAAGTTATAATTAGTTATAATGAAGGCATATTTAATCCATGTTACTGATAGAGAGATAGATGTATTATACTGTGCCCTTTAAGAACTATTGTATTCCCCGTTCTGTGCTTAATGCACACCGGGAAGTCCTAGTTCATCTGGGGACTTAATAAGCTGGTTTCAATATTTGACAAGAAAAATAAAGTTTTTCAAGGATTTTAATAGAAAAACTTTTTTTTAAGTCTTGGCAAAAGTCTTAAATTAGGTTTTTCACAAATAAATCAAATTTGTCGGTTTGTGTTTTGCGACGATAAAATCAATCCATTTATGTTTAGTGGTCTAATTGACCGTATTAATTATTTCAATTAATTGTTCTTTTTACGTAAAGTCTTGGTTGAGATGAAAAAGTTAGTGTCACGAGAGGGATTCGAACCCACCGAAGCCGAAGACCGTGGGTTTTACACTAACTTTACCCACACACACACACAGAGAGAGAGAGAGAGAGAGAGAGAGAGAGAGAGAGAGAGAGAGATCATACTAAGACCTTACATTAAAAAAAATTAATTGAGATAAAATCAATTTTGAATTAAGGTACTTTTTAATAATCCACAGTCTGGAAGAAACATGTCATTACCCAACCTTTTCAGATAAATGTTGGGGTAAAGCAAGGCTGTCTCCTTTTACCGCTGCTTTTTAACTATACTTAAACCATTAGCTTAACATAAAGGAAGAAATTTTTATAGAACATGAAATGCTTATGGCAGGATAATTTTAATTGAAGAATTCAACTTTTTGTTACTTTATTAATTTTGAGTGTTGTTTTCTATGCATTCTTGAGACATCACTCCTACAGGACTTAATTCCATGCAGTTTGTATTTGCAATACCTTCAGATTTTTTACTGTGTATATTAATAATTATTTTATTTCACCAAAGATAAATGAAAAAGCAAGTATTTCAGGAAATTTTAATTACTTGACTTTGTATTAATAAAATAGTTCCATATTATGACAGTAATTATTTAAATATCCTATATATCAATCAGATTTATAATTTATTCGGATATGTCATTTTTTTTACATATTTAGTTAAAAATAGGATGGGATTGCAATTTTCTTTTTAATGTTTGAAATTGAACTATTACGCCACCTGCCTTCCAACTGAAAAGCTTTACGGGATGTTTTTTGTGGTGAACCTACCAAGTTGGTTTTCGGCTTGTTTACAAAATTCAAATCCGTGGCCGACGTTTGTTTCATTTCATAAAAAGTACTCTCGACAAATATTTGAAAATGTTTTACCACGTAAGTGAACAAAAACAAAATAAATCTGTCCTAAATCCGTGTTCAAACTGGCCTGACTTTCTGAACTTTCAGATATCCCTGGAGCACGACATCCTCCTCCATCCGAGGTATTTCGGCCCTCATTTATACGACTTCGTCAAGCAGAAGTTGTACAAAGAAGTGGAAGGGACTTGCACGGGAAAGTAAGGATCAAGTTAATTATTTTAAAAAAAAAGTAAAATTTATTTACATTGCAGGTACGGTTTTGTAATAGCGGTCACAAACATTGACAACATAGGTGCGGGTCTGATTCAACCTGGTCAGGGTTTCGTTGTCTATCCTGTAAAGTATAAAGCGATTGTGTTCCGCCCGTTCAAGGGTGAAGTCGTCGACGCACTGGTGACCCAGGTCAACAAGGTAAGATCGATTGGAAATCGCGTTAAACCCGACGATATAATATAAACATTTACAGGTTGGCATTTTCGCTGAAATCGGACCCCTTTCCTGCTTCATATCTCATCATGTGAGTATTTCTGATTATTCGAGGTTGTAGTTTTACTAATTTTTCTTTTACCCCTGCAACAGTCCATACCAGCAGACATGGAATATTATCCGAATGAAACCCCTGCCTGTTATAAATCAAAAGATGAGGTATGTTTTTTTAATATTTGTAAAAGTCATTTTCTTCAATTCAAATCACATTCATTGTATTTTTAAAAGGAAATAACGATAGCGGTTGAAAATGTGATCAGGCTGAAAATTGTTGGTACCAGGGTGGATGCTTCCGGAATTGTATGTTTTCTTCTTTAAAAAAATCTATTTATTTTATCTTATTAATAACTGAAAACTTTTTCTTTCAGTTTGCAATCGGTACATTAATGGATGACTACTTAGGTAAAAACAGAATCTTTTCAATAAATTTTCATATTAAGTTTTAAATAATTCATTATTTTTTTACAGGTCTTATAAGCGATTGAGCTGGAATATTTTTATTTTATTTTTTTATTTAATAATGTATATATTTTAAATAAAGTTTTATGTCTTCTTAGCTAGTTGTATGATAATCATTTATAAATGAATTATTAAATTCACTAATTTCGTGGTCCGCTTGACCAATTAATATATTACAATTAATTAAGGTTTTTAGTTGAGATAAAAAAATTAGTGAATTTAATGATTTAAAATCAAGTATACTTCACTAAAGCTCTCCGTGGCCATTTCATTTGCTGTCGAGAATCCAATCCGATTACACGACATTTGAAAAATGGCAAAAAGGAAGGAAAATTAAAAAAAGGTGGGGTTAGGAAGTTGGTGTCCGAGTGGATCGAGGTCACGATAGTTCAAGTGGTAGAGCAGCGGCGCATCAAGCCGAAGATCGTGGGTTCGAATCCTGCCATGCCATTGACTTTTTTATCTCAACTAAAAACCTTAATTTATTGTAAATGAATTATATTTGGTTTTTAGTTATACAATTGTTTTTACGATTTATAATGATTACTAAATAATAATTTGTATAAGGTACTTATTCAGATATCGTGAGATGCGGTCACGATATCTGAATAACTATCGATTAACGGTCACTAATCTCTACACATGTATAAGGTACGTTTACACATGAGAGGAATTGGCAGCTGGAGCTCTCGAGAGTTACTCTCAGAGCCCTTTGCATGAAAGAGAGAAATTCGCACAAGTTAAATCTCGGAGAGCAACTCTCCATGGCAACTCTCACAAATCTACTTTAGACCGTTTACACAAACGTACTGGACAGTTCTGAGAATGAATTTTAGACAAGATGTCTTCAAAACGAAAAAGAAAAGTAGCAGCAGCGTTACTGTGCTTATTGGAAAAAAAAATCTTCAAAAACAAAAAAAGTGGATCAAGTCATGGAAACAAAGGAGTTATCATTTAGTCGTGTATCACCCTTTAGCACGGGAATTGAAACTTGAAGATGGCCAGCATTTTAGGAATTTTTACAGATTTTCATGTCTTGAAGTTGAATTGCTGGTAGAATTAGTGAGGACCATAATTTTTAAAAAAAGACACTGTACAATGAGAGAAGCGATTCTGTCCATGAGCGTGTTATGGTTGCCTTACAATTTCAGGAGTCGGACAATTTAAGTCTCATTAATTTATCCTCCACAAGGAGTTAATTTTTAACTCTATTTTTAAAATCTGCATTCTGGATGTCCCAAAAGGATTTGATTCAATTTGTATGCTTCAATGAGCTTGCAAACGTCCTCTTGGATTTTTTTTATTGGATTTGGCTTTTTACTCTCGGCAAATTCAATTTTTTTTAAACTGATTGACTCCCTGAGAGCATGGGGAAAATCTTTACACTAATGAGGAAGATGCAATGTACTTGAGCTCTCCCACTACTTTTGGCGATAACTTTCAGAAGCCTTAGCACTTGCGAGTTTTATCCTCGAGAGTAAAAGCACACCTTAAGATTTATACAAATTCATATAAAAATACTTGAAGTAGTTGCTGTATTGTTAAATATCTTTGGAAAAATAATATGTTTATTGACAATGGCCAATTATTTTTTCAATATTTTTGCCTGCTGGGAGAAAGGTACTTTTTCCTGATTGAGTAGCTTGTTTGATTATTTTGCACCTGGTACGTTCATCCAGTGTTTGTGTCTTTCTCAATCCATTTTTTCAGTTAGCAGCTTAGCAAGCTTTTGGGCATGCCAATTTGCGGTTCCGGTCCTGTTTTTGCTAACTAATGGTTTTATTAAAATATAAATCTGTACTATAGTAATATAGTTCAATTATTTAAGGTTTTAAGTTGAGATAAAAAAGTCAGTGTCACGAGCGGGATTCGAACCAACGACCTTCGGCTTGATACGCCGTTGCTCTACCACTTGAGCTATCGTGACTTCGATCCCCTCAACTTTTTTATCTCAACTTAAAACCTTAAATAATTGAATGATATTAATTGGGTCAAGTGTACAACGAAAAATAATGAATAGTAATATAAGTAATTTGTATAGGAGAGCTTAACAGCCAACGGGTCTGAACCACTTTTCATTTTTTTTTCAAATTATTCTGAAGTTGAAGGCCCAGAACTGCTAGTATGGTAAATTAAGTCTTATAACTTAATGATTCAACCATGTCCTGTATAATTAAATGTTTTAAAGCTTGTAGGTAAAAGCCAATTTTGGCCCACACTATTTTTGGATTATTGCTTTTCTTCCATTTTTGTTTTATAGATGGAAGACAATTCTTGACAAAAAATCCGGTTGCTTTTATCAGGTAAAATTGAATAAATAAATAAGTTCCCAGCCTTTATTTTTAGCCTAGCAAATTTTAGGGTTAGCTTTTTTTATGCATGTCTTTTAATTTATTTTTTGGTCTTAATTAAAGAAAATCGATCTCAAATTGATTTTCTTTTACGGGTGAAAGTCAGAAACATTAAAGTGATCTAAATTTAGTTGTTTTTAAATAATATATTGTGCGAAAATCCTCATCCAGACTTTTCTTCCAGTTTTTGAATGGATGTAAGTTTATCACTAAACAAACTTTTTTTAAAATTATTTTTTATTTTTTACCACAGGTTTAAAATGAAATTAATTTTTAAATAAAAGGCTAGGATTGCATATTGTGTTTGAATCCTGACTAAGATGGTGATGAAACCAGCAGTGGCACTTGTAAAGAAAATATAAATAATAAACACACGTGTATTAAAACCAAAATAATGTTAATGTACAAATGAGAATATACAAGAAATTTACAACAAAATAGAACGTCGATTCTATTCATCGTTGTCGAATGTTTTTCTTTTGTTGCTCTGCTTAGAGTTGTCCTTAGGCGTCCACAGTCCGGATTTGATGAACCGTTTCGAAGCAGCTACGTTGAGCTGGGGCGCGTTCTTCCTTTCTTTGATCCTCTGGTACTTCTTCATGTAATCCTGGACCCGGTCGGCCTCATTCTTGACCACATTCGTGAACGGGTCTTCGCCCAGGGTCCTCGAATACATCCAGTACAGAGATGTGAGGGCGTACGACAGAAACAAATCGTGCTTGATCCTGTCTTCTGTGCCCAGTTTGTCATAAACGTCTTCCTTTATCAGAGTCTCCAGTAAGTCTTGAACCTTTTGTATTAATAAAAAAAAAATAATTCTGTGCAAATTATTTAGTAAAATTCAATATTACCTCGGTTATACTGCCAGAGAATGCTTCGATATTCTCGACCACTTCTTTTTCATTGGCCAACTCGCCGTATTTATTTTCTTCGACATCCGACATCCCAGAAATTATTTGATATTTCGGGCAAGATCAAAAAGAAAGGGAAAAACAAGCGTGCAGAAGCAAGGTTATTGTTGTTGTATACTTACTATACATGTCATTAATGACTTCAGGTCGCCTCATTGTATACTTCAATGACGTCACATAACACCGAACTCATTTGACAGCTCATTTAAATAAATAAATTTAATTGAACGAGTAATGTCAATAAAAAAATTAATAATGTCCAAAAATGACCAATTTAACATTAATGAAACAAACAATAAATTCAATGGAATAATTATCGTAAAAGTTCAATCCATATCGAAACCAACTGTGAATCAAACCGAGTTGACCTATAGTTAAATTAATTTATAATAATTTTATAAGTTATATACTTCGACAAAAAAAGGTTTATTCCAACCAGACATGTATATGAGTTTTTATTGAAAAATCATGACAATTTTTTTGTATGTAAATAATGTACAAATATTGTCAATACTAAATTATTTTATTTCTAGTCACATGTTAATATAATAGATCTTGATAATTGTATCTAGTAATTACTAACCCTGTATAAATAATTATTTCACAACCGTTCTATTTTATTATTATTCACCAACTTTAGTAAATTTATAGTAAAAATTATGAAGCTAAAACTCTTTCTAACACTGTGTATCGAATTGTAAAGATAATTGTGTCATACTTAATGGATTAAGGCGAGAAATCTAAAAAGAAAATATTCGTTTTTAATAGTTTATTAATCTTTTCACCAAAATCTGTCTTAATCCAGAGTATTCAGTTTTTAAACTCTTTTCCCCCTTTTTATCTCAGAACGCCCTATTCAGATAAAAAATAATTAGCTGACACAAAACAACTGACAGCTTCACATGCCCAGAAGCCAAAATCACTACAGCAAACATAAGACGAGGATCATCAACGGCGTGATAGCTCAGAGGTCATCACGACTCCGTGGGCTAGATGGTCATCAGGAGGCTTCTGGAACGTTCGCCTTCGGAGGCCGCGCTCTTCAAGATGACAGCCATACGAAAACGGGTCATTTTGGTATTCTTCTGCCTATTTATCCTCCTCTGCAAGAAGTTCTACCTTGACGAAAAGTACAGGCCCGAGACGGGACGCGTTCCCGATGAAGTTGAAGGGTGAGTCGATCATCTGGTAACATAAATTTACTCTGTTCGTTACTCATGTTTTAATCAGCTGCTTTATGAATATGTAATTGATAATTGAGAAACATTTCATTTATAAAAAAAAGGTCTTACAATTACATACAAAAGTTCTTTTAAATTTAAAATTAATCAAAAATGTTAATTTCTCATTTGATTCAAAAAGCATGTAATTGGTCATAAATTTTGTTATAATATAAAAACTGTTGACTAGACTAGTTTTTCGTTAGAGTAGATCAAAGTAGTTTTAAAACTATGAAATTCATATATTTGCATGAAATTTGGACACAAAAATACATAATATTCTTTATGGGGATTAACAAATAAAACCGTCTTTCTTATTTAAAAAAAATTAAAGATTAAAGAACATTAAAAAAGTTTTTATGGAGTTTTTAATACAAAAATATTTTTAGCAGATTACTGTAGACAGTTAATTTAAAATTAAGTTAAGAAATCCTGGTTTCCCTGGAGTGGTGTATTTTAAAAATCATGATTTCGCTACGTTATTACAGAGAAATCATAATTTGTAGTGTTGATTTATGTTAAATAAGTTGTTTGTTCTAGGGTTTTTGATCCGGAAATCCTGTTTTTAAATCTGCTTTGTTGCATTTTCACGATGTTTGAATTCAGAAAACAGGCTTTCCTCGCCTTTTTGACGTGAAAATAATAATTTTTCAAATGTTGGGTGGAAAGATCAGTTTTCTAGATTTTTTACGGGAATATCTAAGGTTTAAAGACCAATAACGTCGTAGCCTTCACAAAAATAAATAATAATTCATTAATAAAAAATTATAAACGCATTCCCACATGCTTGGTCAGATCAGAAACAATAAGAAAGTGGTAAAATTACATGAAAATACACTATTACAATGGTAAAATGTCAACATAAAAAAAATTCACGACAAAAACGCGGAGAAAAAACTTGCTTTCTAGATTGAAATGTCGTGAAAATGCATCTAAACAGTTTTAAAACGAGGATTTCCAGATCAAAAACCCTAGGACAAACTCCTCATTTAGCCTAAGTTAATTGTGCGCAGGGGTTTATCGAGAAGGAATCGATGTCTAGTCATTATCTACACCTTCAAGCTCACTGGAGATTTTTTGATCTGGCACCCTTCAACTCTAGGCCCAGGATCGGCGTCCCCATAACCGAGCCCCGCCAAATTGTATCAATAGCCAGCAACTCTGCCAGTTTATACTGATAGTCACCATCGACATCTCCTCCCACCCTCTGGACATTCTTTGATCTGTGTCCGGGTAGGCACCCTAGATCCTAGACCTCGCATTGGCGTCGCCATAACCAAGCGCCACCAAATTGTACCAATAGACAGCAACTCTGCCGGTTTATATTGATAGTCACCATCGACATCTCCCCTAAGCCACTGGACATTCTTTGATCTGTGTCCGGGTAGGCACCGACATCTCCCCTAAGCCACTGGAGATACTTTGATCTGTGTCCGGGTAGGCATCGACATCTCCTCTAAACCACTGGAGATACTTTGATCTGTGTCCGGGTAGGCACCCTCAATCCTAGACCTCGCATTGGCGTCGCCATAACCAAGCGCCACCAAATTGTACCAATAGACAGCAACTCTGCCGGTTTATACTGATAGTCACCATCGACATCTCCTCTAAGCCACTGGAGATACTTTGATCTCAGAATCTGGGAAGGCACCCATTAACCCCAAAACTGACCGCCAACATGGGAGGATACGAGAATTAAGGGGAAATGAATGCACTTTAACTATTGTTTGATTGTCTGTTAAGAAGTTAAAAATTTTGTTTATTCATGTACTACTGCTTAGTATGGATGGAGGTCTTTGGAGATTTGGTGGCGGGTTCTGGACAATCAATTATGATCTGGGATATAGTGTTAGGATATATATATGGGTTTAAGGGTTGGTTCAAGACGAAAACTATGGAAAAGTCGGGGGTGGCCAATTGAAAGCCGGGTTCGGAGAGGTTTTTTCTTTTCTGGGTGGTCTGGAAAAGGGTTCTCGTTTTCTTAAATCTTTTTTTATTGCTGTACAGGCACCTCATTCACGCCTAGAGGCCAGACGAGCTGCCTAATTGAGGTCACTGACTGGAACCTCATTTCGAGGAGAACCGTTGAGCCTCTCTCACCATTTTGTCCACCTTTTCATTCTCAATTATGTCAGCCTTTCAATGACACTATACTCTCATAAAATATATTAGGACCAATTTTATTTCTGATGTTTACCGACATTGACTGCTTTCCTGACGATGTTTACATTTAGTACTCTGGTAATAGTTGGTAGAACGTGCAAATTCAAGTGGAACCTGATATAAGCCCAGTGGAGCGAATCCCCGCAATCTTCTGATATTAAGTCCAAAATTTAGATGATTCAGACCATTCTGTTCTAATATCAGTATGATTATGAAATATTATGAATAATTTTTGAATTAAATGCTTTGAAATCGAACAAGCAAGTAAGATAAAGCACTTGGGATTAATTATCGATGAACGATTAGAATGACTGATAAAGTCCGAAGAAACCAGACAGAGCTGTACTTCTTTATTGAAGGTCTACTATGCTTATATTCAGTCACATATTCAGTATCTTCTGTTCTGCTTGGGAAGTAATTCTAAAGACCCAATAATTAAAACAATACACAGAAAAATTTCTAGAAGTCTGAGCTGTGATTTCTCTTTGCAGGAATAAAAAGAGCATTAAATGACGCAAACGCACTATTTTTCCTCAATTTTGAATATCTAATCACTTTGTAAAAATACCAGATTTGGAGGAAAACGGACGAGTAAAAAACACCTTAACTAATCCATTTTCAGAGTGCGTAAACAATAATGACTAAATAGAAATTTGTTTTACAAAAGGGTAAATTTGATTTTAAAAAACCTGTACAACTGTTCATACACTTTCAAATTTGTATTTTTATCTCCAAGCCAATTACATACTTATTTTAAATTAAACCAAATTAAACGAGATTAGAAATTTATGACAAGAGCAGTTTGAAGCTGTTTAACGTCTGACTCATCTCTTTATCAAGTCTCATAAGTGTTCTATGACATTCATGTCAGGAGAACGTACTGGCCAAATCATAGTAGTAATCCCTATAACCTCCAAGTGATGGGTGATAGTAGTTACTCGAGCTACATCCTCATAATCACATCATAATTGCATTAACACTAAGCTGTCACCAATAAATGGAGCTTATGGGATGACAAGCAACCAGAAGACCTTACTCTATTAGGACAATCAAATGACTAGTACTCGTAGACAAAATAGCTCGGCTGTATATAGACAAATCGCCGATTTTATCTGTAATCTGTTGCGGAACAAATCCAAGATGATCTAGAACCTTTGTCACACTTCCACACCTGCACAGCTCAGTTATACTAGTTTCCGCGATAGCAGGACGAGTAAGATAGCGGTCTGCGACTTTGTTGCTTGTACAGTTTTAATTTTGGATCAAAAGATAATTAATCGTAAAAGATAGTGGACAAGGAACGTTTTAGCAGGTCCTACATTTGGATTGAATCTTCTGGAAAAATAATATGGTTCAGATTTCACCCGGCTAACCTCCACGGATTTTGAAAATTTGCTATTTATGGTTGGAAATAAAATAAGCAAGCAAGAAAATTCAGAACAATCATGTCAGCCTCTCTGTAACGAAATGTACCGTAACATTTCTCAAGTCCATCCAAGCTGGGAGACCATAGGCTTGAGATTTTGTCTGCAGATAGTAGCACAACAAGCGATTTGTCTATAGCCAATCGTAGAATTTTGTCTATAGACACGAGTTTTTTTCTATCGTAAGATCCATTTTGTATGATAATCCTTCCTAACTGACTCTTTGAAAAAGCTGTGACTTATTCATGGCATATCAAGCAAAGTATTCTTCCACACATGGTCTCAGTCTGATTGCCACAAACAAAACCGGCGCTCATCAGTGAAGAGAACAGCCCCCCCCCCCCATGTTCACAACCCTCACCGAGACTGGCAAAAATACTGTTGCAATTGGAGAGGGCCAAACTCAGAGGAGTGGTAGGACTACTAACCGGTCACTGGCATCTGAGAAAACATCTACACAACATGGGTATATACAGCGATGATCCCATTTGCAGATTATATAATGAGGAGGAGAAAACAGCCACTCATATCATCTTCGCATGCGAAGCAACAGCTCAATGGAGGTTTAACCTAACGTACGGAAAAAACTTAAGGAATCAAATTACAGCAGCAAAAGTCAATGACCTGATACTGCTAAGAAGAAGGATTGAGTCTATTGACTGAACTAAGGAACTAGGAAGGTACAATAAGCCAGAAGGCTCCAATGCCTGGGTAGTACGAACCCCGCTTCCTAGTATCCTTTTCTACCATACCATACCCCCATGTTCAAGGGTCCAAGAGACATGCTAATTTCCTTACGTTTCAAACCGTTTGGAGTTGACTACCTACATAAGGAAGCCGTTAAACGGTTCCGGAATGCGATAAGAACAGTAAAATGAGCTCGAGTTGAGGTACATCACGCTAGCACCTTCTCTTCGATCGAGTCTTCCGGTGGTCCTAAACCCCTGTAGACTATCGTGCATGGTAGAACATGGCATCCAGGGCTTGTGCTATGTAACGGTCACTAAGTCCGTCAGCCTAAATTGTTATACCAAGTTATTATGGAATATAAACCAATAAATACAAGTGTCCGATTTTTGTCTATGCGTGTGTTATATGATATGAGATTTCTGATGAGATTTGATCAAAGAACCGTTTTTACTCGCATGTTGCCATGTCAAGTTTTAAATGACTCTTTACCATAGTAATATTGCGTTTTCATGACATTTATAGCAGGGATTTGTGATCTTAGCAAAACAGGAAATCATAATAATGATAAATTTTTGGATAAATTACATGCATGATCTGGCGCGCAAACTAGATGATCTTGTTGCTGTTGTTCTGGAATATATGACGGAGGTCGTGAAGTTACCAGAATTCATTAAAATAGAAACCGTGTTTCAAATTGGGGTCAAAGAAAACAGATCGGACAGTTTTCCCTCGGACTCGGACACAGTCTGATACCTGGTGGTCATCTTTCACAGGACATTGAACTGGAATGCCCATCTAAAACGATTAAAAAGAAAATGCTTTCAAGCTGTACTAAGGTCAAGGTCTTAAGGTGCTGACCGCCGCGGTCTTATGACATTGTATGAAAATCAAGTAAGAACACGACTGGACTATGGATGTAATACATACAATTCTACTACCGAAAATAAAATCAGCTTGCTCGACACAGTACAGCATACAGGACTTAGGATGGTCAAAGATGCTCTCCGGAATAGCCCTCACGCAAATGCTGGAGAAATGTCTTTATATTCCAGACGTGTCTTTCTCGATTTGAAGTTTTTGAAGAACTTCGAACTTTGAAAACTTGATTTGAAGAAAATCATTTCCTCTAGGTCTAATCGTCTATTCCCGAGACTAGCCAGATACTAACAGCTCATCACAAGATTCTAAACAACTCATTTTATTCTCCGTATATCTTCACTTTTGTAGGAACTGCAAATACCCATACTCCTTAAAAAAAAATCAGTAGTTTGGTATCAACCCAGCATTGATGGCTGATAATCAGCAAAACGTTAAATCTACTAGTATATACTCTGGCTATATCCGGGACGTCCAACCTCCGGACATTACCGATCCGTCCCTTTGAAGATAAAAAAATAAAAAACATGATTAAAATGGGCAGAAAAGCTCTCGCGTATAAAGAACATTGTCGACAGGTGGCCTATGGAGGACCTGATTCGTAGAAGGGTCATCCTACCCGGTTAATAATAGGCCTTGCGACACTTACTTCTTACAGAAATTAGAGTTGTTTTATTGCATGTACTGAGAGTTTTGTATCCCTAGCATGTATTGATAGTGAATGTATTTATTGGCTTGAATGTATAGTGGGAGAGGGACATGGCGGGATATTAAGTACCCCATCGATCCTCAATTAGGTTAGTATATACAAAAGGTGATGGAGAAATATCATGTACTCCACCACCCGAATGGTAGGTATAGGAATGAATGCATTTAAGAGCGAGTAGAGTGTGTGAGCAGGTTTGAATCTAAAAAAAAGATTGCGTTGGGGGCTTTAAATGACCTAGATGTTGGTAGTCCCTGGAGCTCTTTCTCGGCAGCTGGACGGATAATACTGAATTCAGACCTCGCACTGCCAACGCCCGGGATGGAATATTCTCGAGGCATGTTGATAATTTATTGTAAATTAGAAAAGCTTGAATTGCCGTTGAACATCGAGAAGTAATAGTTTCTGTACCCGCGTGTATGCGTGGGCAGACTTAAGCTTACATAAATCAGTAATTCCAAAGTTTTTAGTCGTTCGTAACGAATGTTCGCCTGTCGTTCCTACATTACAGTCATATAAGATTTAGGAACAGAGTGCATGGGGGGGGGGGCTGCCTGACCTAACTTTTGATAGCCCCTGGAGCTCTTCCTCAGTAGCTGGTCGGATAAAAACGAGATCTGTCCCGGCACTGCCAACACCCTGGGTGATTCTCGAGGGCTGCTGGTCATTTGTAAATTACACACGCTGGAGTTGCTGGTGTACTGCGAGAGGTAATAGGCTCAATTTATACGCGCGTATATGAATGTGAGTTTATTTGAGCTTATATAATTCTGTAATAACAGAGTTTTTCCCGTAGTAGTTGGTAGCGAATGTATACATATCGTTCCTAAATATCAATGAGATTTAGGAACAGAGTACTTTGGGGGGGGGGGGCAGCCATGACCTAACTTTTGATAGCCCCTGGATCTCTTCCTCAGTAGCTGGTCGGATAAAAACGAGATCTGAACCGGCACTGCCAACACCCTGGGTGATTCCCGAGGGCTGCTGGTCATTTGTTAATTACACAAGCTGGAGTTGCTGGTGTACTGCGAGAGTTAATAGGCTATATGAATGTATATGGGTTTGTAGATTTGAGCTTATATAATTCCGTAATAACAAAGTTTTTTCCGTAGTAGTTGGTAGCGAATGTATACATATCGTTCCTAAATATCAATGAGATTTAGGAACAGAGTCCATTGGGGGCTGACATGACCTAACTGCTGTTTGCCCCTGTAGCTCAATTCAGCAGTTGGACGGCAATTCGTAAATTAGAAAAGCTGGAATTGCCTGAACTCTGTACACTCGTGTGCAGATTTCAGCTTATATAAGTCAATAATTTCAAAGTTTTATTCATAGTATTCGAAAACTAAATGCATGTCGTTCGTATATATAGGTATTTATAAGTTTTGGATTTATAAATTTATATTTTAATGCGGTTTTATTCTGAGAATAATGTTGGGGAAAAAAGGACGTTTCTGTTCTGTTGGCTGGTTTCGAGCAGAATTATCCTTTTGAACTATCGAACACACTCCATCATGTTGGATTTTGAACATGTTGCGCCATTGCTGTCTCGGTCTGTCATCGTTTTTGTTTTTGTAATTTGAAAAATTATCTTTTTAATAGTGTTTGTTTTTTTGAGCTGAGATTAGGATGAATGTTCGTTTTGTTCTCTTGTCGGCCAAAATTGGAATTTCCCGTCGATGTCCATTGTTGGTGACCGGGTCTCGGTTAATGCGTTTTTTTTTTTTTTTTTTACGACTGGATGAACAAAAAGCTCGTCATTCTCCCTGACCCAATTTGTTTTTATGTACAATTCATTGATAACTCGACGTTTTACTCATGCTCGAAAAAGCACGGATGACGGCAGCGGAGTGACCCGTGCCCCATAGAATCCGTGTTACGTGTCCTATCTCGGCCGCCACGCAACCCGGTGTAACTCGCCCAAGTTACAATCGGCGAGACAGTATGCTGAAAATATATATAGTGGATTAAAAATAGAAAATAAATTAAAAAAGAAAAAAACGGGGACGTGTTGTCTTTCGTGGAATTTCGTCGTCTTTCGACAGTCAAAGGGACGGGATAGTGAGATTGCGTGGTGCTCGCCGGTTGATCGCTCTGACCTGGAGGGGGAGCGTGCTTCACTCAACATAGGTTTGCTGAGTCCCCCATCGAACTCCATTCAACGTTGTCATTCACCCGTACCACCATTTCTATTTTTTCATAATTTCAAATATCGTCAAACTCCCTTGAAAAACATGAATTATTAAAAGAAAAAACCCATTTTACATTATAAAAAAAATGTCTTTGGTTGAAACCGATCCTACATCAATCAACACATAAGAAATGCCAAGTTTAACAAACATTTTCATAATTTTTATGGTTTTATGCGGTAGCATTTGTGAAAACCCACTCGAAGCCGGTGACCACTGTTTCTGCAAGGTAAGCTCATAGTTTGTATTATTTTATTTTATGACAGTTCTCACCGAATACAATTTAAGCTGAAAGGGCAAATCGATGACTGCAGCTGCAAAGTGGACACCGTAGACTACTTCAACAATGTGAAGATATTCCCAAGGCTCCTGAGCCTCCTGCGTAGGGACTATTTTCGTTTTTACAAGGTAAGCTTGTCGATGAGCCACCCATAATGCAATAAAAATAATTTTTTTTTTGAAGGTCAATCTTAATAAGGCCTGCCCTTTCTGGTCGGACGACAGCATGTGTGCTTTGAAGTTCTGCAATGTCAAGCCGTGCAAAGAGGTACGTAAAAACCACCGTACGTTTCTCACCTTACTGACAAATCTTAGACCCGAAACTCATCGGATTATTCAGAATGGCCTGAGGGTGTTCCAGGCTTGAAGTTAACTGAGATGGCCATTTTAATATTGGGTTAAGAGAAGATAAACCACACCAAACACTTCTCACCTTACTGTCAAATCTTAGACCCAAAACTGAAGGATTGTTCCAAATGGCCTTTGGATGTTTCAAGCTTCAAGCAAACCTTGATGCCCATTTTAATAAAGGGTCAAGTGAGGATAAACCACACCATCCAAATCAAATGTTTTCTCTGCTTCAGTACACTCCAGGCACAGTCATTGCCAATGATGTTTTTTGAGTCCTGGTTTTCTTCGAATAATACCAAAGAAAAGTAGCATGTACTTCGTAGCATTTGAATGAAAGTAGGAAAGTAGTAGCACTTGACTCTTATCTGTCAAGAAACCATCTCCTACTATTGACAAGGTTCCGGACCCATAATTTTTTTTGCAGTCCAGAACAAAGCCAAAAGTGCCAGAAAACCTAACTTGACATTTTTTAAAAGTTTAATTTTAGAAATAGGTAAATTATCAGAGGCTAGTAAACAAAAATTTAAAACAGATAGTTATAAATGAGTCCATTTGAAGAGCAAGAAATGTACGATTTTATCATTTCAAGTAGTCAAATGATCGCACCAATTCATCAGAAATCACGGTGCCAGTGTCATCCAGGCATATTCAGTTGCAATCAAACATTTGTTCTGGTTTGTTTCAACCAAATTGACTGAAAACTGCTGTTTTGGCTCTTAGGCTGATTTCATACTGTAACTGATCACTGCAACTGTACAGACAATTAAATTTGCCAATTAATAATTAATTATACATGGAGAAAAGACTATTATATATTGAACAAGTTAAGCATTGCTCACTTAACATTATTTACAATGTTAATTTTGCGTAAACCCCTCTTGTTACGACACTGAACAAATTTTTAACGACTGATGTTTTTACAATTAAGGAATTATTTATTCAATTGGCACCCATATGTGCGAAGTAGTAATGCTTTCTTATTATAGAATGGTAGATTAGAAAAAATATTGCTCAACTGCTGTCATTCAAAATTTAACTCAAATTAAAAATTGTCATTAAATATAGGCTTAACTACAGTAATTTCTAGGTTATAAACTCATTCAAGAGGTTTTTAATTGCTTGATTAAAAAAAGCCAATTAAATAGGATATATTAAATTGCACACACAGGGGCTGTAAAGCGTTAATATATTTAATTTATTACTTAAAATAGTGTATTACTTTCATTATTTGTCAAGTCCTACTCAAGTTTATGCTTTGGGGGTTGGTAATCTGAGGCCTTAGGTCGTCCTCCATACAAAAAATCCCAACTCTGGGATCAAGTCTCAGGTCTGATATTAACACAAGTAATTGCACGATTAAGTCAGATTGAATTTTCCTTTTTTTTTCTTTCCAGTTCCAGGGTTTTTTGCCTTTATTGTTGCAAGAGCTGATAAAATTATGCTAACCCACTACACTCTACAGACTTTTAGACTTAATAAGTTAGTTGTTTATTAACCCTGGATCAGCCATCCGGGACATCAGTTACTGCGGATTATTGAAACCCATTACTAACCTGGGAGTCGTTTTGATTTAATATTTTAGTTTTTAGCTAAGTGTAATTAAAATACTATACAATATAATCATAAGTAATGATTTTTAAATAAATCATGCAGCTGTAAGAACGACAAATATCAGTCCAATCCAGAGAGAATAAGAAGATCAAAATGATCAGCAAAAATCAAATTAACAGTGAGGCTAAATGTAACTTCATCATAACCAATCATATCATCAGTGATGATCAGGCTGCACAAGCCTCACATGCTCTGAAACAGAAAAAAATTAAACCTAGATGATCATCTTTTTTGTCATAATCACATTTAGTTTAACTATTGGAATTTTCTGACCTCATAACAGTCCAAATGCTAGTGTAATGTAAACACCTAATTTTTTTTAGCTTAATTCGTAAGATTTGCATTTAAATTTGACAAATTAAATAGTGTTAATATTAATTTTCTTCTTGGTATTTTATTTATTTAATTTTAGAAGGTGAAAAAGCCCTGTTTTCGCATTTACGAAGCTTCCTTATTTCCAGTGGTCCTGCAAGTTCTCTAATATGCAATGTTCCTTTAGATTCCCCTATCAGCAGATTTAATATTATTTTCGGATAGATTTTATAAATTTTCTTATTATAGATTATACAGTCTTTGGTTCTTTGCCTCCATTGCTTAATGAATTTTTTTTCCTGTTTTTAATTGCATTGATTAAAGCAACTACAAGTTCATTAACTGCTTCTATAAAAAATTGTTAAAATTGTTGTATTATAATTATATTAGCCACTGTTCATGGGTAAAAGTCAGTTCTCGACAAACACAGGTTGAGTTGGTTACAAGTTAATAGCTGATTCGATAAATAGCTTTTTTATATCCCTTATCCAATTGTGGATGAAATTGTTCTCTTTTTTTATTACACAAAAGTTTATTGTTGCTCAAATTGATTGCTTTATTGTATCAGGATAAATGATCGATTAAAAAAACTAGTTGGAACGATTTTGTCCAATAGCAAATTTTACACTAAAACGGTTGTTTTATTATTGTTTTTATTATTTATCTTTCTGAATTTATTAGATAAAAATTACAGGCTACATTTTTGGATTATTTTCTGGCCAGTAAAACTTATTTTTAGGCTAAACTTCTTTTATTAAAAACCTTAATGTGTTTTTGTTGTAATTTTGCGTGATGCACCAGATTCCAAAAGAATTCAATAGTCTTACACTTTACAATTGAATGATTTCGTATATTTAGTTTTGGTAACAAGATTATTTGGATAATTTTTTTTTTCAATTTTATTGACTTGGTGTAATGCTTGAAAACTTCGGCAGCTAATTATAGGCTAAATTAGATTTTTGGCCAGCTATTAATTTCATAGACTGTTTTCTTTATTATTATGTAAAATTTAATTTTTTACCCAAACTAATTAGTTTTATTGGGCTTACAAAAGAGGTAAATGTAATTTTTTTATAGCATTATTTTTATTTATTTTTTCTCTGTATTAGCCAGATTGTTTATATTAAGTTTTTGGGGAAGGGGGCGTGGGGAAAAAAACAAGAGTGATTGTGTGAATTGAACCCATGACTGAAGGGTCTACCGTTTTAATTTTCTTTTTTAAACGATGAGTTTTTTGACTGAATTCATAAATTTGTACTATTACCCAGTTGGTAATATTAATTTAAAGAAATAAGTTCATAATCCGCTCTGGCTTTTGCCATTTTCAGTGTTGACACAAATTAATCCCCCCCTAATTTATCATGTTTGCACTGATTAACATTTTATCAGAATTTAATGTTATAGAATTGCCTGTTATGAATATAATTTTATTTTTGCTCAAGTTTGAAAGTTTTCAAAGACTTTCTGTCCTCCTTGTGTTGAATTGTTTTTTAATCTTGTTATTTTTAAATCATATTCATATTCTGTACACTTAGTTTTGGCAGTTCAAAATATAAATTTTCAGCTCTGAAAATTAACATTCAATGCTATCTTTCATCACTATTGTCTAAGGCAGAAACGATGAATTTTATCAGTGTTAATTAATAAATAAACTTTTCTACAATGTTAAATTTTTTATTTACTCTTGTAAATTGTAAAGGACAAATTCAATCAAGATATACTAAATATATTTGAATATTTAAACAATAAATTTGATTTTTAGGAAGAGATACCGCCTGGATTGAAAGGTGTTGATAATCATTATAATGAAGATATGCACGTCAAGGTAAAACCGATTAAAAATTGTAATTTGTTATCAAAAAAATTAATTCTACAAACGAAATGTTTCAACAGTATCTCGAATCGTCGCAAAATCCCCAAGAGTCCGAATGTAATTCGGACTCGGTCGACGAACTCGGCTACTTGAACATGACGATAAGCGCATCGGCTGCGAAGGATTTTGAACTTTGGAACGCTCACGATACGGCGCAAGACAACTTCTGTACAATGCCGGACGATGGGAGCGACGCCCAGTACGTCGACCTTATGCTGAACCCAGAGCGGTACACCGGTTACAAAGGCGACTCGGCGCATCGCATCTGGCGTAGCATCTACATGGAAAACTGTTTCCGGCCTAAGAACAGTTACGCCGAGTACATACCATCTTCCAAGTTAAACGGTAAATTATTTGTAAAAAATGATTATTTGGAGTGACAAAGGTTTTAGAAAAACATTTTCTTTATTGTGCCAACGTTTTGATCTTTATTGAGATCGTCTTCAGGTGCCCACCTTGGTGTCTTGGGCACTCTCAACATGACGCACAAGAATGACCCAGCTACACGGAAAAGCCCTCAAGATGATCTCAATAAATATCGAAACTTTGGCACGATAAAGAAAACGTTTTTCTAAAACCTACATCACACCAGACCGCAACTCATGATCTCCGAATAATTGACTAATGGTCACTAAACACCACACATATTTGTAAAAACTTTTTTTAAAAATTTATTTGTTCTCTTACAGGTCTCTGCTTGGAAAAACGAGCTTTTTATAGGGTCATCTCTGGTTTGCATGCTAGCATAAACATTCATTTAAGTGCAAACTATTTATTCACAGGTAAATTATTATCAACTTTATTTTGTTTCAATTAATATATTACAGATGGTTCTCCCAAACCAATACTTTATGAGGATAAAAATATTTTTGGTCATTTTTTTCCATAATTTGGACTGCAATATACATAATTTTTTTGCAAAATTAAAAAGAAATTTTAAAAGAAAACTTGTGACCTGAAGAATCGTAGATTATTTTATTGTTTAAATTTTGCAGACAAATTGGCTTTCAGTCTGACAAAAAGCAGCGAAGGCGATCACTGGGGCCATAACTTGGAAGAGTTCAAGCGACGGTTCAGTCCTGAACAGACATCCCTCGAGGGTCCTCAGTGGCTCAAGAACCTGTACTTCTTATACCTGCTTGAACTGAGGGCTGTAGCCAAGGCGGCACCGTATTTGTCAAACGACCTTTACTATACGGGCAATAGCATGGAGGACGCAGACACTCGTACTGCCATTAAGGATTTCCTCCAAGTTGTCAGGTTTGATTTATTATTATTTTTTATTTTTTTGGTTCTAATAGTGTGTTTATAGTTCTTTTCCAGACCATTTTAACGAACGCAGCATGTTTTCTGGTGGTCAGCAAGCGGCCAAGCTGAAAGAAGAGTTCCGCCTTCATTTTCACAACATTTCCAGAATAATGGACTGCGTGGGCTGTGAAAAGTGCAAACTATGGGGGAAATTACAGGTCATTATAACTATAAAAAAAATATTTAAAAAAAATAAAGAGAATAAAAGTTTTGATTACGTTTACAGGTTCAAGGCTTGGGGACGGCCCTAAAGATACTCTTTTCGAAAAAGTTCGACAGCATCAATCCTCTCAATGTCGAGAAGTATAGAAACAACAAAACTTTCCATCTCGAAAGAAGCGAAATTGTTTCCCTGTTTAATGCACTCGGAAGGTAAATCAGTCCTTAACGACATCGTCGCTGATTATTCATTCTTTGTTTCCTCTCCTTAGGTTATCGACGAGCATACACGAGATTGAAAATTTTCGGAGAATGATGAGATAACAGAAATAATGATTGAACGTCCGTGTTGGAGAAAAAGAAAAAAAAAAAACCCCAGACATCACTAAAATAATACAAAGTGAATTTTTGAATTTCCTCCTCGGAAAATATTCTTTTTAGACGCACTTTTAACATATATAAAATCAATTTATTATTTATTGTGCAAGACGATACTTAACATACTCGAATTTTATAATTAATTAAAGAATTAATTACAAATTGTGATAAGAAATTTACAATTCGGCCAAAGATATTAATGTATCTATCAAAGTTAAAAACTGTTTTTTTTTCAAACGTTAATTTTTGCCCAATGAAACTGCAATGTATATAATATTTATTTAATGTTTTTGTGTATATAATAATTTATTTTGTTAAAAAAAAGTCTGTATATAAATAAAATATTGACTATTTTATTTAATGAAACAAAATTGTATGTTATTTTCCTTTACTCATAAATTATTACATAATGACAATTTCGAACTTTTATTAATTAGGTGATTAATTAGTTTGGAAATAATTTAAGAATGTTATATTTAATAAGTTATAAAAGTTGTAAATGTCACAGTCGATCATTATCTGAGTCTTCCACTAATATATCATTAGCACCTATTAAATCGTCAAGTAGATTTTTCCTTCTGAAACATCTTGCGAAAACTGTTTGTATGAGTTCTTTCGAATGATTTGGTGATGTGTTGTATGACTTGTCACTGCCCAGTGTTGTCTGGAAAGCTTGACTCGAGAGCGCGTCGTACTCTGAGTGGACGTTCTCGCTGATCGGTTGGCTTTCATCAGACGGGATCAATGGCGTTTTATTTTGCAATGGAGTCGTGGCGTTCGGCCTCAGCTCCTGTCTGGCTTCGTTGTTCGCGATTTCATTGGTGAAACTGAAAGGGCTCAGCGGCTGGCGTACAGGCGTTTCGAGGCTCCGTTTTCGTCCTGATGGTGTGTTTTCGCACTGAACTCTTGACAGACTGCCGACTCTTGTTCTATTATGGGAAGGGTTCAGTGTTGAAATAATATAATTGGCCTCATAAACGGGTTGATTCATCGCTCGAAAGACAATTGGGCTAAAATTTAATCAAAATTTTCAATTAAGATTAAACTATAGGGATTAAACTATTTTTTAAAAAATTATTATTATTTTTTACAAGGGTATTTCAACTACGAGGTTATATGAACCCATCTGTAAGTGTGTTGGGTTCAAATGCAGTACTGCTGGATTCGAACCCAGGACCTTTACCTTACAGTGATGAGTGCTGTGTCAACGCCTAAACCGTTGTGGCCCCTGTTAAATTTTTAAATTATTAATTAAAGATTTAAAGTCCTGATGAAGGGGGAATATATTCCGCAAAAGAACCGAGTGTTTTCTCCCTTTATATAATAATTATTATTATTTTTAACTAAAATTTTTTTTGGGGTGTTTCATTCTATTTTCAAACACCCAATTCTATTAGTTTAAAAATGCTTATTCAGCAGAGCATTTGTCATCATCATTAACAACAGCCCTCCGTGAACCCTCTTGTCATGGTCCTGGGCCATCTCTCGAGGGTAATAAAAGGGCAGACAAGGCAGCTAAGGCCATGACATCCCAACCTCTGGACCTAGCAGGCACTAAAAATGGATTAAAAAACATGGTTAAAAGGAAGCGGCAGCATTGGTAGTCTGGATCGGCAGAGAAGCTCAGACATATCAGAGCACAGTTGATACGTGGTCCTCGGAGGATGTGAATCAAAGAAAACTTGACTAAGCAAGAACCAAATGAAGTTGGCAGAGAAAGGCTGCTCAATTTGTCCCACCTAATTATTTCATTCCTTGGTTCCATATAGAGAGCATGTGTTCCGATATTTGAAGGAAGGTTACTGGTAGGTATCACATTTTGTGTTTCTTTTTGGGAATGTATTTATTGGGGTGAATGTATAATGTGAGAGGGCATTGGTAGAATTTTGAGTACATTAATTAGATTAGTGATATAGTGATAAAGGGTGATGGACTCTACTTGAGTGGATGGTCTGTAACCTTGACTGCCTCATGTCCTGTTTGAGAGATACCATGAACTTGGAGCATTTCAAATATAATGGAAAGGAGGAGGCAGTTAAAGCCCGGATATCCCAATCTCTGGACCAATGGATGCTAAAATTGCAATAAATGATTGATAGGTGGGCGGGTGACACTCTCGGGGTTGGAGGATCTGAATCAAATGATCGATCATACTAAACTAGTAATGAACTATATGAGGTTAACACAGGGACACTGATTTTCCGGGCAAAGTTGGCATATAGAGAAAGGTTGCTCAATGAGTCCCACTTAATTGTGTCATTCCTTCGTTCCATATAGAGAGCAAGTTGAAATGTTACTTGATATTGTCGTCGAGCATGGCGAGTATTTGGGCCACCTGTTCCGATTTTGAGGAAAAGGGGCTGCTTTACTGTATTGAGCACTTGGTAGATATCTTGTTTTGTGTTTACTTTTGTGAATGTATTTATTAGAGTGAATGTGCAGGGTGAGAGAGCTGTTAGTGGAATATCGAGTCAATTAGATTAGTTTATTATGTGTAAAGGGTGATAGAGAAATATCGAGCACATCACCACCCACTAAGTAATGGTATGTAAAGTGGAAATAATGAGTGGGAGTGTGCCTATGTTTAGAAATGTGCATGAGGGCTGAAACATCCTACATGTTGAGCTAACTTTGGATATAGCACCTTGGTGGCAAGATGGGTGGATGACAAAAACACCAAAGTGAGTGATTCTTCTGGCTTATCACAAGAAATCGTTATCTTGGTGTATATATTATGTATATTTTTTGTTTTTTAAATGAGGAGTCACTACAGCAGAGGTTACATCAACCCTTGAGGTATTGGTGTTTTTGAAAAAATAAAACAACCCATTTGCAAGTATGTCAGGTTCAAATGCAGGGTCACTGGATTTGAACCCACGACCATTACCTTACAATGATGAGCACTGTGTCAATGCTGATTCAAAGAGTTAAATCTGTAAACGTTACCTTCCAGGCATGTCAAAAGAAATTTTGACAGAGAGATTAGACGGTTCTGCAAATGCGAGAACGGCCCTCAATTCTTTGAAACAGAATGTGACACAAGACGGATTTCCGATCGTGTACGATTCGAATTCAGTCGGATGAAAGGACAGCTCCGTCCTCATCAGGTGTTGATCTGAAACGAAAATTAGCCTGGAAAGTAAATATTAAAATTACACATCCCAAAGCTACAAAGACTCGGTCAAATCACCTTTTTGCATTTCCAGATGGTTCTTGATCACTGTCTTTTCCTCTTCGACTGTTATCGCTATTTCGTCTTCGGAATAACGGAAGTTCTTAACTACGGAAGAAAGGAATTTCGACGAGGTCGTGAGGGAATTGGACATTTCATTCAGAACGATTGCCTTAAAAAATGAACAATAAAATTCTGTTTAAAAACCAAACTGTTCTTGATTTACCAGATCTGTTTCACTTTCGACAATAGGAAGATAATATTTTTTTATATGAGAGTTTGTAAACTTTATCTGGAATATGACGATCGTCGTATCAGGCTTCATTCTAATTTCGCAGCTTTCAACCTGTTTCTCCATACTGTGTGTATGTTTAAAAACGCTAAGGCATGACTGTAACATATATTAAAAAAAAAAGTAATAAAATTTTTAAAAAACCTGTTTGTTTTACCTTCATAGTGATTTTGCATTTGGCCTCTAAGTCATTCTCGTTGAAAATGTAAGACGAGAAGAAGCTCCGCCATATCCTGAACTCGGCACAAGCCGACTGAGCCATGTTGGTGGTCCTGAAGACCAATTCATTTTCCGACGGCTCGATAAACATTTCATCTCCTATTTTTGAAAGTGAGTGGAAAGCACGGGCAAGGACTGGAACAAAAATAAAACTGTCTCTTAAAACACAAATCTTTTTTTTAGACTGATAATAATGTAACCATTGAAACTTTCACATTTACTATTATAAAGCCAGTATTGGCACATTTCTAAGATCTTTATACAATCAAAAATCAATATTATTAATTATACATGCTTAATTATTACACGACTATACATAAACTTTGAGCATACACTCAAATAACTTATTGAAAACACTAACTTGTTTGAACATTTTATAGTCATTTATAAACATTGTAATATAACATTTTATATTACAGCTATAAACTTAAAAGAAGCTACACATCCCTATTACAAATAGTTAAAACAGTAATATAAAAATTTGTTAAATTACTTTTCGACTTACTTTTAACGTTTTGTCCAGGAATAACGCACTTCATGGTTGAAAATGTTGGCTTTCTATTTCACACTTCGAATCTGCCTGGGATTTGGGACCGGCGTGATGTGTAACCTGGTCGTCTGTAACCTCAAAGAAGAAGGTTTTCAAATTTTTGACAGCAGTTTCCATTTTTCTATATTTGTCAACTTTTTAAAAATCTTTTGATTATTGCGATTAATTATTTATATATATTTAGATTAAAAATCATCTCAAAATTGGCAGAATACAATGGTTAAAAAATATATTTAAGAACAACGCGAAATACACTGATGCACGGTTAAATTTTTTAACACAAATTTATTAATATTAACAAAATACTGAGTCAAAATTTGCAATTTGAAGATTGGTTAATCCTTTTGAGAACTTTTATTATAAAGGCAGCAGATTTATGGTTTACCACCTTGTCCTGAAAGTAAATGAAATTCAGATTACAAGTGGTGTTTGGTATGACATCTCCGGATCCCATCTGGATGTGGTTTTGTAGCATTGTAAATGCTTTTAGTCACATCCTCAGACGTGAGATCTGTTACTGCCTTCCCTTGAAGAATTTTAACTTTTAAAGTCCATTTAAGTCTGCCTGCGCACTTCCATGGGTGTCACCCATAGTCACCTCACTCCTAAGTCAGAATGCAGGAAAAAAAAAATTAAAATAGATCAAAGCCTTGACGATAATTTAATTTCATAGTGTTCTAATGCTATGCATAGATATTGCTTTCATTATTCTAAAGTGTGTGGTGATTAGAACACATTACACCAGACCGCATCTCACGATTTCTGAATAATTATTCTAAAGGTCAAAAAATTTAAAATGTTGAGATTGCTCTTAAGGAGAAAGAAGGCCATAGACCTTTTATAATAGTAGAGTACATTATCACTCACAGTTTTTTTCTTTTTAATGAGGGGATTCCAACTTCGAGATTATATGAACTCTCGAGGTGCCGGTGTTTTTGAAAAAAATCTCATTTGTAAGTATGTCGGATTCGAATGCAGAGCCGCTGGATTTGAACCCAGTACCTTACCTTTCAGTGATGAGCGCCATGTCAACGACTACACCGATGTGGCCACAGGCGTCCTCTATCATCAACATATGTCAAACTATCTTCACAGTTCCTTGACCCCCCCCAAAAAAAAAGTTGTTAACATATTCTAGGCTAATAAATTAATTCAAAAATAATTGATTCGCCTTATGTTTGTTTTCAACATGTATAAATATGTGCAAAATGTTTCAACATGTTTTATTATACAAGATATACAAAACAGCGACATTATATACACATTATATAATAACTGTTAAAAAAGAAATATAAATTATTGGCAAGTGCTTAATTTCAAACTTATATTTACAAATGGCAACCTTCATTAGAAACACGATGCCTAATTATTTAAAAAGTAAGAATTTAGATTTTATCTATCTGTGAGAAGTTTTTGCTTCGCCATTACGCTTTCGTCGAACACTATCATGTAAGTCGTCCCTTTGTGCCAGTGCGCTGTCACTTTGGCTGTCTGAAAAAACAAAACAAAAACTTATAAATATGTTTCGACCGATGCTATCGACCCTATTGGGAAAGCTTACAAAGCCTGTGCCGCAGAGGAAAGCTTCCATGATACCGGCAGCAAATACGGCGCAGTTGAAACTCCTCTTGTCTTTCGGGATCGATATGTACGTGTTGACTATTGGATCTTGTTCCTTCATATAATAGATCTTTTCATCGTCGTTGGCATGTTCCAATATGTCTATTTCTTTTAGAAACAAACCCTGTAAAAAAAAATCAATGAAATGAAGAGAAAATTATTTAGATATTAAATTAATTTATTAATTGTTTCATTATTAATGAGAATTAACACATTCAACGTTGGTGACACCACAGTGGAGTCATTCGTGACTCCCGCCAGGTATGGGTGACCCCACAGTGCCAAGGCCCTCTCTCGTAGAAGTCAACTTTTCTTCCGCATTTTAGTTAGAAAAGTATTATAATGCCCCTCCCCCATAGGGCGAATGATTCAGAACAGCCTGGACCTTACAGAGATCTTCGTTCCAGTCTCTAACCTTAAATGTCTAGGTAGCACTACAAGCGCATATCTACTTTCTACCTGGCACTTTTTTGATAAGTTTGACCTTTCTTCTAAATAATAATACGTTCTCTGTGGACCCCCTCATCGTGCTCTTGTTAGAGAAATACGCGGAGCTGGAACCTCTTGGAAAAAAAATGGTTGTTGGGAACTCTGGATTCCTGGACATGTCAGCCTGGAGTATGACAAACATGGGGAGAGGGCGGCAAAAGCCGTTGGAGAGGGTTTTGCGAATCAAAAGCACGACCAACAGATGGCCCTCAGAGAACCTGAGCAGGAGACGAGGGATCGTCCTCACCAGATTGAGGAGTGGCCATACGCTGTTGACACACGGGCACCTCCTTTTGGGCCAAAGTCTATGCAGGTGCCCCTTATGCAGAGCTTGATGTGTTCCACATAGAGATATGTTCCATAATAGAGCCTGTTATGCCTCGGCTCCATACAGAAAGCGTGTAGGCATGACGCTGGATTTAAGAATGGTTCTCAGACACTGTAGTGAGTTTCAGGGTCTCCTGTTCCGCTTTTTAGAGGAATTGGGAATTTTTATTGTACATAATCAGCAAAATATGTGTTTTGGGTTTCTGTGTTTTGTATGAGTGAGTGTATTTATTAGAGTGAATGGGGAGAGGATGATGGTGAAATATCAAGCTGTGTACATGACTTGGGTCAATGTAGGAATAATGAGTACTCCATCTACCAAATAAAGTGAATGCAATGTATATAGATGTGAATGCACATTGAATGTGTGTTGTTATATTTTGCATGCCCCGGGGGAGGGGGAGGAAGTGTGTCTGTTTATATATATATATATATATATATTATATATATAAAGGATAATCAGGCCGAACCATTACCCATTTTTTTCGCATTGTCGGCTCCTTTCACCTAAAAGAAGCCGACTCCTCATATAAAAATGAATTTCTATCCCTACTTCCTTCCCCACCCTTTCAAAATCCAAGGTATATAAAGAAAAAAATCAATATCTCACTGGCACTCTCAACCCGACACACAATAATGACACAATTACGCAGTAAACAAACACTTTGAGCCCTGAAGATGCTCTCTATAAAAATCGAAACGTTGGCATTTTAAAGAAAATGTTTTGACCGCTCTCACGATCTCCAAATAATCATTTACATTTGTGTTGAGCACAAGACTAGTTATGGCTCTATTATGTAGTTTTATTATTCAAGGGAGCTTTTTAAGCCCACAATAAAGTTTATTTTCTTCTTCTTCTAAAAAAAGAAAAGAGAGAAAAAAAGGTACCTGGGCGATTCCTGCATTGAATGGGTTTAGGAGAAAGAGAAAAAATAAGATAGGACAAAGAGTGATTAAGAAAAAAAAAAATTGACATGTATGTGTCAGATAAAAGTATGATTCATCGAGTATGAACTTTACAACATTCTGCCTAATTTGACTTTTTACATAGTCACTTGCAACACTAAATTTTCACAATATGGTCCAGTGGTTGACCCACTAATCTAAAATTTGACAACTATTATTTAATCATCACTGTACCCATACTACGTTGGTCTTTGTGTCAAAAGAAGTGATTCACCAGCATGTAATTTACCAAGCTGTCTGTTGGTGGTTGACGGTCAGCAAGTCGGTAAACCGATTGGCACTTATTCGCTCTACGGTTCTATCAAGGGTTGGGCCTCTTCAGGAAGACAGAGTGATCAAGAACTGATCAATCTAACATGAGTATTGGCATTTTATTTCATTGTATGCTAAGATGATAGCTTTACCTTCCAGAGTGTTGTTTTGATGAATAGCAGCATGTTCAAGAGTTTCGTCTCCCTTTTGCACTTGGCTTCCCTGACGCAGTACAGGTCTATCAGCTTCATGCCGACCTCTTGGCCCAGCTCCGCCAGCCTGGAAACGGAAACGTTTGGACCATCCCATCGACCAGACTGTCTGCAAGTCTTACCTGTTCTGCAGCTCCGGTACAGTGTGCACCTTGTTCTGGCAGTACTGGACCATCTCGGAGAAAAGGAGGGCGTATGTGCTGAGGCCGATTTCCCGTTTGCCTTTGCTCAGATTCCTGTCGAGTATGCTCGTCCTCGGCCTCACCTGGGATATGATCGCTGCAGGGATCGGGCTGGTGGCCGCCTGGAGGGTGAACTTTTCGGAAAAAAGCTTGTTTACGCTCATACCGGATGGAATATAATTTTGACTCGATTGACGGAAACTCCCCCGACTGTTATTTCATTGACGTTTCTCAGAAGGTTCCGCTTCTGTTTTCCACGTGCTTATCAAACTAAAGTTGAATTATTGTTGTTGTTGTTGTTTCTTTCTTTAGAAAGATGGGTTGTCGGGTAAATAGAAAATATCTGACGACCCATGTTACCTGTATTAAATTTTGGGACAATTATATTTTAGCAGGTAATCAAATTTATGTATCGCATCTTCATCTTCCCCATAACAAATTTTATGCTGACACACTTTAAAGATGATTTTATTTACATTTAATTTATACAATTTTTAAAACCTAATAAAGTTTTCTTCTTATCATGGTTGAGTAATTCTAACAGAAATGCGTGTGAAAAATTACATAATTGTTTCCAGTGGAGTAGTACTTCATGTCTTTACAACAAAAAATAAGACTACAAAAAGTGTACAAGATAATTAATCATCAATAATTTAATATTCCTGCATGTATATATATCGTACAGCCCCCTAAGAATGAAAGTATAAAAAAATATACACATTCTTCTGTTAATGGAGCACTTCAAATTTCTCTTCGGTGGAGTAGTTCAACATATTCCTCCATTACTCAATATCCCAATAAAGAAGTATAAAACTTAATTAAGCATCAATAATTTAATATTCCTACATCTATACATAACGTACAGCCCCCTAAGCATAAAAGTAAAAAAAAATATACACATTCTTCTATTAATGATGCACTTCAAATTTCTCTCCAGTCAAGTAGTTCAGCATATTCCTCCATTACATTATAGCCTAATAAAGAAGTACAAAACTGATTTAAGCATCAATAATTTAATATTCCTACATGTATACATAACATACAGCCCCCTAGGCATAAAAGTATTAAAAAAAAAAAATAAAAAAAATACACATTCTTCTATCAATGGAGCATTTCAAATTTCTCTTCAGTGGAGTAGTTCAACATATTCCTCCATTACTCAATAGCTTAATAAAGAAGTATAAAACTTAATTAAGCATCAATAATTTAATATTCCTACATCTATACATAATGTACAGCCTCCTAGGCATAAAAGTATTAAAAAAAAAATATATAAAAAAATACACATTCTTCTATTAATGGAGCATTTCAAATTTCTCTTCAGTGGAGTAGTTCAACATATTCCTCCATTACTCAGTAGCCTAATAAAGAAGTATAAAACGTAATTAAGCATCAATAATTTAATATTACCATAGGTATTCATAACGCACAGCCCTCTAAGGACAAAAGTGTAAAAAATATACACTTTCTTCTATTAATGGAGCACTTCAAATTTCTCTCCAGTGGAGTAGTTCAACATATTCCTCTATTACTCAATAGCCTAATAAAGAAGTATAAAATGTAATACTATATGTACCTGTTCATATAGTATAACAATTTTTTTTTCTTCGAAGTCCTTATGAAGGCGATATATTCTGCCGAAAGCTTGACAAGAAAATAAATGTTGTTTCTGTCTTCCTGGCCTCATCCCCAATCTACCTTTTGGAAAGAAAAATATATATAAAACGTAATTAAACATCAATAATTTAATATTACCACATGTATTCATAACGCACAGCCCTGTAAGCATAAGTGTAAAAAATATACACTTTCTTGTATTAATGGAGCACTTCAAATTTCTCTTCAGTGGAGTAGTTCAACATATTCCTCCATTACTCAATAGTCCAATAAAGAAGTACAAAACTTAATTAAGCATCAATAATTTAATATTCCTACATGTATTCATGACGTACAGCCCTCTAGGTATAAAAGTATAAAAAAAATATACATTCTTCTATTAATGGAGCACTTCAAATTTCTCTACAGTGGAGTAGTTCCATCACTCAATAGTCCAATAATTAAAACTTAATTAAGGATCAATACTTTAATATCCCTGCATTTATACATTAATGATAGTTCCCTAGTTATGAAAGTATAAGAAAAAATATGCTTGTTATTTTAGTAATATAGTACTCGAAATTTCTCCACAGTTGGAGTAGTTCTCTTTATTTCTCCATCTCTCCAAAGCCAAATAAAGAAACACACAACTTAATTAAAATTGATCTTCATATTCCTGCATGTTATACTTTAATTACAGCCCATAGATACAAAGGTTTAAAAACAAGTGTACACACATTTTCTAAAGGCGTAGTTTAAATTTCTGTACATTTGAGTAGTTGTCTTTATTCCTACATCTCTTAATAGTCAAATAAAGAAGTACACAGCTTAATTAAACTTAGCTTATCTACAGCTCTTTGTTAAGCTTAAGGCTTTTTATTAGTTGCCTAAGCTTTGCGTATCCTTCAGGGATTGGTTTTTGCTCTTCCAGGAGTAGGAAAATCAGCCTGCACCAACATAGAACATTTTTTTTTGCAATTTGTGCAAAGACTTGTTTCTACTGCTGAGAGTCTAAATAGGTTTGGTAGTCCTTTTTTAAAAAAGAGTTCCTACTAACAGTAAGATGTTTTCCAATGATCTGGATTTTGAGCCCTTAGCTCATCGTCAGGTTGAAGAATTTCTACAATCACGTCTTTCAACATGAATTGCAAAAGTGAACCTGCCGATACCCCCGCCAACATGACATTCCAGTGGGAAGCTTTTAGGTTTTATCTTTTTTCAAAAAGGATTGAACACCTCACTCAGTCCATCATTCACCATTTTTAATAGGTTTGGTAGTTCTGTTGTTACTTTCTGTGGTGGTCCTTTAATAAAATTTTTCACTTGCTGCTATTCTGTCTTCAAAGGACTCACAAGGGCAATTATCAAATCAGGTGGCATGCCTACTCGCTTTCTATAAAGAGCCATAGTCTGACACCCTTCCATTATTTAGATTCTTTAAATGATATATTTGTATGTACCTATCATTTATAATCCCCGGATTAATTAATAGTTTTATTCTTAGGAATCGGAGGAGATTTTAATGTTCTCGAACCCGACGAAGATGAGACTTCACCTTGGAAGACTGCAATCTCAGTTACAATTTTCGAGAATCAAAATATTTACGGTATAAAACCAAAAGCTAGTAAGATTCTGATCTATGGAGGTAAAGAAATCGCCATTGTCGACTATACATTTGATCAAAAAAATTTTAAGTATGCTCGGGCGTCAGTATATTTTTTTCAGACTCGTTTCATAATTGAAATTGTTTTCATAGGGTCGAAATAAAAAATAAGTTCCGTGTTGAAGATTGGATTTTACAAGCTGTCTGGTTGAACTCGAATCAGGTCGCGGTTCTTGCAGCGAGCAATTGTCTCTTACGAGTGAATTTAGAAGAAGGGAAAGTCATCGAGAAAAATCCCTGCACTATAAGGTGTATATTGTATCCTTGTCAATTGTGCAATATAATTTTAAAAGTTTATTAAAAAAAGAAATAAAAAAAACACCTTAATGTATGTTTATATATTCGGGAACTATACTTAACGACAATTGGAATGAGCTGGTCATTCTTGCTGGAACTGTATTTCAGGAAGTTCTAATCTGGTTGAATGATGTTAAACCTAATGTTAAATTACTCCATCGATTAAAAGGACACATGGTAAAATTTTCAACATAATGGATAATATAAATATGTTGGAAATGTAAAAATATCATATATATGTTTTTTTAAAGCGTTTTTTTCCTAGGGTGTTATATTTTCTGTGAATTACAACAAGAAATCACAATTGATTTGTACGACGTCGGATGATAGGACTGTTCGTTTCTGGAAGGTTTGTTTTGCCGAAGAGGCAAACTGGGCCGCCTGTCAAATTACTCTTACGCATACAATATTCGCTCATACGGCACGAGTCTGGGATAGTTGTTTCTTGCCCAACAGATACATAATTAGCATCGGCGAGGTATTAAAATCAGTTGGATTAAAAATAAAAAAAATTTAAAGTAAATTTTTTTTATTCAAGGATTCACTGATTTCCATGTGGAACGAATATGGGAAATGTGAAAACCAGTGGTCCGGCCATCAAGGAGGGTGTATCTGGAGTGTGGACTTTTCAGACAAATTGGGCGTTGTCGCAACTGGAGGCAGTGACGGAGGTATCAACCTATGGCCTGTTGTTTCCAAATCTTTGCCTGAATCTCTTCCTTTTGATGCAAAGTGAGTACGAATGAATGTTTAAAGAATAAAGTTATTGTCATAATTTATATTTTTTGGTTTAGAAATAATCAAAGGATTCCGAGATGCCTCGTATGCTCTAAGTCAGGTCAAGTCGTCCTCGTAACAAATCTGGGAGAGATTATGGTCTATAAAGATCAGTGGAAAACGATATTTCAAGACGATAATTTTTACAATTATTGCCAGTTGAGTATATCCCCGAATAGAGATTACATTTCGTTAGGTGGTATACGTGGGCATATTGTTATTCTTGACGGTAAAACGAGTGATATTCACAAACGTCTCCATACGAAAGCGATAAATGGAAGGATTTATTCTCTAATCTGGGCTGACGACTCAGTTTTGTCTTCTTCTGGTCCAGAGGGTGAAATAATAGTTTGGAAATTTTTCCCAGGTTGATATTTTTTTTTTAAACTGCAATAAAAATTATTTTGAAAAATTGTATTTTTTTCTTTTTAGAAAGCGATATTCTAGAAAAACTCTTTGTTTTCAATCTTCCAAACAGTAAGGAAAGATGGTTCACGTGTTGCTGCCTATATGAAAATTACTTTTTATGCGGTGACCGTGGTGGTTCGATACATTTGTTTAAACAGTGTGAAAAAATGGTACTTATAATGAGAATAATCTTAAATAATCCTTTTAATATTGTTTTATTTATAGGAACCGTTGCATACGCTGAAAAGAGAGCATGGCCCGAGAGGTGTGAGCGATTTAAAAAATTTAAAAGGTTCTATTTTTTCAACCGGGAGGGATGGAACGTACAAGCAGATTGTCATAAAAAATGAAAACGAATTAAATGTCATAAGCACCTATAAACTTCAGATGGAATGGCCAGCCGCAATTGTTCCTACAAAATCATTCGGAAATGTTATAATCGGGTTTTTTGAGGTTTGTCTCTTTAAAAAAAGTTTACGAAAAAAAATCCTTATTAAAATTTAATCCAGGTGAAGTTAATTATATGGAGTATAAGTGAAAGAAGGCCGATTTTAAGCATAGAATGTGGCGGTGGACATCGATCCTGGGATTGTTATATCGAGGATGATAAAAATGGTCGTCTGACTGTTTCTTTTATCAAAGAGAAAATTGTCAAGTATTATTCTAAATCACACGATTCTATTGCCCTCCAGACTGTACTGGTATGAAGATTTTTTTTTTCATTTTTAATGTATTTTTTAAAATATTTATTTTTCAAGGCAGGAAATCATTCGAAGACAATAAATTCTTCGAGTTTAATCTATGATGATGATTCGTACTGGGTTATTTCTGGTGGGGAAGACGCTACTCTGAGGCTTTTTCACGTTTCAGAAAGTCAATTTTCAAATTGCGGCATCTACAGAAGGCATATTTCAAGTATAAAGACTGTTACACATTTGAAACATTCTAGATTGGGAACGTACGTTGCTTCAGGAGGAGGTCGAGGCCAGTTGGTCGTCTGGAAGATGATCAGAAACGATGGTAAATTATTCAAGTCAAGTATTTAAAATTTGATTCCAACTCGTTTAACCAATTTAAAGAGGGCTTTATGCTTGGTGAACTGTCTGAGAATAAGCTACGAGAAGAAAATAAGCCTTCGGAGCAGATTGAGCCTTTAGATGAGCCTGAAATACGCTACATGGATTTATTAATGGTTGAAAGGGATTCCGATGACATTTTTATTATTGGTGGTTGTTCCGATGGAATAATTAGGTATTTTAAACAACGCAATATTAAACAAATAATCAATAAAACAAAATATGCTTTCAGACTACACAAATTTTCGGAGAACGATAAAAAAATCACACTGAGAAATTCCTTCAAACTGAATCATTGTTGCATTCTGGAAATGAAACATCTGGAATGTTTTGTAACGAGTACGTACACTGATGGGAAAATTGCTTTTTGGAGTTGGAAAACCCTGGAAGAAGGAACTGATATTAAGCCTGCTGTGTTTAAAATTCACAGCCTTGGGATCAATTGTTGCGACATTATTGAAAATCACGGCTATCTGGTTGCAGCGACAGGATCTGACGATGCGAGTGTAGCACTAAACACTTTTGCGCTTAAATCTGGCAAACTGACCCTGAAGAATAGTTGGTTTGAAAAGAACCTTCACACTTGTCAAATTTCTGGTAATACCACTCATAATTATTTGGGGCGGTGAAGGGGAAATTCTAGCGAAAACTTACTAAAAAACTTGTAATTCCAAATTGCAGGTATAAAAATTTGTGGGGATTATCTCATTTCGAGTGGTATGGACCAGAAGATCAGCGTACTCAAGTTGGCCTTCTTCAGTGAAGACCTGAAGGTTAGTTTGGTCGCTCAGGTTAAAACCTGCATCCCAGATTCGCACGGAATGATTGCTTGGGAAAATGAGTAAGTCGGCCATTTTTCATGCTGTGATACGCAGGATAAATTTTTGATTTTTTAAATTTCATTTCCAGGGGAAAAATTACAGTTTACCTTTTTGGCATAGGTGTCCAAATTTTGGACCTTCACATGATCACTTCGTAAACAATTGTTGTAAATATATTGCGAATAATGCAAATGTATATGAAAAATTTTATTATATTTTAATAAAGTCTTCCATTTTTAATAATTATTTATATAAGCACATTATTTATTTTTATTATTATTTATTTTTTTAACGAGGGTTTGTAACAGCAGAGGTTATATCAACCCATGGGGTGCGGTGTTTTTGAAAAAAAGCCCATTTGTATGTCGGGTTTGAATGCAGGGCCACGGGTTTCGAACCTGGGACCTTTACCTTATAGTGATGAGCGCCGTGTCAATGCCTAAACCGTTGCGGCCACCGACGCTCCTCTATTTATTATTATTATTATTATTATTATTATTTAAAAAAATGTATAAGTATGTTGGGTTCAAATACAGGACCGCTGGATTCAAACCTGGGACCATTACCATAGCATAAAAATAGCACAATGAAGATATACACTAAATCTATCAAAAGAATTAAAAATCATGTAAGATTTTTTCTTTTTTTTAGGGGGGGTGAATGAATAAACCAATTTTCTTATTGTAGACCCATGAAAATCACAATTAAGTTTAAAAGTTGCTATGTATACTTCTGTTCAAAGAAGGGAAAAAAAGAACATCCTAAATAACTATAGGTCTATAAGTAAGTGCTCCCCGATTGCAAAGATAATGGATTCCATAGAAATGATGGAGTGAGTGCGGTGTTCAATCCTTTTTTTTTTTTAAATATAGTTCCTACTCACTTACTTCAAACTCAGTAAGTTTTTTCTCATGTTCAATTTTACATTTTTTAATTTCAAATTTCTTAAACCAATCTAGTTCTCACCCTTTATTGAAATTATGTAACACTTGTATTTAAATTTGAATTGAAATTATGTTTTGTTTCTTTTATGTGGTCCTTAAATTCCGAACATTTGTTCGGTTTAGGCAAGTGTTTTTTACTCTCATTTTTATTTCTCTACCGCTTTGTCTTTACTGTGAAGGAATTATCTTTTTAAAAAGAAATGGATTCCATTGTTTCTAATTCGCTTTCCACAGCCTTTTCATCTGCCATCTGCCATACTGCAAGATGATGTGTTTGTAAAAGGATTGTGTGAAAAAATCACTCGTGCAACTAAACACAAGAATCACTCGCAAAACGCCTTCTCGGGTAAATCATTTCCACGAGGTGAAACATTTTGCCACCTAGAGGTGACAAGCATGCTGTTTACAATTACACTAACTGCTGCAACAGCGTTTGCTATCATGGCGATACTTTTTGTCTTTGTCCTATTTTGATGCTCATTTCCTCCCATGCATCTGCCTTCTTGTTCTTGTAATGATGAGTTTTATCTTTAGCATCCAACAAAAATTGGTGTGTGATCCATCAAAGTCAAATGCAGCCCTTTTGGTTCATTTCCTGGCTATTCCTATATGGCCCTCCTACTGGTACCCCCAAAACTGACAAGAGCTGGTGTCTTCAGGACAGTTTTCCAGTCTGAAATCATAGCGATTGAACATTGCACCAGGGAAATAAAAAGGCTAGGAATATACTCCCGGAAGATAGGACTTCTCTGACAGACAGGTAGCACTAAAGGCCTCATGCAAGGTGAAGGCAAAGAGTGTTTGGAACTGCACAGAGGCACAGGAAGTCAGTGACATCCCTGATGATCCCTGGCATGGGTCCTGGGCACTCAGAGCATAGAGACAACGACAAGGTTGACATGTTGGCCAAAGAGGGGGCTAACATGGACTCTCTAGGTCCTGAACCCTACTGTGACTTAGCATCCTGCCACAAATGAGGATACATCTTAAAACGGATCCTTAATGAGTCCAAAACCTGTTGGAACAATACCACAGGTGTGAGGCATGCAGAGATTCATAGAAGGGCCATCTGCAAAACTTACAAAAGGATTACCTGAAGGCAACCGCCACCAAACCTGGATTCTAACTGGACTCCTGACAGAGCACTGCCACTTAAGAAAGCACCAATAGCACAGAAGAAACACTGTGCAGATTCTGCTAAGAAGAGGAGGAGACTGCAGACACATTTTATGTTTCTGTGAAGGTCTATGTAGGCAAGTTCTTGCAACTAGGAACAAGAAAAACCGCAAGCAAGATCCTACACTAAGAGGCCGCTGGCAAGGTTATGGAGGTTGATTAACAACCTGAAACTGGCCAGTGAATTATAAAAAACATGGGAGCATAATATATCTATTCAGGCCAAGGTGCAGAAGCCCTTGTGACCGCCTCTTTTATCCCTATCCATATGGCTGGGAATCCAGACCAGCACGACCTTCTTCCAATCAGCATTGATCCGTTTTAATTATTCATATATTTTTTTATTTTTTATTAGTGGATCCATGAAGGCTTTTCTCCTGTGTTCTGAGACAACACTAAGCAAATCCGTGCATATTATATAGGTTTGTTTCCTGTTGATGTGTTATGCTCAGTGCGAGAGATATGGCATTCAATTCTGTAGTGTACAAGCTTCGCTGTGGTAGGAAGGGACATACCTTCGACCTGCCCTTCCATGTATACAGCACAGCGTCTTGGTGTCTGCGAAAATAAACCTCATGGTTCTTCATCATCAGTGCTGAATTCGCTTTTGTACATGTGGTCGTGTGGCACTTTTCTTGTATTTGGCCGTTCAGTAAACAAGGGGAGAGACCAGGACACCCGGTATGCTTTTTGGTTTCATCTAGCTCAATACAACTCCCCAGCTGCTAGACTTGACCAGGGCCTCATACAGGTGATTGGGCAGTTAATAATAATAATATTAAAATGTTAGAGCTTAAAATCATTGGATTTGTACTATTTATGTTGTGTAATCTAGCTGTAAATATACAAATTGAATAAAAACAACCAAAATAATATGACTGCTTTTCTCTAGAAAAAATTGCTACTTTAAAAGTTATTTTATGATGTAAGAAAGTTTTGGTTAATAATCACTTTGACAATATTTTTCTAATTATCTTCCATATAATGAATGAACAGAAAAACTTCCTATGAATTTGTTTTCTCATTGGGAAGCAGTTATCTTATATTTCTAGCCTACCGATCCAGTTCAGTGGAGAGATAAAACGAAAGCACTAAATTTGAAGAGAAAAAGAAGGTGTAATTACATTTCAGTGTTTACACACTATCTTACCTAAAAAGGAAATAATTAATCTCATTTTCTAAACATAAAAAGGAAGTTTTGCAGTTTTAGTTTAGTTTAGCATTACTTCTTCCTTCGTTAGCTTGCCCGAGAAACATTTCTGCTTTTATTCATAAGATGAACTTGTACAAAAGTGTATTATATTTTTTTCTGAGCGTAACAATCATAAAATCAAACTTTACTGGCCATCATTGTGACACAGTCAAGCCATACGGTATAGTTAATGCATCAGTGAGTATTCAAGTATTTAAAAAAAAAAAANTATATATATATGTTGTAAATTTAATTTAATTGTAAATTGCAGGCTTCTGGGAAATGGCATCTTGTCAAGGGTGTTCAGATCGGAGGAGGCAATGGGTCCAGCAATGCCTGCGGCTTCTTCAGTAAGCTTTGGCCTGAATTTTTGCCAAATGGTTAAATTATAATTTTTTATTTCCAGACACAGTCTCACCCTGTAAGTGCATTGGAGTGTATATATCCACGAACCAAACGCCGCCTATAACAAACTACACATTGATCAATTTTGGATACAATTCGCAGTAAGTTGTATAAAAAATATGGCAAATAAAAGTTGGTAAAATGTTTACTTTCAGGCTACGATCATACGGCACTACTGATATTCGGCTTAACTTGATTTCAAAAACTTTATCAATTTACAATGCCTATGTTCCTCTTGGTAGGTCTTATTTTAAAGTTATTTTTGACCTGTTATTATCGCTTTTTTGTTCTTCCAGCACAGATAAATTTCACGGTTGCTATACTTGGTACAGACGATTTTACTTCTTGGATGTCACTTACAATGTGCAACAGTCTTAAAGACAAAAATGGTTTGTTAAAAAAAAAATCTACCTACATTTATAATTAATTTTTTGATGTAACCAACCAATAATTATAGATAATTAATAAAGTGTTTGCAATGAATTTTTTTCAGGTAGTATAGGTAAAATAATGTGGATCATAACAAGAAGTAATAATCCTAGCCAGACCATTTTGTCAAATGCGACAGATACACTGAAAACTTACATCAATGGAAACATGCCGTTGATCAGTATAGATCAAACAAACTGTCCTCCAATTGTGTAATGTAAATTATAAAAAACAAAAACGAAAAACAAATGAACATTGTATTTTATTTTAATATTTTGGCTAAATTAATCCATTTTTGTATTTAGTAGTCTTAATTGACTATATTAATTGTTTGAATTAATTATACTTTTTATCTAAGGTCTTGTTGAGATGAAAAAGCTACTGTCATGAGCGAGATTCGAACCCATGACCTTCCTCGCAAAAAAGAGTGAAAATTTGAAAGATTGTAGGTTGAGATGAAGAGTTGGTGTCTGAGACGATATTGGTGTATTTAGCTGGTCATGGGTTCGAATCCCCCTCATGACATTTGCTTTTTCATCTCACTGTAGTGCTATTTTTTCACTTTCCTTAGATTCTCAATGTGCTCATCACTTTCAAATCATTTCTACATTAGATACTGTTATGATTTTTTAATTTTTTATTTACTATTTTTACATATTACAAATGTGATAAAAAAGAAGTTTTTTTTCACATGATCACAACACTAACACTAATGCCAGCTTTCACTGTGAAGGATTGAAGGACAAGTGGGTCCCAAGGTCATCGTCAATTAGGTTGATGTGGTGGGTCCTCGGATGGGAATGGTAAGGTTAGGGACTTAGGGTGAACAAGAGGTTGTGTGAAACTTTTGGAATAGGAAACAGATCAGTTCGTTGACAAAAAAAATGTTGAGGTCATTGTGCATAGTGGGGTTAGTGATGTAATAAGGAACTTTGACAATTTGCCTGAGGTCTTTTGAATGAAAAGATTGGATGTGCTGGATGTTGTCTGACAGAACCCCACATAATGCAAGATTTATTATTATTTGACATATTATTTCCAAATCGATGCAGTAAAGCTTGTATAAGGTTAGTTTAGTGTTACGGTGAAGGCAGATCTTGGTACTAGAAGTCTTCGTTGTTGTTCAAATCTTCTGTTGAGTTATTGTCTCTTAAGTCTTGTATGGTGATTCCATGTCAGTCTGCCGTCTAGGTACAGCCCTAAGTATTTGACTTGAATGGAAGTCGGTATCTGTTATTGATGTACAATATATAGTGTAAATTTTTCTTCATTCAGTCTTGTCTTTCTTTTTTTGCACAAGTCTTTGATAGGCTCAAGGAGCTCTTGGAGGTTGGAGGTAGCTTGGGTAGGATTTGAGGTAGAGTACAAAATTGGCCGGGTTGGTGGTGATGACGGTATGGTATGTGGGACACCGGCTTGTATCTGTCTGACTTCTGAGAACTCCTTTCCGCATCTCACTCTGAAGCAGTGTCCTATTAGTTAGGATTTCAGGATAGGATAATAATGAGTGGGTAGGAAGCGTTTACGTTTATATATCATGCCCGGATGCCAGACCCTACCAAAAGCCTGTGCTACATCTAGGTACGAACCCACAAGCAGTACTTTTTATTCTATAGAGTAGAGGAGATTCGAAAGCCTTGTTGGATGGGGCGTCAGTGGCAGCAACAGTTAAGTTGTTCACACGGCGCCCATCATTGTAAGGTAAAGGTCCCGGGTTCGAATGCCAGCGGCCCTGCTTTCGAACCCGACATACTTACAAATGGGCTTTTTTTCAAAAACACCGGCACCCCGAGGGTTCATATAACCTCTGCTGTTGCGAACCCTCGTAAAAGAAAAAAAAGCCTTGTTGGACTTCAACAAACTTAACATTCTAAGCATTAATTTATAAGCTTGGAGTTTTAACACATATATTTCAAATTGAAACAAACAAGTGTCCTCAATATGTATCATTTATTACAGGATTGTTTCGAACCAACTCAATGAGATTTTTTTTATCATTCATGTTGTACGGCCTTGAAAACTGTAAAATCACGGTCCGGTGACAACGGCAGCACGGTTGAGTGTTGGCACGGCCACGGTCGCGCGCCGGGCAGGTGTGAACAAAGCCAAGATTCCAAAAAAATTTCAAACACGCCGGTGGAACAAAATGACGGTCACGGCACTGTGACGTTACTGTTGTGTATGAATCGACCTTAAACGCGGTTAAACCCTTTCCTAGACGTTCAATTTATCCGGGAATTTACATAAACTACCAAAAAAATTTAAACGAAAGATTAGCCTTGTGGAACATCGTGAAATTTGCAAATGCCAGGCTTATACAGTTAAGACTTTTGTATTCGTACAATTCATCGACTTCAGCTTTCTTCAAGTAGAACTGCCAAATTAACCAGGGCAGTTTTATTGCTGTGACGGCGTAAACCTCACGTCTCGGCCTCGTCTAACCCAGACAGAATATCCCTGCTCTAAATAGAATTCGTCAGAGATCATTTGGAAACTGGCCTTCCTCCATAACGAGGCACCTCGACTCGTTATATACGCTAATTAATATTTATAGCGGACTTTTATTGTAAAGACCTTTAACCCTGTTTTGCTACTGGACTCGAAGATAAAATTTTGTTGAAAAAAAAACTTCATTGTATTTCGGGTTTTAGGTGTTGATTCTTTCCCAAATATTTACTCAAATTGTCAGAGGAAAGTAAAATTTAGTACGAATTTAATGAGGTTGGGGGGAAACGAGTAAAACGGGATAGAAGACAACTAGCAGTCTACCCTTAACGAGTACAGCGGTGGAAAAGGGAGTCGCAATTACTATCGAATGTTGTGTGGGTGGGGTTCGCGACTGGGCCGTAATTGAACACACAGCCCCCTCAGAAACAACCCCTTTATCACCACCCCTTGTTACCCAAACCAAGACAAACTGCACGACAAGTAATTGCCACCGGAGGCCATTCAGTCACACTCGCCCCTCTCTGACGACGCCGGGAACAAACGGAACAACGTTTCACCCACTTTGGAAATAAATTCGATTTCCGTCCAAAGCCCGGCTCTGAGAAGCACCTGTAAAAATAATCCAAGGTGTTATCTCACAGAACTTTTTTTTCCAAAAATTTACACAGAAAAGACAAGTTTAAGAAATCATCATTTCACTTTGCCTAAACTTTCTAAACCTAAGACTTTTGGAATCTAAAATTAACATAAAGATTGAACAATTTTCATCAGGGTTTAACAATAAAATAATAATAATAATAATAGGCCCTGAAGATGATCTCAATAAAGATCGAAACGTTGGCACGATAAAGAAATATTTTCTAAACCTACATCACACAAGACTGCATCTCACGATCTCCGAATAATCTTTAATTAACGGTCACTAAATATTACACAATAATAATAATTTCAATTAATTATTCTTTCTAACTAAGGGCTTGGTTGAGATGAAAACGTTAGTGTCACGAGCGGGATTCGAACCCACGGCTTTTGGCTGGGAAAAAAGAAGGGAAATTCGCACCTGTAGGTTGAGTAGAGAGATGGTGTCCGATTGGACCGAAGTCATTTCTCAAGTGGTTAGAACAGCGGAATTTTTAGCTGCCGTTGTTTTTAGATTATTATACTATTGTTTTATTTTTGAGTTCTGTGCAGTTTTATATCAATTTGTTTAATGTTGTCATTTTTGATTTCGAGGTATTATTGTGTGTTATATTTTTTGTCGTTTTGTTATAATGTACGTTAGCCGATTTCACAGTGCCTTGACGATATCATAGTTGTTCTGCATTTGCTTTTTGAATTATTACAGTTGGGTTTTACTTTTGTGTTCTGTGCTTTGTTTTATTTTCACGAATATTCGATCACGGTGCGGTCTTGAGGACAAAGCAAAATTCGGTTGTTACTGCCAAGTTTTCGACCTAGTTTAAGACCATCATCAGAGCAAAATATGTCTACAGATTGACATAATTTTTTTCACAGTCGATTTCAAATTTTGTTTGAAGACTGACTGTAAGGTTTATTTTATATTATTTTTGTTTAACGTTGTGACGTTTGGCTTGCTCTATTTGTTATGTTTTTTTATGTATATTGTCTGCTTTTATTTTGTGCTATTATATTTTGCTGCAGTGCATTTTGCATTGTAATGTTATGTTCTCCATGTGTAATTAACCGAAGGTCATGCATGTGACACTAACTTTTTCAACTCAAACAAGACCTTAGTTAAAAAGAGTAATTAATTGAAATAAGTAGTATGTTGAACATATATGGGTATATGGAACATATACCGCTAAACTTCTGTGGAATAATGTAATAATAATAATAATAATAATTTTAGGTAATTACAGTCCACAATAGAGGATATTGTGTGTAATTTTTAGATGGCCCGGCTGAACTCTTGAACCAATGACGGTATCAAAAAACAAAAAATAAGTGCTTTATATTTTTTAGAGTAGTTTTCAATTTTTACCTTTTTTCGAAAAAAATTTTAAAGGGAACCTCAGGCCCATTTCAATGTCAAAATTTCCAATACGACGCTTTACATCGATTGGACCGAAGTCACAACAGCTCAAGTGGCTAGAGCAGCGGCGTATCGAGCCGAAGGTCGTGGGTTCGAATCCCGCTCGTGACGCTAACTTTTTCATTTTAACCAAAACCTTACATAAAAAATTATTGAAAGTAGTTATTTGGTCAATGAGACCACGAAATATAATGGATTTAATAATAATAATTTTATGTAATTTCAATCCACGATAGAGGATGTTGGGTCTCCTTTTTAGATGGCCCGGCTGAACTCTTCTCTTGAACCAATGACGTTATAAAAAAAAATTTTTTTTAGACGTTTCAAATTTTTACCTTGTTTGGAGAAAAATTATACAGGGAACCTCAGGCCCATTTCAACTTCAAAATTTCAAATACGACGCTTTAGATCGATCGGACCGAAGTCACAACGGCTCAAGTGGTTAGAACAGCGGCGTATTGAGCCGAAGGTCGTGGGTTCGAATCCCGCTCGTGACACTAACTTTTTCATTTCAACCAAAACCTTACATAAAAAAATATTGAAAGTAGTTATTTGGTCAATGAGACCATGAAATATAATGGATTTAATATTAATGATTTTATGTAATTTCAATCCACGGTAGAGGATATTGGGAGTCCTTTTTAGATGGCCCGGCTGAACTCTTCTCTTGAACAAATAACGCTATAAAAAAAGTTTTATATTTTTTAAACTGGTTTCAAATTTTTACTTTCTTTGGAGAAAAATTATACAGGGAACCTCAGGCCCATTTCAACTTCAAAATTTCAAATACGACGTTTTACATCCTGCCAGATCATTTTAAAGGACTTTTTACGCTGAAAACAATGGTGCAATCGGATTTTAGTCCTATGTTTTTTTATTTGTTAATCAAATATTATTTTCGAACTGCCTCCCTTGCGGAAAGATGCCCAAAAAAATTGGGTGCGGGGCATCCATCAAGCTGGAGAATCATTCTTTGTCTTTGTTGCAAAGGAACATCATCTAATATAGTTGGTAAAACCTCCCTCAAAAAATTGAGGAATTCAGCACCATTTAAATTATTTCCTAAGAAATAAGGCTCAATTAATTTATTTCCGGTACTTCCACACCGAACGTTTATGCTGTGAGCTACCTGATGATGACAATAATATGAAATTCTCCGATTTTCCTCTGTATACGTTCGAAAATTCCAACGGTTTAGTATGCCATTAGTGGGGAAGTTGGATTCATCAGTCATAGGATGTATGGAAGAAAGTTTTCTCCAGCCTCCCAATCGACATTTGTGCAAGGAACGTTAGGCGCCTATCATCATAATCAGAGCCCCGAAGTTCCTGGAATACGGCTTAAAATTGTAAGTCCGGCGTACATCTCTAATTTTATTTTTCGAAAAACCCTTCCAACATTTCTGATAGAGGAATTCAGATTTTCTCGAACATACAGTAAAATATTTAGCTCCTTGTCGAAATTATGCTGCCGATTTTTTGTTGCCATAACTTTGTCATTTTTTGATCAATTTAAAATCCGATTGCTACATTGTTTCAGCGTAAAAAATCCTTTAAAATGATGTGTCAGGATGTATAGGGTCGAATTTGAAATTTTGAAGATAAACTGGACTTAAGGTACCCTGTATAATTTTTCTCTACAAAAGGTAAAAATTTGAAACTAGACTAAAAAAATATTAAACAAGTATTTTTTTGATAGTCATCATTTCAAGAGAAATTCAGCCGGACCATCTAAAAAGGACACCTTGAAGATTGTGCTGGATTTTTCCAAAATCATAAGCAGGAAGAACAATGTGTGGTTAATACTAAACATAAGAAACGTTTTAAAATTGTAATAAATTCTTTTTTTTTCTTGTTATATTTTCCGTTGACACAAAAATAACATATTTTACAATATAGTATATACACTTGATGTATCGTACAATGTACAATTTTATTTATAATATTTATAGTTTAATTTATATTAAATAGCTATCTAGAGATTTTTCAATGTCCCTCTTTTCAAAAATGGAAGACATGTTGGGCATTCCTTTTTTTCTATTAATTTTCTGATTCGAAGAGCCAGTTATCACATAAACTCGCCCTGGAGCATATCCGATTTATAAATTACACACAACCAGAAATGTTATTTTTTTAATATATATATGTATATATTTATGGAAACAAAATTTACTTAAAAAAAAATCGTTCTTAACTACTATTGTATATACACTTTTCACTGGGATTTAATACTGGGTATCTTTGGTTATTGTCTGCACGTAATTTTTTTGTTTTTCTTTCGAAACCAGGTCAGTGAACGAATTCGTTGACGTAATGCTGGGAGTCTACGATGACGGAGGTGTAGGTCGGCGGGGTGGAGGAATGATGAGGTGCCGTGTAAGAGCAGGATGGAGGGTCTTCGCCGCTGGAACAGCTAGAACTGGAATAAGGTCTACCCAGGCAGCCGGATTCCGAATATCCGGCCGCCGTCGCGTAGTACAACTCGGCCGAAGGGTAGGAAGGTTCCGAAGGGGGGTACTGCTCGTAGAGCTGAGGTTGGTAGATGTCTGTCGGCTGCAGATGCAACTGAGGTTGGTGGTGGTGGTAGGACGGAGCCGGTTCTTCAACGCCGATCGGCGCAGGGTTCGCAGCGACTGGTACCGCAGGGGTGGTCCTGGTCGTCGAAGGCTCATCGCCACCCACCATCGTCAAAATAACGTCTTTCTCCTCCCATTCACTATAAAAAAATAATTTTATAAACAAATATAAAACACAAGGTGTGCCACACAAAATTCCATGCTGTACCTCCTTGGCTTGACTTTTACACGAATTAACAACAAACATTTCATCATGAATATGTACAGAAAACATAAACAGACGTCATACTAGCTCAAACCTCACCTAGAGGCAAAAAAAAAACTGACCAAAACAATAGATCAAAATGACCGACCGGCCTGCAGGACTCAAGAAGAAGAAGAAGAACAAAAAACCTCCCGAAAATGTGGGAAAACACATTACACATAAGCACAGATTGATGATATTACTCGTGGACATAACAAAAAGAAATAAAAAACATACTAACTTGAACCTCTCACATAAAAACATCCAATCGCAACAGACACCTAGTTGACATAACTTTAACAAAAATTGACAACAAACGCAACTTCGATATACACAGAAATCCAACAAGAACAGACGTCATAAAAGCTCGAAACTTTCACACAAACACAAAAAGGGACTGACAGGCATAAACAAGAGGATTGGAAGAGTAAAACGACCAAGCTACAGTCGATCACCTCGCCGATCTCAAGAAGAAAACTTATGAAACTTGAATTAACCATAATGATAAAAGATTATGTAAGGACCAACAGGCTGTATTAATTAAAATTGTCGCCAAGCTTTTGCAAAAAATAAAGTTAATGACACAAGCCTGTTGACCCTTATATGACCCCACATCCTCATTCTTTATGCTGTCTATTATTCATTTTTCTTATTTGAGCAATATTTGCAGAAGTGTTTTTTAATTGTGTGCTGAACGATCTCCACAATTTTTTTGTTGTTGGTTATATTGTGCTGTCTCATGTTGTTTAGTTTTGTTTTATATTCACGAATGCTCTAGATCACGGATTGGTCTTGATGAAAAAGCAAAATTCAGTTGTTACTGCCAAGTTTTCGACCTAGTTTAAGACCATCATCAGAGCAAAATATGTCCACAGATTGTCATAATTTCTTTTCACAGTCTATTTCAAATTTCTTTGAAGACCGACTGTAATGATCGTTTTATATTATTTTTGTGTGACGTTTGGCTTGCTCTATTTATGTTTTTTATGAATAGTGCTTTTATCGTGTGCTATTTTGTATTGTAATGTGTTCTTCATGTGAATTATTAATGTTATATGTTTTGGTTTTGTTTACTATTTTGTACTTTATTGTGTTTTTTTAATCTATATTTTCTCATTGTTTTCATATGTGGTTTGAAAGGTTGTTTTGTGCTGCTTTTTATGTCTGTCTGTTATTTTTTACTGTTTTAAAAGATAATGTGATTTCATCGACAGTTTGTCATGTGAGCTGGAAGGAGACCTTTACTTACCTTTGTAACGGAACAATAACCGAGCTTTTCAGGCTTTTGTTAAATTAAATTTACGTTGAATTTACCCACCTCAGAACGTAGTTTACGCTGACGATGCAGTGTGGCCGGCTGGAGCGCGAATTGTGGACAATCGTGGCGTAACTCTGCATCCAAACCCAACCACCGTCTTTGGCCAGGAACCTGTAGTATTTTGTCGTCACTTGTCCTTTGTATAATACTAAAAAAAGAAAAAAAAAGAAGTGTTAAAAAAAGGCTCTTTATAAGGCGCTTGGAAGCCAACAACTATTTAATAAGGCAAAGTAACAAAGCGAGAAGTCTTTACAGGTCATCGGGCTTATTATCGTCGAAATTGACAGAAAAATTTCTGATTCACTTCAATTTTGAAAACGATAAAAATAAAATAATTTATTGTAGTATAATTTTTATATTGAAAAATTACAAAATTAACTTTTTTATAAGGAAATAGTAAATATTTCGGGTGAATCGAAAAGCACAGAAGCACATGAAGGTTTTTGGATTATCGTCGTTAATCTTGCGGAATAAGAAACATGAACGTTTTACAATTTAAAAACACGATTGCTCGTAATAAAACGATGATACTGTCGTAAAAAAATAAAAATGATTTTTTTTTCAAAGACCGGCTTTTGTAGCTTTTGTCTGCTTCAATAAATTGAATATATTACAATTAATTACGGTTTTTAGTTGAGATAAAAAAGTCAATGGCACGAGCGGGATTCGAACCCACGATCTTCTGCTTGATAAGCCGCTGCTCTACCACTTGAGCTATCATGACCTCGATCCACCCGGACATCAACTTCCCATCTCAACCGCACCTTTTGAATTTTCCCTCCTTTTTGCCATTTTTCAAATGTCGTGTAATCGGTGCTAATATTTGTTAACAGAAATTATAAATTAGTCTTATTATCTGGAGTCTAGGCTTAAAGAGTTGTTTTTTGCTGGAGTCTGGGAGATTGTGACATCTGTGAAAATGAAATAGTGGACCTTCCAGCAAAAGTTGCTACAAAGAACGGTGCTTTTTCACTTTTTGTAACAGATTGTTGTTAATTGTACAAAATTGTTGCTAGTGTCTATCCTGACTTTGAGCATTAAATGCTCATCATCTTGGCTTCAACGTGAATTGTGGGAGTGATTTGTAAATCCACCATGCCAAGCGGCAAGCCTTCCAATGAGAAGCTGGTTTTTCATGCCATTCAGTTTTGAACATGTGAAAAACATGATAACAACACGACTAAACATTCATTTTTTATAAATATTCATTTTATTTGTATCAACTAAAGATTATCCTATACATATTATTTTTTTTTCTCGACGACAAATGAAATGGCCACCTCCGAGTGGATCGAGGTCACGATAGCTCAAGTGGTAGAGCAGCGGTGTATCAAGCCGAAGATCGTGGGTTCGAATCCCGCTCGTGCCACTGACTTTTTTATCTCAACTAAAAACCGTAATTAATTGTAATATATTAATTGGTCCAGTGGACCACGAAATTAGTGAATTTATAAATTGAATATATTTCTCTCTCTCTCTCTCTCTCTCTCTCTCTCTCTCTCTTAATCGTACATAAAGCTATGTATACAGTCAAAGATAATTACACAAACCACCAAAACACACACACACACACACACACACACACACACTCTACAGAGTTACACCAACGAACATATATTTTAGGGCCATTAAACTAACTTTGTAGTTCTAATTTCGTCTAATGTTTCTACCGCCAATTTTATAATGCTATATGGTATAACATTATGCGATAAGTCCCATATTCACGCTAATAAATTACATTCACACACCGGACTTCGTTCACTCTACCGCAGAGTACTCGATATTCTTTGGAATAATTGGGGAATAAGCCACATATTCACGCTATAAAGCATTTTAAATAGTTTGTTGAGTGTCTATATTTTTAAACGTGTGTGTGTGGATTCCAAATTTCAAATAAAGTCCTAAATAGCTAGCTATGTTGGTTTGCGGTGTGCTTGAGGGTTTAAGCTTTATTTCCCAAAGATTATTCCACTTTTCAATTGTTGATAGATTTTTGTGACATAAGTGAAGCTTTTGTAGAAGAGGGATGACTTGCTAATATGGCGGTTTCATCAAGTTAATTGTCATTTGTCGGCATTTCAGAAGTAAAAATTGTGTACAACAGCGTAGCGAGTATTGACCCTTGTGGCACACCTGCAAGTCCTTCTTCCAACTCGGAAGTCTCCGAACCCTGGTTTCCTACGAAAATTCTCTCCATAAATTATGATTGTACAATCAGATAATAGACCTGGGGTAAAAATAATTTTAATTTGTATAGTAATCCCCCATGCCATACTTTGTCGAAGGTTTGAGAAACATCTAAGAAACATTCAAGTCGCGTACAGTTTCTGCTCGAGACATGATGTAATGAAATCTGTAACTGTGTGAAGTTTGTGAGTAGTGAATAATGGGTTCGAAAGCCAAACTGTTGACCTGGTAAGACGTTTGAAGAAGCAATAGAGATAATTATTTTGTAAATTAATTTGTCGAATAATTTAGAACGAACGGGTAACAAACTAATAGGACGATAAGATGATGGGGATTTTTCTGATGCTTTGGGCTCATTTTAATATAAGAAAGTTTTCATGGTATGGGAAAGTGTGTAGTTCTCAAAATTGAAGTCAGAAAGACGACTGCTTTTTTGAGAAGTTCTTGAAAAACTTCACCTGTTATCAAATCATGACCATTTTTTTAGAAAGCTGTCGCACTTCTAGTGGTACTTGTTTTGGAGTTTAGGTGGCAGATTTAGAGGTATAGGGAAATACAACATAAATTTTAAAAATTACTACTTAAAATATTAATTTATTTTTTAATTCGCTTTTAGCGTAATGAGTGAAGAGGCAGTCATAAAGGAAAATTTAGACCTCACTCTATGAAAATATTCGTGTAAAAAATAATTCTGTAATGTTTGAAAAGGGTTTCTAGATCAGAAAATAAGACAATTACATGAAGGGTAAAATAGTGGATGGTTTTTTGTTCTGTAGAACTGTGAACTATTGTGTAGAAAACGTAAATTTTCTAAAAAATGTAATCGAGTTAATTAAAGGTAAAATACTTACAGGTGCAATGGGAATATCGCATGTGCATCATATCTGCTGTGTGGATGTAGTGATACAGAGTTTTTTCAATCAGGTCCTGCGGTTCGTATCCGGTCAACTGGGACACCCTGTTTGTAAAACGTCAACGTGAGTCACACGAGGGCAACTGGGCTCGTTCACACCATTAAAAAACCCGGTGTCGGCTTACCTCGCGTCTAAGAATATCAGTTTGAGATCGAGTGACGCCCTGAACATGAACATGTTGCAGTGAAGTTTGATTTCCGTGATCGCCGAGGGTGGAAGCGAGTGTCCGACTGCGACCAGGCCGACGTTCTGGTAGCAGGTCTCGTATCCGGATGCCTCGAGGGAGTACTGCTTCACTTTTAGGTAGCCGGAGCAGTGGATCACCTGGAATCGCCAGACGACTCATTAATTCATAGCCACGGACCTGGACAAATATGCGTCCTCACACCGGCTGTACAAAACGTCTTTTAAATTTTTTCTCTCTCCTTTTTAGTTTTGTTTTTGTGTATCGGGTCATACCGTGTCAACTGAGGCAGGTTTCGTTGCCTTTTGTTTTGGAAATTTCAGCCTGAGACGCTTCAAACCGTACTTCACACAAAGAAAACATAAATACTCAATACCATCCAATTTAGATGCTATTTAATGAACATTTAACGTTTTCTTGGTGGTAGTTTAAAAACAACTACTACTCTACTGTCTAAAGATTTTTCAATGAGATTTTGCTATTCTATAAATTGAAATTTTGAAATTTAAAGTATGACTACAAATTACAAATCTATTTATGTTTGGTGGTGTAATTGACCAAATTACTTTTTTCAAATATTCTTTTTTTATTTAAGGTCTTGGTTGAGTTGAAAAAGTTTATATATATATTTCAATTTATTATTCTTTTTGTTGAAGGTGTTGATTGAGATGAAAAATTAGTGTCATAAGCGGGAATTCGAACCCACGAACCACTTGAGCTGTCGAGACTATCACGTGACGTCACAATAGCTCAAGCGATTAAAGCAGCGGCGTATTGAACGTGAATATAAGGTCGTGGGTTCGAATCCCGCTCTTGACACTAACTTTTTCGTCTCAATCAAGAACTTATATAAAAAAACATCGACAGATTTTAGTTAAAACATGCTGACTACAAATGAAAGACTAAGGATAAATCAAAAATTCCATTAATATTTTGGGTCAATTCCGGTTTTTGTTTTTATAAAACATGACGTAGCTGACCAATCATTGCACTTGAACTTAAAACACATCTAGATTTATGGTATAAGAAAATATTCAAAAAGATATTTGGTTGTGCCAAATTGAGAGCATTTATGCTAAATTAACTGAAAAAATTTTGATAATCTTTCATATTATTTACCTGAAGAATATTAGTAGTATAGTTAATAGAAAAAATAGAAAATTATTATTGCTACTTAAGTTTTTACGTAATTTATAGTGGCTTTAACGAAACTAGAAGGCTTCGCCATCCTACAAATATTTGAAAATTGTTTTTTTTGTTCAGTAGATCCCAAAATTTTTTTGCAGAGGTTGATTAGGATTCAGGTCCGATTGTTTTGTAATGGAAAGTTAGATCAAAATTTTTTACTGATTTAATAGTGTTATTACCATGCCCTTCGAATTTTTATTAAAACCAAGGTCCGCTTGTTTTCGCGGTTTATCCGCGTTTTCAAATAATAAATTTTCAAGATATTAATTTAAAAACTGGACGTTATTTTTGATTTGATTAAAAATTGTTCTTGAATTTTCAATATTTTTTTCTTTCAAGCTTACAATAAGGTTAACTTACCTTGAACCCTCCTGTCGTAAGTCCGGCGTTCCTTTTCGCCAAAACACACTTCATGCGTATGAAGAAAGCCCTTTCCATTTCGAATTCTGAAACAAAAATATTAAAATAAAATTGATTTTTTGATTAATTTTAACCAACGGGCATTCCTTCAATGAAAATCTTGTCATTAAATTTACAAATATTCATTTTATTGTATATTATTTTTTAGTTAAAAGATCAAGATTTTATATTTCAGCGACTGCTTAAATCTTGTTTTAAAATAATATTGCATTTACTTTACGCAAGTCCTTGGCTTTAAACAAAATATGTTTTTGCCTTAATTTCAGTCATACTTTCCTATTTTGGAATGACGCCCACGGAGTCAGAAATGACATCTAAGCTTTGGTAAGTTAATTGATGAAGCTGTTACTTACCTTGTAGAAGGTGGTGGTGTGGAAGAGGTTGTTGGAGGGAAAGCACGGATGACATTTCGTCGTGATCATTCGGATGAATGTATTCGAACAGGCTGTTGCCAGTCAGTTCGACTTGAGAGAGGCCTAAGTGGACAGAAGCAGTTTCCGATATGTACATTATTTTTCCATCAGGAGCGACTACGAATATGAAACCGTCTAGAGTCTAAAAGAAAAACGACAAAAATTTAAAATAAAATAAAACAACGGGTCCGGTTTGAAAACAATACCTGTAATAGATGCGATCCCAGTTCCCTGATGGAGGCCTCCCTCGGAATTGACGGCGGGGGCGCAGCCCCCCAGGCGTCGCCGAGCCCTGTGAAAAGTCCGTCGGTTATAAAAGCCCTGTGAAAAGGAATGGGACAAAGCCCTCTCCCAATTACCGCCGCTGTATGACTTTGTTATCCGAGCACGCGCCCTAATTGGTCCGCGTGGGCTCGCTCTTTGTCTAACACGGACGGCCGTCAATCAAGACGCGGAGTCAAGACAATTCGTCTTGCGCCAATTAATCGCATATCTAAAGAACAAAAGGGATCATACACGAATAGAGTTAAATTTAAAAAGGTGACAATTATGAACAAGTCGATTTAATTTTTTTTTTCAAACGTACTGACTATACTCAAATCACCATACGCGGTAAAAACAAAAAGCCAAAGTTAGAAATTCCATCATCCTTGACTAGCAAATCGGTCTGTCTGTATTATCTCTCCCTCAGAGAGATCAGTCTTGAGGGAACAGAAATAAAGAGAGAGATAAATGAGAGAGAAAAGATAAATAGATAGACAGATAGATAGATAGATAAATAAATAAATAAATAAATAAATAAATAAATAAATATATATATATATTCATATATACTAAAGAATAATAAATTGAAATATATATTTCAATTTATTATTCTTTTTATGTAAGGTCTTGGTTGAGATGAAAGAGTTAGTGTCACGAGCGGGATTCGAACCCACGACCTTCGGCCCAATACGCCGCTGCTTTAACCATTTGAGCTTTCGTGACGTGACGTATGGTCTCGGTATTTCAAGGGGTTAGTTACAGAGTCGTATTGAGCTGAAGGTCCGTGGGTTCGAATCCCGCTCGTGACACTAACTCTTTCATCTCAATCAAGACCTTAAATAAAACGAATATTTCATTGAAATATTTAATATGGTCAATTATGGCCGCTAAACATATATGGATTAGATATATACAGAGTGTCCTTTTTAGATGGCCTTACTTGAACCCCTAACTTGAACAAGTGACGCTATTAAAAAACAAAAATTACGTGTTTAATATTTTTTAGACTAGTTTCCAATTTTTAACTTCTTTTGTAGAAAAATTATACAGGGAACCTCAGGCCAAGTTCAACTTCAAAATTTCAAATACGACCCGTCATTTTAAAGGAACCATCAGCATGATAAGTCAAACTTTTCTTCTCATTACCCGTTATCGAAAAGCGAAGATCCATTATCCGTAACATTTTTCCGTAAAGTAGTTGCCAAAGTGGTGGAATTTGAAAAACTGACATACTTCGTTATCGTTATTGAAGGCGTAAATCCTTCCTGTTAGTTGTCAATAAATTTAGAGTCAATTTGTCCACGTGATCTAAAGATCATTTTTATAAATATTTCAACAAGTAAAAGTATTTGAGAGAGAGATAGAAGATAGGAAGATAGATAGGTAGGTAGGTAGATAGATAGATGGATAGATAGATAGATAGAGAGAGAGGGAGGGAGGGAGAGAGAGAAGGGGAGAATTTATAAAATACTTTAGGAGAGATAAAGTGTGAGGGTCTACAAGAGATTAGGAAGAACAACTGATGATGGGAGAATGGAAGGAAGTTATGGAGAGAGTGAGAAAGAGAGAGAGAGAGAGAGAGAGAGAGAGAGAGAGAGAGAGAGAGAGAGAGAGAGAGAGAGAGAGAGAGAGAGAGAGAGAGAGAGAGAGAGAGGAAAGGAAAGCGAGAGAAGGTGCAAGAGGAAGGGAGAGTTTAATAAGGAGCGAGAAGGGTGGAGGAAGTAAGAAAAGCGGCTGACTTTCTTGAAGACGTTTTTAAAATTGATTGAAACCAGGACATACTAAGTCATCTTTATCAAAATTTGGGGTATATATCAAAAGGTATATATTTTTTATATCCTTTTTTGTGGGGGATAAAATAAACGACACACCACGATATTAAAAATTTTCCACAAAAATGTTTTGTCCATATCCCCTGGGTTATGGAATGGCTATCCAAAGAGATTCAGTCCTCATCCCTCTGACGGTGTGAAACGTCCCGAATCAAATTTTTGCCGTTTTTATCAACCACGGGGCCCTTTCTTTCCTATTGGGTCTGCGAGATAAGCAAATGAGGTGGACAAAAGGTAAGGGAATGCCGAAGGTCGGTCCTCTGCCAGTTGACAATGTAGATACAACTGATTGGAGGGGTGACGATTGAGGGATGTGACGCTCCTTAATTTGACCAATTACCACGGGTGACACCCTCGTCAAAAGAAAACTTTGTGTTAAGGGCCGGCAAAAACTATTTCCGACGCGATTCTTAGCCTTTGAAGCGAACCCGGTCTTGGGTTGTGATTCATATTGTTTTTTTGGACAAAGACCCCGTGACTGGTCTGTATCACATTTTGGAGCAATAAGCGAACTCGGGATGATTTGCGGAAAAAACCACAGCAACCAGTTGGGCCCGAATGGTGATTTTATCTGCCTCCACTTGGTACAAGGTTTTTTTTTGGTTTATAGTAAAACAAACTAAATATGACAACGTAAACAAAATTCACAGGTCATCGTTTAAATCTATGGTGCTCTACGTATTTTATTGCATAAAGGTTTTTCGATTCTTTATGCAATAAAAATATGTTAAGTAGTTACTATAAAAACAATTACTTCATTATTTAAAATTAAAGTCAATAATCAAAACCTTTATCTTAAATCTCGCGTTCAAAAATAAATAATTAATTCATTATTTAAACTTGATGAAGTTCAAATCTGACAAAAACTGGGCAGCTAATGCACAGGGTGACATGCATGACTATAATTTTTCGATCCTTTATATAATAAAAATATATTAGCTTTAGATATAAATTTTTTAAAATAAAAATTAACAAATAATTAATTTATTAGTTCAAATTAATATCAATGATCGAAGTCTGATAAAAATCCATGCTGCAATTCCAAAAGGTACATGTTTGACCGTAGACGATAAACATAAACATTCCTTTATGTAATAAAAAACATTCTAACTACCTTCTATAAAGTAAATAATTAACAAATAATTAATTCAATAATAAAAATTAATTACAATAATATAAATCTGACAAAATCCGTGCTACTGTCACACTTGAAAAAATCAACTTTAATATTAGGCACTTAATTGATTTTTTATGTAAGATCTTCGTCGAAATGAAAAAACAATAATTAATTAAAATACTTAATTAATTATAAACAATTTTTTCGAAATGAAAAATTTGTGTCACAGGCGGGATTCGAACCCACGACTTTCGGCTAAATACGACGCTGCTCTACCACTAGCCCATGCGACTTAACTTCTCATTTCGACTCCCAGATTTTATTCCAATTGTAAGCAAATCGAGGCTTCATATAGAAACACTTTTTATTAACGATTGTACTGCATTAGTGGGACTGTGTACGATTCACAGGTTTGATTCTAGATTAATACTGAATTTTTAATTATTTTATCAGCTTCTACTTAATTATATAAATACTCAATTAATTACACACAATTTTTTCAAAATGAAAAAGCCGAAAGTTGCGGGTTCAAATCCCGCCTGTGTCACAAATTTTTCATTTCGAAAAAATTGTGTATAATTAATTGAGTACTTACATAATTAAGTAGAAGCTGATAAAATATTTAAAAATTTAAAATTAATTAAAATGGTCAATTATGACTGCTAAAAATGTATGGTTTAATCTTTCAATGAATTAAGAGTTTTAGTTGAGATAAAAAAAGTCAGCGTCACGAGCGGGATTCGAACCCACGACCTTCGGCTTGATACGCCGCTACTCTACCGCTTGAGCTATCGTGACTTCGATCCAATTCGGACACTAACTTCCCATCTCAACCCCACCTTTTTGCATTTTCCCTCCTTTTTGCCATTTTTCATGGTTTAATGGTTTAATATTATGTTTTTGGATCGTTTATATAATAAAAATATGCTAACTACCTTTTATAAAAATAAATTACGAACAATTAATCCAATAGTTAAAATTAATATTAATGATCAAAGTCTGACAAAATCCATGCTGCTAATCCAGAGGGTACACGCTTGACCAGAAACGATCAACTTCCATCAACTTATGTTCAGCTAATCCGAAGGGTGTAACGGTTGAACAGAGACGACAACTTTAATATCAGGTTTTTCGATCCTTGTGTAATAAAAATATGCTAACTACCTTTAAAAAAAGTAATTAATTAATGTTGATGACAATGATCCAAATTTAATAAAATCTATACCTGCTAATCCCCCCGTAGACACGCAACATTGGAGATGATCAACTTTAATCATAAGTTTTTCGATCCATTATGGAATAAAAACATGTTAACTATGTACCATCTATAAAATAAGGTATAAATAATTAATTTATTAGTTAAAATTAATATCAACGATCAAAGTCTGACAAAATCCATCCTGCTAATCCATAAGGTGACACGCTTGATAAGAGACGATCAACTTTAATATTTAGATTTAGCAGTCACAATTGACCTGTTAATTATTTTAATTAATTATACTTTTTATCCAAGTCTTAGTTGTACTACATTAATTACATTAAGGAGAAAAAGTTTTCTGGATGGTGGCTTCAAAAATTACCCGACTGTCATAAGACTTTTCAATGAAATTTTGCTACTCTATAAATTGAAATGTTGAAATTTAGAACAGTATGTCCACAAATTAGGGAATAATCCATTTGTGTTTAAGGGCCTAATTGACCAAATTACTTCTTTCAATTAGTTAACATTTGTATGCAAGGTTTTGGTTGAGTTGAAAAAGTTAGTGTCACGAACGGGATTCGAAACCAGCTGAAGGTGGCGCTGTAACTAACCACTTGAGATATCGAGAACATCACGTCACGTCACAATAGCTCAAATGGTCAAAGCAGCGGCGTATTGAGCCGAAGGTCGTGGGTTCGAATCCCGCTAGTGACACTAACTTTTTCCTCTCAACCAAGAACTTAGATAAAAAGTATAATTAATTAATTTAATATTAGGTTTTTCGATCTTTGATATAAAAATAATAGATAATAAATTTGCAAATAGTTAATATATTATTTATTTAAAATTAATGACAATGATCAAAATTTTACAAAATCCAACTTGCTGTTTTGCTCTTTCAATGGGGTTCAGGAGAGGTGTGTCTTTTGAAAAACTAATTAATTTTTGCTAAAAATATGTTAATTATTGAAAATATGTTGTATCTTTGATTGATAATTAATTCAATAACGTATGGTGAAGTTATAATGAAAAGTGAATTAAATTTGAAAATTATTGTCGGATCTACGATTGTTACCATTGGAATAAACAACTGCCATAGGACTTAAGTAGAACAAAGAGCGAAAACAGGCGGACCGCTTGTTTAGACACTGCCATAATCAGTCATACAAGACCTTGCAAGCTAAGTTCAAATTTTGACATCTCCCTCCCAGCTCAACAAAATTACTTATTGTTTATGTTTAATAGTTTGTAAAATTTCTCTGTGACGAATTTGTAATTTGGTCGTTATCGATAATTTTGGTATAAGAGAGCGTAACAATAAAGAGTGTGAAATGCTGAAACGCCCCTGACAGGAACGCAGCGAGGATAGGCGGACCAAAATGATCGACAACGACCAAATTATAGTTTATAGTATTATAGTTTATAGTTTAATTGATTCCCTTGCCTTCTGGAAATAGGTGCCTCATTTTGAGATAACTGGTCGTCAATCTGATTATCGACGCCTTGTCCAATTGGGACGTGAGGGCGGCCGGGAGCGGCAGAAGTTTGGCCAGTTCTAGAAATTCCGTATTCTCCTTTTCTCTTCTACTCCGTGCTGCGTTCTTACTCTTTTCCTTCATCTGAAAAAAAAAATTTGGTCCAAAAGAGAATTTTAAATTATACAGTATGGTGTGAAACTAATGCACACGGACAGGACCTTCCATATTAAGAATACTATTATTTAAAACCATTCAACGCAATTTAGCACGGACTTTAAATGCTTAACTAAGTGCTTTGTAAGAAAAATGCCTCTTAACCCGTAGAGCACGACGGGAAAGGAATGTAAATGCAAACCAGTCAATGGAATGACAAAAGGCAGAGGTACAACAAAGGTTTATTGCAGTGATTGGAATGTTTTTTATGGTAGTGTCTTTGAGAAAAATATTGCGTTTTTACACGTTGCACGTCGGGGGAAAAACATCGACTTACAGGTCTGCGGTCAATACACATTTGAATGTCGAGCCTCATTTCTTGTCTGTTCCAACTCACAACTGAACCCACCCCGGCTCTGGGACTCCTATATATACCTTGACGTCTTTGGGAAAAAGTATTACCTGTTGATGGACGGCCAATGATCGCCGAGACGTCGAGGGGGTGGGACTTACTTGGGAAAGGTGGAAAATGACTGAAAGACTCATGGCTATCTTTTCTTTTTTTCAACACCCTACTGACAGAGAAGTGTGAAATTTGACCATCTCAGGGCAAAAATGAACGTGCTATGACAAATAATCTCGATCTGTATATTTCTCTCTCTCTCTCTCTCTCTCTCTCTCTCTCTCTCTCTCTCTTTCTCTCTCTAGAAAAAAACAGGATAACCGTCAGATTTAAGATTTAAATCAGTTTCACAGGAACCTTACCAAAATGATTAGAAAACTGAAGAAACAATAAACAATGGCAGAGACAACAGTAAAATCTGATTAGAGTTTACAATATCTGCTATTATTGGACATGAAATGCAAGGAAATAAATATGATACTATTAATGGAAGCATAGTAGCACTTGAAGGAAGCAAACAGGATTGACGCTTCTGAAAAAAGAGACATAATCGAAAAAGAACAGAAAGTTGAAATAGTCGATTACATCTTTGGTATTTTAAGTACCAAGTAAGTAAGGTAAAGTTCCTGCTATTTAAGAGGGTTTTAGGACCAATTAACCATTTGCGCGTTCCGGACGAGAGGTCAAACAACATTATAATGGATTTCTCATTCTATAATCAATTCAAAATCCATAGGCTGTGCGGGGATTCGAACCCCGAACAGCTAGCGTATACGAGTCAGACGCCCTAACCAATCGATCACCGCGGTCTCCCATTTAAGTACGTTTAACTTGATTAATTACTAAACTTGTTTGATTAAAAAAATACAATAATGGAACAATCAATCACCTTAAAGATTACCGAATTTAAAGTCTGTCTATAGAATTATAGGAAAAGGATCATCATTGGGTAAATGAATAAATGAAGGATTCTAAAAAATGTCAGCTTCTCTTCGAGACTCAAGTGGTTTTTACATGATTGCACTTGTTCTTTTTGAGTCGTTTCTTAACATCGGTCCTTAGTAGGTGGATAGTACGCTCGTGTATGTTTCCATGTAGATTAATAACAAAATATTGTATTAATTATTAGTGTATTAATTATAATAATTAACTAAATAAAGTATGTGTGGTGTTTAGTGACCGTTAGCCAATGATTATTTGGAGATCGTGTGGTGCGGTTCAGTGTGACGTAAATTTTAGAAAAACATTTTCTTTATCGTGCCAACGTTTCGATCTTTATTCAGATCATCTTCAGGGGCTGGGATTTACAAACATTGTTTAAACTTAACAAATACATGTAGGATGTGTAAAAAATATGAATTAATACAATGCTGGAAAATCTTTTAGATTAAAAAAAATTTATACAATGCTAGAAAATTTTAGATTAAAAAAATTAATGAATTTATAGAATGCTAGAAAATTTAGATAAAAAAAAATGAATGAATTTATACAATGCTAGAAAATTTTAGATTAAAAAAAGGAATAAATTTATACAATGCTAGAAAATTTTAGATAAACAAAAAATAAATAAAAAAATATATATGAAAAAATATTAATTTATTAAATTCATATATACATATATATATATTTTTTGTTTGTTTATCTAAAATTTTCTTGCATTGTATAAATTCATATTTTTTATACATCCTATGTGTATGTGAAATATCCAAACAATGTTTGTAAATCCGAGCCCCTGAAGATAATCTCAATAAAGATCGAAACGTTGGCACAATAAAGAAAATGTTTTTCTAAAACCTACGTCACACCAGACCGCACCTCACGATTTCCAAATAATTAAATAAAGTATCTTCTTGTTAATTAATCCATAAAGTTAATAAAGGTCGTACCAGTTTTGTCTACAAAGGCCATGCTCTGCTAAAAATGGCAGAAAGCAGTTTTTTTGTGTCAAAATTTAAGCTGATTGTTAACATAACGGTCAAAAAATTGTGTACTTCTTTCATTGGCATGCATTCTTTGGCAAATTTTTATTTTGATATCTAAACATAGAAAGAAAAACTTTTGATAGAAGTGTTTTTCACTCTGTCTGACAGTGAAACAACAATACTAATTGCTAAAAAATATATATTATTATTATAAAGTCAGATGATAAAAGTGTTGTGCATATACTTATTGTCATTAGAAATAGAATTTTTTCTTGTGCATTTTAATAAAACTAGTTTAAAATAACTTGAAATCACTCATTTTTAAGTATACAGGGTGCCCTTTGGCCCGGCTGAATTTCTCTTGAATCCATAGCGCTATCAAAAAAACAAAAAATACGTATTTAATATTTTTTAGTCTAGTTTTTACTTTTTTAATTTTTATTTAATTTTTGCGTTTTTTGGAGTAAAATTATACAGGGTACAAGGCCATACTCTGTTAAAAAGTGGCAGAAAGCAGGTTTTTGTGTGAAAATGTAAGCTGATTATTAATATAACGGTCAATAAATTTTATACTTTTTTCATTGGCATGCATCCTTTGGCAAATTTTTATTTTGATATATAAACAGAAAAAAAAACTTTTGATAGAAACTTTCATCCTTTGGACTGAAGAATTCAATTTTCCCCCTCTAATGGCATACTAAACCATTGGAATTTTCGAACGTGAGGCAGAGGAAAATCGTTGAATTTCGTACTCTTGTCATCATCATCATCATCCACGTTTGGTGTGGGCTTCTCGGAAATAAATTAATTGGGCCTTATTTCTACTACTAGCGGTTAAGAAAGAGTAAATCTTTACGCAGGCAGTCCGAACATGAAATATGATTAATAAATAGCAAAGCAAACCTGTGTTTTTTAACTTTTTGCCACAACTTTAACATTTTTTTGACCAATTTAAAATCCGGTTACACCATCGTTTTTAGCGTGAAAAATCCTTTAAAATGATCTCAGGATATTAGGGGTCGTACTTGAAATTTTGAAGTTGAACTGGGCCTGAAGTACCCTGTATAATTTTCCTCTAAAAAAGGTAAAAATTTTGAAACTAGAGTACAAAATATTAAACATGTATTTTATTTATAGCGTAATTGGTTCAAGAGAAATTCAGCCGGGCCATCTAAAAAGGACACCCTGTACAGTATAGTAAGTCGTAACTTAGGTTATTTTTTCCTGTACAATGTCAAAATTGTTATTGCGGTAGCATGATTTGATGATAATAAAGTTTTCATAGTGATCATATTTGTCTTTTTCTATGTTTTCTAATTTGTAGCTCAAAGGTACGTGCTGAAATGAGTGTGAGAAAGACAGGCAGTCTGCGAATCCGTCGTTAAAAAGGAGCACGGGGTTGTAAATTGGCGTTAAACTGACTTATTGCCCCTAATTTAACTAAGCCCGGTGCAGAAAGGAATTACCATTGTCCCGGCGTCTACCGGTCTGGGAAAACTCCTAACAAGTGCCGACCTGGCCTGGAAAATTGTCGTACCTCAGGGCGATTTTCATGGAAGGCAGACTGCTCGGCTCTGCCGGATTAGCCAAAACCGGAAAAAAAGAGCCCCCTTTGAGTTAGCCATCCTTTGAAATAATAACAAACACGCCTTCTCGATCCCTTTTTCGTTTTTGGTCTGATCGTAAATGATCAAATGGGACCGCCGAGTAGAGCTGCGACATTCTCGCTGTGAGCTGATTGTATTAAGCTAATTCGTACAGAGACAATTCTTTTAGCTTTGGTTGATTAAACTGCTAACAACTGTCAAATAATCTATATAACCAGCCAACAAAATATATTTTTTATTTCCAGTTTATTATAATAATTTAGTCTGTTTATAGCCTTAAAACAATTATCGAAGCAGTAAAACGCAAAGGCTCGACTTTGAAACAAGGTTAATTTCAGAAATGAAGCATCTAGCTTTCAAATACAGGTTCAATTTTTGTTCAAAGTCCTATTTGTGACGGCATAACTTCCACTTGATTTTTCAAAAGGACAACCTGTCATGAAAACGTTTAGATACGAAATAATCATTCAATTTACTACCACTACTTCAACCATCCTCCAAATTTGCGAGCATTTTTCATTTTCCAATCATTTCTAGTTAATCTATTGTGTTTTCTTTAATACTTACAAGGAAGGGTGACGTGAAATCTAAAAAATCTCTTTGCCATTTTATATTTCTTCATTTATATACTTTCTATTCCTAATTTCTTCCCTTTCTACTTCATGTCTAACATTAGACTTTGCTCATTAATTCCTCTCTTACTCTTTTTCTCTGCCCCTCTCTCTTATTTTCCCTCTATCTAACTATCGACCTGTCTGTCTATCTCACTCTCTCTCTCTCTCTCTAATTTACCATGTTATGAATTGGGAAGTAAAGTCTTCTCTTAAAAAAGTTTATATCAAATATATTAAGGCTTAGTTTAATAATCTGATGATTAACGTAACTTTCTATTTATCTTTACTTCTCGTTCCTTCTCGCACCCAATCTCATTATTTTTCTTCATACTTCACTGTCCAATTATATCTATTGTATACCTTACTCTTTTTTTTTTACATTTCACTGTTCCATTTTTATGCTCTGTTCTGTCTCTACCTCTCTTTTTCTTTCCTCTCTCTC